GAAATACACTTAAATCAATGATGCAACTATATGTGATGAAACGAAATTCCATGGGCCCCTCCCAAAACTCTCAACATTTTTTGAAATGCAATTTGGCGACATTTGCAGTGAGACATAAATTCTTACGACTTTGTCAACGTCAATGTGCTATATTCTCGAACGATTTACTGAAAACCGGACGTTCCCCGGCTTGCTATCAATAATCCCTTTTTCAAACGAATCAACCGATGAACCAACTTTTAACATCACACATGCATGGTCTTTGTTTCTATTTGGGCGGTGTAATACCTTATGAGGGTTGTAGACGGTATAGTTTAGCTCCTGTACCTCCTATTGTAATTAGGCGACCAGTAGAGATATATTGGATTATCCCCTTGGTTTTAATTTGTTGTGGTATTCTATGATTTGTCTTGTGTGTATACAAAATTTTATTCTAGGTTAAGGTTCTGCTGTGAAATGAACGTGAAGGCCAACAGAGAGAGAGAGATTTTATTTCGCGCACCAGAAAAAACATTCATAACAATAAATGATGGCTAAAGAAAAATACACTTCTTTCGGTATAGACTGGAAGGAGTGATACGATCATGCAAGTCATCGGAGTCAGCTCCCTCCAAGTTTACGCTGATAAGTTCACAGTAAATATGAGTATTAGAAGTGGTTAAAGTTCACGAAACATGCAAATGGTTAGTGTGGTTTGAGAGTTTTTGCATGGTTTGCGAGAAATTCACTCTGTATCCTAACCAGAATTCAACTCATGCCTTTCAACTAGCGTTTTAAAGATAAATAACTAATGATCAATATCTACTCAAAATAATAATTTCTTCTCAACAAAAGTGTAGGTAGGGTAGTGTTGTTTCCTAATATGTAACCCTTGAATATTCTATTACTCGCAGATTTATTTCCGTTTTTCAGGTCGTTTCGTGATGATCAATCAGTGGCTAGCTTATTGAATATAAATGGTGTCTACATCAACAAAATTCGCTAATGTCTCATCCACGATAAATTTGAATTGACATCAATTGCGTCATAATAACTTAATGAAGAAATGATCCTGTTAAGTAACAATCCTAATTCCGTTATTCTTGCAGAAGTCAATATCTAATAATTAAAAAAACCTTACCTTGGTAACCAATATATTCCTTTACCCTATCGCCCTACCCTAAATTAAATATAACAAGAGAGCTGTGCTCAAATATATGGACACGTCACAAGGGGTCGCTATTTTTATTCTGACACATAAAAAACGAATCTCTTGAAGTCCACAGAAATTTTTGAAATAAGTAAAAGTGATAGCCTTCTGGCGATAAAATTAATCTTTAACCACTGAAAATTTCAAACAATTAGTCAAGTATTCGAAGAGAAAGCGATTTTATCATGAATGATCAAGCAAAAGAAAAATAATAATATAATATTGAAACGATCGTTATGTCCACAAAAGTGTACAATAATCAGCTTGGCGATATATTTTTCATAAAAATTCATCTTTACTGTTCACTCCTATTTATAGAATCGATCAATTCGGCAGTGGAAAACAATATAAATTTATTAATATGGTGTGGCCAGTGATTTTTCATTTATCCATATATATTTTTAACTACCAGTATGTAATTTATCATGTTCTTCTTACTTTATAACTTCTGTATGGTTGTGTGTGTGAGCGTGTGTGAAATACTTTAGGTGAGTGAACACGTACCACTTCTTCTTGGCAAAACCCTCCATCTTATATTCTGTGCGTTTTCAACCTTATCTAAGATTTGTTTGCTCTCCTGATATCATAATCGGTTTTTATTTATTATGGAGTCGAAATAAACTTATATTTATTAATCGTGATAGATGAAACGCGCGCTACATAGCTTGGACAATTTCGAAAGCGCAGGCCTGCCATGTCTTAGCAGGCTACATATGAATTGACTTTATAAGATGCTTTTCTTGCTGTTGTGGAAATAAAAACGATTTCCGCAGGAATCTTATGCTGTACATAGATTTCTTGTTCTTCCCGAATCTCGCATTTCATTGTAATGTCCTGTATAAAAACACCTAAATATAAACTTCCTGTTTTACAGCGATTTTCTCAATCTTCCCGCCTTTTCCGTTCTTCCCACCATTTTCAATACTTACGTATTTTGTTGCAATTTTCTATATAAAACACCTAAATACTTATTTTCCGCATTGCCGAGATATTCTTACTCTTCCCGCCTTTTCCGCCATTTTCAATACTTACGTATTTTGTTTCAATTTTCTATATAAAACACCTGAATACTCTTTTTCCGCATTCCCGCGATATTCTTACTCTTCCCGCATTTTTCCGCTCTTCCCGCTATTTTCAATACTTACGTATTTTTTGCCCTTTTCTATATAAAACACCTGAATACTTATTTTCCGCATTCCCGCCATATTCTCACTCTTCCCGTCTTTTCCGCAATTTTCCGCTCTTCCCACCATTTTCAAGACTTACGTATTTTGTTGCAATTTTCTATATAAAACACCTAAATACCTATTTTCCGCATTCCCGAGATATTCTTACTCTTCCCGCCTTTTCCGCAATTTTCCGCTCTTCCCGCCATTTTCAATACTTACATATTTTGTTGTAATTTTCTATATAAAACAGCTAAATACATATTATTTATTTTTTACGCGATGCTCTTACTCTTCCGACTCTCCCCGTCATTTGTCAATACGTTCGCTTTTCATTGCCGTCATCGCCATCAATTACCGTTGTTCCCGTCATCGCCGCTTATTTAGAGAATTTCCCTTATACCCACCCAATTTTCAGTGAAATTTCCCAAAATATCACATAGTTCCTACTCATGAGTATTATTTTCCGTAATTTCCGCTTTTCAATACAATTTCTTGTACCTACACATTCAAGTGTATATTTCCCGTTGCTCTCGCCTTCTAGTACAATTTCCCGTACATACACAATAAAATGCCCATTTCCCCAATCTAGAGCTATTTCCCGTCATTCCCACTTTGTGTGAAATTCCCCGCTATTTAGTGAAATTTCCCCTACATACACTCTAAAATGCATATTCTCCCTATCTGAGAGCAATTTCCCCTCTTTCCCGCATTTCGTAACATTCTCCCGCTTATTAGTAAATTTCCCGTCATTAGGGCCCTAAAATGCGGGAAACGGGAACGACGGGAAATGCACTAAAAAACGGACCTGCGGGAACGACGGGAATTTGTCAATTTGAAATTGCGGGAACTACGGGAAATTTCACAAAAGACGGGAATGACGGGAATTTGCTGTAGGGTATGGGAAATATGTATTTTAGAGTATGTGTGAGGTAAATTTTCACTGAAGGGCGAAAGTAACGGCAAGTTTATACAGTGCTCCCGAGTATGTTCATCAAGATGGCGCACAACCTGAACCAAGTATGTGTACCAGGTTAAAGCTCAGGCTGTGCGCCATTTTGTTGCAAATACTTCCGAAGTGCCGTTTATTCTTAAGTGTGCATGTACGTAGTAATCGTACTATAATACATATTTCCTTTATCTTCGAGCGATTTTCCGTCATTCCCGTTTTTTGTAACATTTTTTCGCTTGTTATTAACGTTTCCCGTCATTCCCGTTTCCCGCATTTTAGGGCCCTAAAATGCGGGAACTGCGGGAACGACTGGAAATGCACTAAAAAGCGGGAACTGCGGGAACGACGGGAATTTGTCAATTTGAAATTGCGGGAACTACGGGAAATTTCACAAAAGACGGGAATGACGGGAATTTGCTTTAGGGTATGGGAAATATGTATTTTAGAGTATGTGTGGGGTAATTTTGCATTGAATAGCAAAAGCAACGGCAAGTTTATACGGCGCTCCCGAAGTATGTGCAACAAGATGACGCACAACCTGAACATAGTATGTATACCAGGTTCGGGTTCAGGTTGTGCGTCATCTTGTTGCACATACTTCCGGAGTGCCGTTTATACTTGAGTGTGCATGTACGGGGTAATTGTACTAACATACATATTATCCGAATACATATTATCCGAATCTGAATATTATTAGAATCTTTTAGTGAAATTTCCGTATCCACACAACCCAAGCGTATATTTCCCGTTGCTTCCATTTTCTAGTGCAATTTCTTCTAAACATACTCTGAAATGAGTATTTCCCGTACTTTAACGCGATTTGCCGTCGTTCCCGCATTTTAGATAAATTTTCACGTACATACACCCCCAAGCGTATATTAACCATTGCTTTCGTTTTCTAGAACAATTTCCCCTAAACATACCCCAAAATGAATATTTCCCGTACCTTAAAGCGATTTCCCGTCATTCCCGCTTTTTGTGAATTTTCCCGCTTTTTAGTGAAATTTCCCGTAGTCCCGTCATTCCCGTAGTTCCCGCATTTTAGTTTTTGCAATTTCCCGTCGTTCCCGCAGTTCCCGCATTTTAGTGCATTTCCCGTAGTTCCCGTCGTTCCCGTTTCCCGCATTTTAGGGTTGCCCGTTTCGAGAGTATAAACAATCACGCATATTTACGATTGTTTTTTTTTTCGTGTGTGAATGTGAATAGGTTAAGATTTTTGTGTAGACTATATTCGATAGGTCGCTAAGATAGGACAGCTGCAATCATGACACTCACTTTCGATCTGTATAGTTGAGGTAGCACTCGTAATGCAGTAATGCTTCGACTGCTGGGACTTGCATGAACTCATAGGTTATAATGCAACTAAATGGAAATGCGCCCAAGAATGGTTGTATTAGTTAAGGTTAAGATAGTTTATTTTGAACATATAAAGTATCTGTTTTTTTATTGCAGTATCATGGTATTGAAAACTCAGTGCTGCAAGAGTATTAAGATTTGGCACAAACAGATGTGTTTAGGATGTTATAATATATTCTGTATATTTGTGCATCAAATGTAGTATTTTTAAAAGTAGTGTAAACCAAATATCTGAGAGGCGATTAAAATTACAAGACGGGAACCACCTATCTGTCACCACTCTTGACTATTTATCATTCTCGTATAGTTTTAAATCTGTAAATAAATAATTTACCATTTCTAGTGCTGGTGAACTTGATGATATACCTTGGTTAAGTCAAGATAAAAACAACTTTATAAAAGTCTCGAATATACTCAAATGCACCATGTCTACTGTTGCGACAGTTGGGAGAATTTTCACACGTTTGATGCCATCTATATCTCATATTTCATCATCACACACAGTGTGTCGATGTCTGTCCCAAAATGCTCAAACAAAGCCTTTGAACAATGCTGACCTCATTCTGACAGAATCTTGTGTTGAACACCTAAAGAAATTTTCTAAACAAGGAGAGTTTCTCAGAGTATCAGTGGAAGGTGGTGGGTGCTCAGGATTCTCATATAAATTTGATCTCGATACAACGAAAGAAGCAGATGACAGAACGTTCACAAGAGATGGAGTTGAAGTTGTAACAGACTCTGATTCTCTTGATCTTATTAAGGGATCTAAAATTGACTACCAAACTGAAATTATAAAATCTGCATTCAGAGTTATTGATAACCCACAGTCGGGTACTAGCTGCTCCTGTGGAGTTTCATTTTCAGTTGATTTATAGTATTTTATATTGTTCAATGCTTCATACAACTATTGAATGTATTCATGTTATAATTTTTTTTAAATCATATTTACTGTGACTTCCCTATTATGAGTAGAATTGCGTTTTATATAGGCTCAAAGTTTGAGTCTTACGGTTACATAGTGATAAGACCAATAAAAGCTTTCTACCCAGTTCGTTCAGTTCAAATGGTCTTAAGTGCCAAATCTCAACCTGCCTTTGTTGGGTTTCTTGAATAACTGCTTTGCTATGCCAACCATTATCTGACAACACACAAAAATGTGTCATAGCTGTATTATTTATTTTTTGTTCACTGAAGGTAATACACAGAAATCAAAGTATTCACACGAAACAAGGAAATGACTTGTTAGTATCTGCATGATTCGGTTAGTTACGATTTCACTTATTCTCACAATTTTGTAAATCAGTTCCATTGTACTTCTTAAATAAAGACGTTCTTCTCTTAAGCAATTACTGGTGTAAATTCAGAACTTGCATATATATTATTATACCATACCATAAATGTTTGTTAATAGTCTGCATTTTTGTTTTTACAAGATTTACAGAAATACATTATAAAGAGTTTCGAAATCAATTTCATTTGGCAGGTTTGAAAATATACACCTTTATTTATAATATTGTTGAGAAAAGAATATCAGACACAGCATGCATAAACCAATGTCCTCTAGGTGTATCAGTTTAAATTTGTCTTTTAAATGTGTAACTTTTGAATGGAAGTCTCAAATATTACAATTTTTTTAATTCATGTTTCCATTGTTGAAGCAATTTGTTATTCAGCCCCTTCATCATGAAGGTGCATTAAAGAAAGGGCATTTGAATAGAATGTGAGTCATGCCCCCATGACTACCCAGTGTGATAGGAAGTTCCAAACCTGTAACATGTCTGTGGTTGCTTGTCTAAGAGTAAGGGTGTGGAATGAAAGTAGATTTACTGGTGCTGTATGTGTACCATACGGAGGTAACTAACTAAGGGGGAGTCCCCGAACTCTAATCGGAATAAAATTGTGGCCCTTTGTACACATACTTCGGGAGTACCGATTTGCTAACCAACCACTTTAGTGTCCAGACACAGGTGATAAGGCCAAGTGTAGGGGCCACACAATAGTTAATCAAGGAATGTTTTGGCAGATTAAAACTCCCATGCAGTCTGGACAGTATCATTTTGTGGCGGTGGCACGGCCTATGAATTTATCAAGCTGCGGGTAGGGCAATATACAGATTTTACCCATCATCACAAAACTTTCTAACAATTGTACACGGTTCTATATATTTCGTACAAAGCATCAACGCTTCATTTCTAATATCAGGTAAGAAAAGAATAAATATAGAATGACAATGAGTGCAATGCATGATTAAAATAAAAACACTACAGATAAAAGGTAAAAACTAGCGAAATTAGATTTCAGTAAAATTACGAGGAATCAACTGTACATAACATGACCTTTCATTCAATGTAGAGATATTGAAATTTGTATACTGCTCTATTGTTTCAATAATTTAGTTTGTTTCGTTTATAGGCAATTGTACTTAGGAATGTTTTTGGTAAGGAAAAGTAGTCTCTACTGTATTTCATGGGATTAAAGCTCGAGTATCAGAATCTGATACGTCTGCATATTCTTCTTCATCAGTTTCCTGAATTGTTTCTCCCCAACCGCCATCTCTTGGACTGTTTCGAGGTGATGCACCTCGATATAATGCATCCATTGTCCTTCTTCTGACAGCTATGGCCCCGGCAATACTTAATCTTCGCATAACGTCTAAATCAGTTTCGTCAAGTATCTCTTCCTGTATTAATTCTTCAATTACATCTTCCAAAGTTATAATTCCTATGGCCATATCAGCATCATCACTACTTGTAACACAACACATGTGGCTTCTTCCCATTTGAAACTGGTTAAGAAGATCAAATAACGGAGCTGTTTCAACTATTCTTGGTAAATCCCTTTTCTCCTTTTGAAACACTTCCCGTATAGGTATTTTCTCATCTGGATCAAGCTTTATTAATCGTTTTACAAGTAAAATTCCAAGAAGATGATTTTTGTCTCCTTCATAGACAGGGATTCGTGAATGTCCAGTATTGAGTATCTCTTCCATTGTCTGTTCATCCATTACTCCATCTATATTCAAAGCGAACAACTTTTCAATTGGTGTATAAGCTTGTCGAGCTAATTTGTCTCTCATCGACAACGCACCCTTAATTATCATCACTTCATCTTTTGACAGTGGGTCCTCATTTTCTGCATCAAGCTGTTGATGGAGATCTACCAGAATACTTAATTCTGCTCTTCTGAAAAACGTTGAATGATCACCACCGAGTATACAATCCAGGAATTTAGATAATGGCCATGATATTGGTAAAGTGATAAGCATTAGGAATTTCACCACGGGTGAAAGTGCTGATCCAATTGCAAGACCAAATCTTGTGCATAAGGCTTGAGGAAGTACTTCTCCAAAAATTAATACTGCTGTTACGGATACAACTATTGCGGTGACAGGGTCAGAAATACGATCTAAGAATAATGGCATGCTTTCCACAGCGGCAGCATTTGTTAAAAGCAATGTTACAAGTAGTAAATGATGTCGCTTCACAAGTGGTATAATTTTTTTAGCATATTTTCTTTCTTTTGGCTTCCCACCTGAAGCTAAAACATTTAAACTTAGCATGTCCAAAGAAAGTAAACCCATTGTCAAACCACTTACTAATCCAGCGATGAGAACCAAACCAACATAAATCCCCAAATATATCCAAAACCATTTGTCTGTATAAGTTAACGGATCTTCTTCTTCGACATATATAATCCCACTGCAATTGAGTTTGTGTCCTTCTACGATACAATTGATGGTTTTTCCATCGTCAAATGTTTTTAATAAAATTTCATTTAGCATTTTGGCTAGACTGTTAACATATGATACCACAACGTGTTAAAAATTTAACTTTATCTATAGTTCAGTAGTTTCACATTATTTAGGGCTGAAATTCGCAGTATGTTATGTTATAGATAGACTATATATTATATACGGATACACCTATATAAAAAAAAAATTAAGTTTAGCCTATGGCATGGAATTAATCTGATTCCCCTTTTTCATTGATTTATTTGACCTACGAAAATAGACATCAAACACAGATTATTTTAATGCACTGATGCTTAGAAGTTGCTGTTGGACAAATCAGTCACAGACTGACTGTATTGCAATGCAGCAATAAGGATTAAACAGTTATTAACTTGTGTGTCTACTTACACAGCAGTAAGTTATGACTACCGGTACATCTACATGACTAACTGACTTCTGCCTTCCACTTTAGTGTAAAATTTTTATTTTATTTAATTATATTTTCTTCACACCAAAAAATATAACCGGTATAGGGTCTGGAAATATAAAAAAAAACGTCCGAGATAAAGTAGGTCACACGCCCGCATCGCTGAATCAAAAATGATGTCTATTTCTCACGGACGTTTGCCCTTTGACCACCAACTTGCAAGACAGCATAATTTTCGTCGGGAGTGACGCAATGTGTACCGGTATCTTCTCTTGACCTTTGGTTTGAACCCCATCGAACTTTTTGCACTCAAGAGGTTCACAACCAGGCTCTATTTACCCAACGCCCCGCAATGTTTATACTTCACTCAGCCTATTTTTGTTTGCCAATACCCTGGCTACAAATTGATTTAACATTGAATCTTCAAGATGTACATATGAATCTTTTTGCTAAATTCTAGTTGTTTGAATTCATATTGTGGTTAGGACTGCGCTTAAAAATCATATCACGACCTAGTTAACACTTCATTGTTAAGAATACTGTCCATCTGCTGAGGCTTCGTACTTGAGATCATGACAACCAAAACGTGGGCTACCTTATAGGCTTCACGATAGAATGACTGGACTTTTACAGCATACTGATGTAGAAAGAAGTAATAATATGCGAGTTTTCCTTCGGCATCTATTGTGCATATTCGTGACAAGTGTTGCCTGCGGCGTCTGACTGATTACACATAAGCGCCTGTGGGAGGAAACGCGGGGGCAACACACGTAATAGAAGATGGCACAATGACTCGGCGGTGAAAGTTACGTAGGCATGAGTTTTCGACCTTCGCTTCAGAAACGTGGGCTTAATATAGGTCATGCGCTTCTGTTTCATGCATGCGACGTAGTCCATACCTGTGTTTCCCAACCCCTTTGTACGAGAAGCTTGAATTAATTTGTGTTCAAAATTTTTTTTAACTGAAGTGATTAGATATTTTCAACTTTACCTCGCAAATTAATGAATTATTCGCAACACGACATTCAAAAGTAGCACACAAACGAACAATAGAGAAGCCCGAGTAAGCTGGCAATACTGATAACAAATAAGGTGTCGCCTTTACGCATGACACAAACCCCTTGCATATCGGTGGCTGCGCCTATTGAAGCTAAATGCGTGAATAAACGTCATATTAGCAAGGTGGGGCAAAAAACCCACACCTTAAATTCTTACCTGTTATTGCTGCAGTCGTCACCTAGTTTAACTAAATTTATGCTGTTTGATGACTGCCATTTTGATTCCAATAACAAGCGATTTTTTTGAATTTTATGAAAATCTTTGATGCATAAATATGACTTGGACTGGTAAACACCATGACGGACAAAATTAATCAACTAAAAACACTACTTTTGAATACAAGATCTTGTTTTTTGAAATACTGACACGTGCCTTTGCTGATGCTAAGATAATACTAACATTCATCTCGCAAAAAAGAGGTGATAACCATCGCACAAATAGAAATTCTCAGTCTACTGCCGCTCGACTCCACTGACCACGTGTAAAAAGAACAAAAAAAAAATTTGAAAAACCGCGCACAAAGGAAAAATAGGACGAGAAGACAAACCACCCATCACATGTAATTTATTACACAATATTCGACTACTCTTTCTAACTCCCAGTAAACTGTGTATAAGTTTCGGTCCATGCGAAACACCACATATGGACGAGCATATCGACGTACATTATCGATGACCCAATTACCGAACCGAAATACCCCACATGACGGCAAATGTGTGTCAAGTATTGTTCCATCTAGGTCAGGAAAAGGCTCTTATTTATATGTATAATATTACATATGTACAATATATAATCTAGTGCAAAATTCACGATACCGCGTATGTCGCTCAAAAGCGTAGCATCACGCGATTGATAGAAGTAGAGCATTTTACAAAGGAATATTGTATAGGTATCGACCTCGATCAAGCACAAAAAATGTTCCAGATGCGAAAACTGTCATTATAAAAATGAGAAAAAAATTATCACTTTCTTCAAAGTAGTGCAGATTAAATCACACATAACCCGCGCGTATAGTGAAGATACTTTAGGAAAACTGAATTGACCAATTTCCTGTCTAAACCAGCTCAAGCTACAAGTAAATTGATATTTCACCCTGTCTTGTTTATGATCAACAAAATTTTTTAGTTTTTTTAAATCTTCCATGTTAAAAGATGAATAGTAGTCAAGTTTATAATTTTTTTTATTTCTGTACCAAAATATCATTGTACAACTAGAATAAAAAATAGTCAAGACTGCTTTCGATTTATTTCGGAGGCAATTTAGGATGAACTTATTTTCAATAAAACCGAATGCAAGACATTTTGAAAGAATTCATCACCATCAAATTGTTTTATTTCTCTTAAATATGACAATTCATGCCGTTGGATAGAAATGATAAAATCCCTATTTATGTCTTTTCATAGGACATCAGCAACCATTCGGAGTTTTTAATACAATATTTCTTTTTTAGTTCTTATGTAAGCAAGCAATTATACAGAGTGTAAAGTCCATTTACAATTTTGTTATGAAGTCAGTACTTAATATATCTTAACCAGGTTTGTTGTTTTTTAATCAGTAATTGTTCAATTATTTTCACTAATATTCACTAATACAACAGATCACAAGTCACGCATTCTCAATTCCAAACAATATAAATTACAGAACCTTTACAATCTTTTTGTTTCTATCAGTTGGCAAACCCATTTGTTTGTTCCAAAACTGGCTGCTGCTTAACTGTATAATCTTCTGCTTGAAAAAGCTCTTCGACTTCGATTACATCCGGGAGTGATTTCTAAGCATTTCAAAGGAGAATCAGGCAGAGATGAGAAAGAAGAGTGGACCTTTTGCCTTAATCGCTTAGGCCTACATGTTTATTACCTTTAATAAAAGGCATGACGTACACACTAACCATCACAAAGCAGCATATTTTTCGAGTAAATGCGCTCGATTTTTGTTCCCTGATCATTTGGCGCCACAGGAACGAAAAGTTTGGCAACCGCTGGCTTATCAGATTTCTCCTAACTGATTGCAGGTGATTCAAATGTGACGTTTCCAACTTACTTTGACTTTCGGCAACTTTATGTTTTCCTTGATAATCTCATCTCCAATATAATCACCTAATGGAGATCTGAGTAAGATAGAATATAACAGAATTATAACAGGTTACACTGCTAAATTTGAAGCTGAATTTTGCAGCTTAATAGAGAAAATCTATTGCAAGGTGTGGCTTTTGCAGAACTATGTATGACACTATATATATGGTTGAGAATGAGTTCTCGCTCAATTAGCTATGACTAAATAATACCAATAAAAACCTGAATACATGAAAACATAATTTGAAAGCATGAGATAATCAATAATTTCAAGTATCTAGGTCAGTGCTCTTCAACCTTTTTGTTATTGCGGAACCCCTGATATCATTTTTCGTTTTTTATGGAACCCCAAATACCAAAAATAAAACACGAAATACTCGTAACACGAAATATTTGTAATTCAAATATTTCTACTTCAACAACGAAACAGAAAGAAGGTAACAAGCGTGAAATTCAATGACTATGTTGTTCTTGCATTTCCATGCAATCTTCTGAATCGTGGCTCTGCGGCGCTCACAGCAATTCTCATACTCATGCCTAGACTCTTTAAACAACTTCTTTGTTGTTTTTAATTATTGTTAAAGCAAAAAATGCTGATTTACACAAATAGATATTGGGAAATAAACACAGAAGTTTTAATGCTTCTTTTGCAATTGCTGTACCCTCTTTGTGAAGAGAAATCCAAACATTACGGATATCTAGAAGTCCTTCTTGCTGTTGTTCACTTGGAAATTCATCCAAAAAGGGAAAAGAAGAATATTCATTTTTTGCAACTTTACTGGCCCAGAAGTCAATTTTTCCCTTACGCGGAACCCCTAAGGAACCCTATAAACTCACAGAACCCCACTGCATGTGTTGCGGAACCCCCATTGAAGAGCACTGATCTAGGTCCAACCATATTAATCAGCATCAGGAATAGGTAGTTTTATATACAAATTGCAATAAATAATGAAAAGGGGGAACCGCGGGAAAACAAATTTGGTTATCGAGCAGTGGCACCAATGAGAAAGTCTAACATGGAAATAATAATAAAAAAATCGAACTGTATATGTTAAATGGAAAAACAAAAATAAATAGGTCATGCCAACCTGGTATGCCATATTAGAAACCAGCATGAATCCATTTTAAAATGTTATACCTATCTTGTCATAAAAATAATTTAATCTACCTTGGCTCATACCGAACATTTTCCGAATCCTCAGAAATTCCAATGCCTTGCTTTAGATATTCCATTCCTGCCCTAGAGGTAAATAGCATATAAAATATTTATGTGAACTGGTCAGAGATCTGGTGAAGCTCTCTGCAAGATATGGACTTCCATAAACATACAAAATTAAAAAAGGTCATATTCAAGTAGTTAGTATTATGAAATTCGACTCAAACGTATCTTATATGCCAACTTGGATTTTGTAAAATAACAAATACCAAAAACATAGCAGCAAAACTGAGAAACTGATGAGACAGAAAAACATATTTTTTTTCACATTTCTAAGCAACCATAAATATTGTTTGAATGAAACTTTGAACACAGTAACATATTCAGATAAATATAAGTGAATATTGTATTAGGCATTGATAGACCGAGGTACAGTTAGGTTAGAATAATTGTCTTAAAAATACTTTATTAATATTACTGTAATACCATGCAATCATGATTCCATTATCAGTACAAAGATGTATTGGTGGGCATATCAACTTGGTGTTCATTTTGTTACAAATGTTCAGGACAGATTCTCTCAAACAACTATTTGCTGCAACTCCTCCAGATAAAACCTGAAATTGAATCAGACACAAATTTAACATTTGTTATGTGCTTATATTATTCCTATTATTCATTAGCGTCACTTAGGATTCACATATCTATCACAGGAAAGAGAAAGTTGATGGAACGGCCAAATCATATTGTGAACCTAGTCTGTTCCGGTTACCAGTCCATGTTGGGCGTGAGATCAGTTAGCTAGTTATTTGTTTCAAACGCATGGACATATTTCAGATGTTGGAAGAGGAAACTTGAACTAATGGTTAATTTATCATTCATTATAGGATGAGAATGTATGGGTATAAGTTTATTTCGACTCCATAATCAGCATAACAATAAAATGATCGATAAAAACAAATAAATAAAAACTGATTATGAAATCAGGAGAGCAAACAAAACCCTAGATAAGGTTTAATAAGTACAGAATATAAAAAGGAAGGTTTTGCCAAGAAAAAGTCGTACGTGTTCGCTAATCTAAAATTAATATATCATCCCACACACGAGCCCACACACTCATTCAGAAATAGAGAATATCGTTCCCTGAGCAAAGTTTCGGTCACTAAAGAGCCAAGATCTACTAAGACTATAAACGAGAAGATCTGTCAGAGACCGAAGACTTATCGATCGAAAGTTAGGGGATCACCCAAAACAGCGCTCTTACTCCATAGTGACACCTTGCGTCCCATCACTAATTAATTATTAACTCGCTAATTATACGACATAATTCGCCCAAAATCAATAGGTTTCTGATCCGAGATAAGATGAACGCACATGCAAAATATGGAGCAGATTAAATCTCGCTTCCAAGAGATATCGCGTGCATCTAACAGACAAACAGACAGATACCTATCAACATACTTACCGATCAAGGTCGATAAGTAATAATTATAGAATAAAAATTAATTAAAAAATCACTTTACTTAATATTAAGACATAGAATGGATCTTGTTGGTTGGATTGTAACTCGCACCATAAGTAAAAGTTTTTGTAAGAGCTTTCGTGCAAGTTTAAGCCCAAGCCCTTAAGAGAAGGACATATATCCTAAACATATTTCTATATAAATCTACCAAGACTATAAATAATTAAAGATTCAAAATTTATTAAAAGATAATTTTATCCATAATCATGACATAAAATGTATCTTGTTGTTGTACCTACAACCATAGAAGGTTTTTTAACTTGTAATAAGTTTATTTATGCAAGTTTGCTCAAAGTAACGACCCAATCCCCCCCCCCCCAAAAAAAAAAACCTGTATCTGATTACAAACACACCATTCTTACCAATATAGGTGATGGCTGTAGTAGGTTTCTTATTTGACAAAATATAATTCCTCTGTGCAATTGATTTGTTATATGTTGAATTGCTGCTTTTTGAAAACTTGCAGCTACATCTTGGCATGCAGCAATATCTGAAATATGATTTAAAACATATTGATTTCAATAGAAAATGGAACAATCTCTGTATTTACTCATAGTTAAGATAACAATGAGATCAAACAATGGCCAAAAATTATTCTGATTGTAATAAAGTAGTCAAATCATCAGGTAAAAATACCATATAATCTAACCAACAATATAAAAAGCTATTTAAATTAATAAATACATCGCTGAACAATTTGGGATTACCTTTCCATTCTGAATTTCGATTGACAGAAATCAACGAGATTTTTATATTTAGCATTCTAAAATATTTTTGACCACGCTTGGAACAAGTGATTCAAGAGTTTTGCTGCACACAAACACAGATATTTTTCTGTAATATTTCAGACATTTGAATCGGTTCCATTACATTTGAACCCACGTACATTTGAACCCATGGCAAGTGCACCTGCCTACTATTGCACCTCTGGAATTTTTTTTGGTTTTACGGATATTTGAACCCATACTAACCCTAACCCATGGGTTTAACACCCGCATATAGATTGAACCCGCGGATATACACATGGATTCAAATGTACATGGGTTCAAATGTACGGTCACCATTTGAATCATGCCTGAGGAAGTCTGACCTTTACAGAAGCAAGACTCATTTAAAGTAGTTATCTTCATCCTTGCATTATATGCATACAGATCCACCGACACAATAACATAGGAGAAGGATAAGTAGTTAGTTCCACAGAAGCCCAAGCAATAGCACGAGAATAATGGTTAGAGACCGAGGACTTATCATCAAAAGTTAGGGGATCCCCCAAAACAGCGCTCTTACTCCATAGTGACACCTTGTGTCCCATCACTAATTAATTAATAACTCGCTAATTATACAACATAATTCGCCCAAAATCAATAGGCTTCTGGTCCGAGATATGATGAATGCACATGAAAAATCTGGAGCAGATTCAATCTCGTTTTCGTGAGATATCGCGTGCATCTAACAGACAGACAAATACCTATCAACATACTAACCGATTAAAATCGATAAGTAACGATTAAAATCGATAACTAATAACTTAGAATAGGCCTAATAATACTGACCAAGTTCATTCCTCTCTCTAAATATTGCAATCTTTCGCAAAACTTGCGACTGTAGCCCACTGAATGAGAAATTGCAAGATCTACTTCGAACAGTTTTTGTATGCCCAGTCAATGGAATTGAAAATGGATGCTTCAAACTGAATAAAAAAGAAAATTGAGAAAATATAAATGCCAAATAAAGATGTATACCCACAACATACTCTCACAGCACATCTTAAACTTCATTTTGAATTCTGTCCTCTCATCTGGATTTTTCTCTTGTTTTTCTACTATTGTTAGTTATCAATTTTAAGATCGGTAAGTATGTTGATAGGTATTTGTCTGTTTGTTTGTCTGTCTGTCTGTTAGATACACGCGATATGTCATGAAAGCAAGGTTGAATCTGCTCCAAATTTTGCATGCGTATTAATCGGTTCCATTACATTTGAACCCACGTACATTTGAACCCATGACAATTGCACCTGTATGCTATTGCACCTATTTTTTTTTTTGTTTCACGGATAGTTAAACCCATACTAACCCTAACCCATGGGTTTTAGCACCCGCATATAGATTGAACCCGTGGATATACGCGTGGGTTCAAATGTACATGGGTTCAAATGTACGGCCACCATATTAATCATTTCTTGGATCAGAAGCCTATTGATTTTGGATGAATTATGTTGTATAATTAGCGAGTTATTAATTAATTAGTGATGGGACATGCGATGTCACTATAGAGTCATGAATCGAAACCGCAGTTTCGATCGATAAGTTTTCGGTCTCTGACCGATATTCTCGTTTGTATATTGTTTGATTTTATATGAAATCAAACTTGACTGGGAATTGTGAGCCTAAAGGCAAAGCGTGGGAGATGATGTCCCATAGAGTCATAGAACTATAGAGTCATGAATCGAAACCGCAGTTTCGATCGATAAGTTTTCGGTCTCTGACCGATATTCTCGTTTGTATATTGTTTGATTTTATATGAAATCAAACTTGACTGGGAATTGTGAGCCTAAAGGCAAAGCGTGGGAGATGATGTCCAATTGGCCTGGCTAGTCAAAGAAAGTTGTAACCTACCATTATTAGGATAGGATTTACATATTTACCCGGGGGAGAGGAAAGTCGATAAGACGGCTTAATCATATGGCAAACCATGGCCTCTGGCTGTCCGATTACCCGTCCTTGTCAGATATGGGGTCTGATTATATTTTCACACTTGGTGAGTTCTTAAAGGCTGTTTCTATCGCCTACTGATCAAATTTAAAACACACCAATTAATTAATTGACTCAACTGATTATTTTATTTAACAAAAATTACAGAATTGCTGGTTTCCCTTTCCTACATAAGAAGCTCTTTAACCCCTAACAGAACTGCAACTTACAAATTTTTCGTTCAATTGGGAGACTACATACTATGTCGTGGTCAAAATCTTTAAATATTTTTACCTGTCACCTTTCTTCGCCAAAGCTTCAATGATTCGTCCCCCACTAGTGGTAGAACAATATTCTGGCGGTAAATCCTTTACAATTTCACGAGCGACCTTATCGAATACTGCACCTGGCGGTTCATCCAGTATTTGACCAAGAATTTTATAATTTCCTTTAAAGTAAAAGTTTCATGTTAATTATGTGGAGGAACTAATGAAAAATAATATATACAACACTATCTCGCAACTAAAATTTCAGATGTCATAATGAATCAGAAAATTGACAGAGTTTCAATTTTTGACGTTCCAGAAGTGTGTGTACCAATATGGAGCTACTGGTAACTAATTTTGTTCGCCTACCGGACTTTACCTCATATTGTATAAAGAGACTAAAACTTATGGGCAGTGGTATATTCACTTGGCTAAGACAGACAGTCCCCGAACTTGTAATAGAACTAAAATAAGAAAAATCGGAATAAATCATGGCCTATGGCCAGATTGAATTCCCCAGAGGGCTGGATTTATCCAGTGGGCCGTACTTTTCCAAAGTCTGCTTTAGAGTCTAGATTACTGTCAGTGAACTAAAGATAGTATATACTTTACCTAGATGTTGTGCCAAGCATAGCAGGCAATGTCCACCAGAAGCCAGTAACACAAGAAACGGAAAGTTTACCTCCTCGATTGAACGTACTGTGAGTGCATGGGCTTCCATATGATGCACTGGTATAAACGGGAGCCTGTAAATTCACTGAGACTTATTTAGAGAATCATATAAAGGACACCTTTTATTCCAATGTCTCAAAAATATCATGTCACACTAGCCTACTTTTCAACGCACTTTCACCACTGTCCTGAGATAGGGTAAACGATAAAGTAAGCAAATGAAGTGGAATTCATTCTATGTTTTAAATCAGGATAGATGTAATATAGGGCGTCCATAAAGTCTTAAAATTTTTTGAAATTGCAAAAGGAATTTATCGATACCATATATTGTTTTGGCCCTCACAGATGTATTGAATGAAGTATAAATACCTAAACAATTAATGATCAAAAAACAACAAACCTGGTTAAGACATATTATGAACTGACTTCATAACAAAATCGAGGTTGTTAAGGGACCCAATGGACACCCTGTATGTTGATAGAAGTCTAGCGTATTCATGTGAAGTGAGATTTATACAAGAGAAGTGTGATACAGGATATTGGAAACATTCATTTTTCACTACAAATGTGTTACCTGTGTTTTGCCACCAAATGCTTGGAAAATATCAACCCTGCTTGCAATGATAAAGCAGATCCTGGCTGAGTTGCCGTGGCAACAGCAGACAAATCCTTCAATAGAAATCACAGTATTAAGGATCATTATTGTGCATGTTAGTATCAAGATTTGTTTGATTTTTAGAATTTTGCAAGACAAATTTGTAAAACAATCGCTTTATTGAATCATATATTTAGTTCCGGATAATCAAAATGGTGCAAATATCTGATTAAAATGTCTAAGAGATAAAACTGTGAAAAAACATATATGCCTATGGAATATCATAGTAATTGATTCATAATGACATTTTATTGTTACTTATTCTTAATATTAAATACTTAGGATTGAAAACCTGAAAGTCGATTCCAGCTTTATCCATGACGTCATCAACAACCAGAGGTAGATTAACCTCATGTAGTTTCATAGCAGTAACAGGATGAACACCACCTGTGCTGAAGAAATTTGAATCATATTGAAAAATTACAAATATCAAGTCAGGTAATTCTATGACTTAAGACAGGGATGGGCAACATACGGCCCGCGACGAGATTCTGACCAGCCCGCTGACTGTACATCAGTACATCATGATATAACATTATTACACTTTTAGTACATTATGATAAATTCATTATGGGTTTTTTGTTCTCTATTTTTTTGTAGTTTAATTTTTACTTTAAATGGGATTTATAATTTTCTTTCTTGCATTAGCAAATAAAAATGTGATTGAGATATTGAATACTATTCATGTTATAATGCGGCCCGCTGAGAACTTCATTTTCCTACATCTGGCCCGCCGACTAGAGAAGTTGCCCACCCCTGACTTAAGATGAAGTAGTGAATAATGGTGGTAAGACATGAAACTGATTTGTGGTAACTTAACATTGGGTCTACAGAAATTTGTTGAAATACGCTTTTTTGTTTTTGAAAAAAATATACTGTTACAATTTTGAATAAATAAATGAACCTTTATTTTGCTTATTACTAAATATAACACATCAATTTGCTATAATACATAAATTCTGAAAGCATACAAAGACTGAAAATTTGGAATATGCAGTCATGCAAAACCCCGTGATAAATTACATGCGTTACCATGGACCAACTATGCCTCTAGGACAGTGGTTCTTAAAGTATGGGTCGCGGAAGGTTTAAAAATGGGTCGCGACAAGGTCGTCAATGCAAGGGCAATCTAAGAGGAGAAGGACGAATTTTCAGCTTTCCCAATGTTTCAATTTAGCTTTTAAACTCTGGGGTATTAGCAAATAATGAAATATAAAATTTTATTCACGGAAAGAACTGTCTTGAGCTCATGGTTACATCACAATTCTGATATGCCAGTCACGTGTATTATTTTTATGGTATCGGTAACCATGCACGTCGCTTGTCGTTGTGTTGACCGCGTGGAATGTCGTCTTAGTGGATTAAAATAACCAAAAATGGGTGTCTTATTGGTAATGTAAATTGTAATAGACGACGCAATAAAAAAGCTCGCTTCTCGACATTAGATTATTCAATATCTAGAGAAAATGTGACTTCATCTCGAGGCACCACTTACTGCGAACGAAGCAGTGTGTGCACATTTGATGAGTAAAAAGTTGTATATTGCGAGAGATACCGAAGGGCAGCTAGGATGTCGTGTTTGCGACAGACAGCGGACGCCTTTTCTGCTACAATTCGCGACAAGGCACTTGTGCGAGCGAGGATATTTGGCACTGACGGTTATCAAAACTAAGCTCGCAATCGCCTCGATACCCGTGACAACTTGCGTATTGCGTTAAGTAAAATAGAGCTGTGTATTGAAGATATAATGAAAAGGAAATTTCAGTTTCATCAATCTCACTGAGTCAATGGACTGTTTCTAATAAATAGTTGTCTGTATTTGAGTCAAACTGTACTAACATTAAAAACACATTTTGCGTTATTTAGGATTGGGTCGCGAGTATTCATAAAACTCAGATTTGGGTCGCGCTCGAAAAAGTTTAAGAACCACTGCTCTAGGATATGGATCCATGACTAGAACTTTAGGACTAGGGAGTTTCGTATCACTCTTAATAGGATAAGAATCAGAAGGACCTAACAGAAGAATTGTGGTACATGAAGAGACATTAGTTTCATGAAACTATTAAACTACATTATAATTACAGAAAATCTTGAGAAAATGGGTCAAAAATATCTTTCACTCAAAGAAATTCATAAAAAAATCCTTTATCTTACATTTTATGCTCTAGCATTTGAGATTTGATGCTTTCTCCGAGTACTTTTCCATCTTCATCAATAACTGCAGCAGCAGAATCATCAAATGTTGATTCAATGCCTAACACAAGTCTTTTGCTCTGACTTAAATTACGAATCTGAAAACACAATTACTGGAAACTTCATTTACATTAATATATCAATCATTATCAATATTTCAATCTCCTTTTAGGCTGATAATGGAGTCCTAATAAAATTATCTAAACTTATGTAACTCGCTATTACCTGTCCGCAGACACTTAAAATGTTTTTGTGTCGTGCAACTGCAAAAATGATAGTGTAAATTTAGGAATTTCGTTTGAAAGATGGATAGATTTGCTAGTAAGTAGTAAATATAAACAGAATGAATAGTTTAGATATCTTCAATAAAGATAAATAACATAATAGTATTGTAATGAACTGAAAAAATCGCCAAAAGTTTATATCATGAAACAATATTAGTAAAACTGTAAAATCACTATCATGAAATAGACTACAACTTACTTGGTTAAATTCATGAAGTATTCGTTTGCTGAGAATTGAATATTTCATAACTCTGTTCAACTGATCAGAGTGAATATATAAGTTACCAAGTTTCGTCGTCAAACGGCGATCGGTTTGTCGAATTTCACGTGAAATTCACCGTAAATTCACCCGTCGACGGCCGAGCGCAGTAAACAATAAATTCATTATTTTAAGCTCTGCTTTTAACGACGTGCTCTCTCCCGTTGCATAATGCTCGGAAAAAGATAATAAAGAAACAGAAAAGAGAAGAGGTGTGGCGAGTGGCGTGAGCGTTTGTTGTTATTTTGTTCCCACTCTCGAGGTTACGCACAAAGGACATTTCGCTTACCTGCTGTGCAGCGCGTTTGAGTTCGCCTGTCCCTCTGTCTGTCGTTAAACACCTGGCCATTTTTGAGGCAATTAGAAATGAGTTGTATCAGGTAAAGCAGCTAGTCTTAAATATATATTACGTACCAACAGGATTCGTTTTTTTTTGTTATGTTCGTTCGACTTCTGTCCTTGCATCAGAATGTCGCAACTCAGGCCGGCGTTCTTTGTCTATTTTTTTTTGTTTCTACATTTTTCTATGTACAGATAGATGTGTTCTTTGTATCTGTTTAGTTTGTGATTGTGTAGTTCTGGCATCATACGAATAAACCAATAACAAGCTAATTTAGTAATTATACAACCTATATAATCAGATAGGGTAATGCTAAGTAAATAGGAATTATAAGGCTTATTTTGTTCCTCTTGTCAGCTAGTTTTATGCATAAACTTTAATGTGATTTCATAATAGTTCATTTATTTCAGTATCATTTATAATATTTCATTTTGTTCTGACTGAAAATTTTATTAAGAGTTCTGTTTATTTATGAAATCAAGAAGCTTGCATAAAAGTTAGAATTTTGTTTGCCGAAATGTTTTTTTATGAAGATATTATAGATAAATAAATTCGTACTGTCACAAAACTATATTAATAACTTTGTAAATTATGTTTAAGATAGAAGGGTTCATTTTCAAAGCTTCCTAAACTTCTTTTTGAACATGCTATACATGCTATATGTTTTTTATTATTTTGTATTTATTATCACAATATGATATCTTGTTAGACCATCAATTCTCAGTCTCACCTTGAGATGTGAATTATGATCCTGTCAGTATGTCACATTATTAATCCTTTTTCTTGACACATTTGGTTTATTATAGAACGAAGTGCTTCATCCAGAAGGTGTTATTCAATTAAGTGTAACATCAACATAAATATGTAATAAACTGTTGAAAGGTGTTTACTGTGTCAAATATTTATTTAATATATTGAATTACAGAATTATTAGAAATCAGTGCCAATACTGCAATGGTAATCTGCCCAAAGTTAGTAATCTGGAAAGAAATTATATTTAAATTATTTTATTTTTCTACAGATAGCTATTTTTTCAAATCTCAATCAATGATATGGCTGCTTTAGGCAGCACAATTGTATTCCGCCGTATTTGCTTGATGAAGCATTCGGTGGGATTCAGCGGAATATCAACATGGCAGCAGTTCAGAAGTACCCCTTTTACTAATGGTTCTCTTTGTACTGATAAAACAGTGTGTTTTAAACAGAAGGCCTACATTCACATTTCTCCCGTAAGTAGAAATGTACTATCCACTGATGCTTCAAAGCCTGACTTACGACAGTCTGTATACAATGTTATCGACAAATACTTGGGCGTTACTCTGACTGAAAAATATCAAAGAAGACAATTGGACGAAGCCAGTCATATCTTACTTAATAGCATTTACACAAAAGTTGATTTTGCATCTTTACAGAAGTTTGCAAAACTCGAAGATTCATTTGAAGTTTGGTTAAAAATTGTTTATTTACATGTATGGATGGTTTTGGTGAAATTATCGCAAGATGGAAGGGACGGAAAAATTATGTGCAAAAGAATTATTAGCCTAATGTGGCAAGATATTGAAACAAGAACTGGGAAACTTCAAGAAGAGTTGAAACAAAATTTAAAAATCAATCAACAAAGAAAAGATTATCATTCCTTACTTCGAACTTCTTTCATTCTTTTTGATTATGGATTATTGAAGGACGATGCCACCTTAGCAGGATCAATTTGGGGACAAATTTATAATTTTGAAAAAGTCGATCCAAGATATGTTGAATCTATTGTTCATTATGTAAGGTTTACCTTGGCCAGACTTGATGATATACCGATAAGTGAGCTTGTTCTTAACTCAGAGAAAATGAACTGGTCCTTACCTGAAAGCTTTGGTGCTTATTTTTGATAATTGTTATTAGCTACGAATGTTTCAAAATTGCTTTGATTGTTTCTTTGTGGAATTTCAAGTTTTTCGAAAACTGCAATCATACAAAAACTCAAATTCTCTTCTGTTAAATATAGTTATATTTTTCAACTTTAAATGTACTAAAGTATCAGAGATATTTTCCTTTCTTTGGCAAGTTTGGGTAAATTGGCTTGTATATTTCAATCTTATAAATCTTCCATAAAACTAAACTCTTTACCATTTTTCAATGGTTCTCAGTGATACATTACTGCTAAAAATGTTCTATTTTTACTGACTTCTCTAATTTAATACCAGTGGTCCATGATTATACTATTCGTTTGTTCCACAGCAGTCAGATAAGTACAGTTAGCCTATTACAAATAAACTATTTCAGCAATTTTTGTTCCAAAATATTTCAATTCAAGTTCATTTTTGCAGTTTAACAAAATGATGCGATAGGGAAAATATTCAAGTTTTAGGCCTCCACTTTATCTGTGGAAGGAGGTATAAATGTAAGGATAAACGGAGTGTTGAATTATTAAAATACACAAGATGTTGCATGTGTTCAATGTGAACCGAGGGACCATGTTGACATTTGACGTCAACTTGGCAATGGAAAGGTAGGTTTGGTTTATTTTGTTTTTCTCCACAAATATCATTACTACCGAAGGATGTGTACCAGATTGGGGTTAGGCAATAATTTTATTCTGATTTTCTTTATTTTAGTTCTATACGAGTTCGGGGACTGTCTGTGTTAGCCAAGTGAATATCTCCCTGCCCATAGGCTTCCGTCCCTTTACACAACTTGATGTAAAGTAGGCAAACAAAATTAGTTACCTCCATATTGGTACACATACTTGTGGAGCGCGCAAATATTTGCATGCAATAACAAATTTAATATTCTCTTTTGCAACATGTGAAGTTTGAAATGATCAATGTGCAGCTTTTTGCTTTTTATATTTTGTTTTAACCTCTTATTTTTTGAACATATGTATTAAAATATTGTTCTAAGTTAAATTTAGCACAATTATGATTTAGCACAGTTGTGCATTTAGCGAAGATGTTAGTTTGTTTTAACATGTTATAAACTTGAGGGTCTTCATGTTCTAATCATTTAACAGGGTGTTGGAGTTGAAGACCACAATACAAGACACTCATGGGATTTCTCCTGATAAACAGGTAACATTTTTTTTATAAGTGTCAGTTTTTTTAAAGATATTTGCTCAAAGCATGGTCAGACTCACTCAGAAATTAAGGAGATTGATCTCTGGGTGAAGTGGTGGCTGCAAAAATGCCATGACTAAAAGGAACTGTTTTTTTTGTGCTGAATTGCATGTATATAATCACCGAATGACTCGAATCACTTCATGTCAATCCGATCAGTGAACAACTGTGAAGATGTAAATCAAGTTCTTCAAGCTCATTAGGAATGTGATACCGCAATTGTTATATTTTATCAAAGTTTTCTGCCCTATCCTATTTGTTATTTAGACCAGGGGTGTGCAGCCTATAATTCAGGAGGGCCAAAAACAAAAAACTGGGTGAAACCGTGGGCAGGTGCACTGCACCCTTATTTAACATAGGCTTTGGTTATTGATCATTATTGAAATTATTGCACGTACCAGATTAAACTGAATTAAAAACTCATTTCACGGCCACACACCATGCAAACACGGGCTGCACAATTTTTTTTTGTGGGCCACATTTTAACCTCGAGCCGCAGGTTGCACATATCTGATTTAGATCATCTGACTCAAAAGCAAATAACCAGCATTCATATTTTCTCACATTCACAGGTTATGCTTATCAGTGGAGGACAAGCATTAAGTGATGAAGAGAGAGTTTGTAGTTACGCTGCAGGAACTGAATCAAATCCTGTTTATCTGTTTGATAAAGGTTGTATTGAGAAAGAGAATCTACAACTGCAATCTAATTATCAAGAAAGTAATGGTGAGATTTTGATTTGAAAATTTGAAGAAAATAATATATCAATATATTTCCAGAAAGTTCTCTTCAGGTTTCATTCCCAATTTTGAAGTTGAACACTAATTTAGCCTTAAAAAAAAAATCATGTGTTCATACATTTTTATGGATAATTTGAAAAAAAAAAGTAATGGATGTATGGACATCTGTAATAAATCTGTTATAAATTGGTAGGCGATAATAAACCGGAAACATTTTAGTCTTTCCAAACTATAGTAACTCTTTTACATGGCACTGGCTGCTTGTGTACAGCCTTGTTAAACGCAAAAAGATTATAGGATTTATTCCGCAGGAGAGGAAACCCTACAAGACGGCTTGATCATATGGCGAACCACAGCCTCTCGCCAGTTACCAGCCCATGTCGGGTAGGGGATTAAGTTAGCCATTTATTTTTTTTAGTTGCATGGACTTGATGGTGGAGGAAGCCGTGACCAACCAGTGGTTACGTGAACAACCCTGCAATAGCGAGGAGTCCAGCGATCCTCTCGCATATAATTATACTTGGGGTTCGAATCTGCAAACCCATGTAGGGTAATCAGAGGTGCGGTGGCGAGCGAATTCCTAATGTTTAGCACGATACACCACACCGCCGGGCCAAAATGCTGTATAAAAAGGTTCATTAACTGGGGCCACTACTCCTCACATTTCTGTAAAATACCATGACATTCTTAACAATAAGGGGACTTTATGAGGACGATGTATGATATTTCTCATTCATTATAGATTTTGCTGAGAGCATCAGGAATGCTCGAACTCTCTCTCCTTCATACAAGACTGTGGAAGTTCGAACTAAGCTTGCAATGAGGCTTCACGATGCAACCCGTCATCAAGCTCAAACTATGAAGTCTCTTGTTCACGATGAACATTTAATGTTTCAGGTATTTATTACTTCTAGTATACATGGTATTATTGGAATGGTAATCCTTGTTTGTGTGAGTGTCCGTACAGTCAGTAGCTCGAATTCTGTGGGGCATAATTAGACGTGACAGGATAATTGGACTCCTTGTCATCCCAGGGTGTTCCAGATATCCAGGGTGTTTTTTTAAGTCAATGAACGCTAAATTGTAAGTAAGTCAACTTCTTCATTTTCTTTATTTACTTGACTGAGCATATAATCAGATCAGCGGATCAAGCGGTACTCCTATAGTGTGTGTACCAGGTTAGAGTTAGGCCATAATTTTTATTCAGATTTTCTATATTTTAGTTTTCTATTACGAGTTTGGGGACTGTCTGTGTTAGCCAAGTGAATATCCCCCCCCCCCCCCCTCCATAGATTTCGGTCGATTTACAGAACTGGATGTTAATAAATAGACGAACGAAATTAGTTACCTCCATGTTGGTACACACACTTCTGGAGCGCCAATAGAGCTACTTCCATATATGGGAACCGACAGGCCGCCTATCTATTCACCTGTTTTGGAAAGATAACCAGATGAGTTCATGGTTTGCTGTATGATTGAGCCGTATATAGCCTGTCTTATCTATTTCTTCTCCCTTTGGGTATATATGAAAATTCTATATTTGTAACAAAAGTAAAGTTTTATATTTATTCAAACACTATGTGAAACCGGTATATTTTTTTGACCTTTGAAAGCTGAATTATAAAGGAATGCTTTTGGATACTACTTACCTGAAAATTTCCTTTGCTGCTGTTTTTTTGTTAGCAGTCTTATATAACATTATGTCAAATGATTATGGTCTGTCCCTCTATTTATTTTCATTCAAATTTTTGTTTTGTTATCAATTTTACATAAATACACATCAAAAATATGATGAAATCATGTCAATCCTGAATCATACTTTTCATCTTTTCATTATACCGATGTTAACTTTTGACTTATTTAGTTTAGTAATGAAAAAGTTGGTGTCATTTAATGCAATGAATCACCGGAAACTAGCAAACCATGATTCAGCTAAATACACATTTTGTCATTCGTGTCACCTAATTTATTAGAAATTTAACCAGTGTCAGTTTTTAAGCAGAGATCGAACTCCTTTCCCTTGCTTTGATGATATTTCCATAAAAAATACTCGTTTTTTATAACAATCAACATAATTATGGTGTTCTTTGGTACTCTCGTAGTGTGTGTACCAGGTTAGGGTTGGGGCATAATTTTATTCTGATTTTCCTTATTTTAGTTCTATTACGAGTTCGGGGACTGTCTGTGTTAGCCAAATGGATCCCTTTGCTAACTTGATGTAAAGTAGGCGTACAAAATTAGTCACCTCCATTTTTTGACAGGGATGGCAAGCAGCTGTATCCAATCTCATGGACACAGTTCGTGGATTTCAGACAAGGGTTGAAACAATGTGTTCTCAATGCCAGAAGTTATTTGAACAAGGAAGAAATAATGCAGAAATTTTGAAAGGGTTTGTAATAACATAATATAAATTTTTATCAATGTATCAAGGGGAATGCAAGTCCCCATTAGCCCTAAGTGAATCTGCTAGTCTATGAAGTCTGAATAAACATATCTTATCTGATTATTCATTTCTATACAAATTAGGCCATTTTTAATACAAAAACTAGGGTAAGACTTCTCTGGAAGGAATAATTACTAACATGGTCTTATAAGCATGACATTTGACATTACAGTTTGTTTTGATGAAAAGAAAATAATAATGCCAAATAGAATCCAAATATTCATGATTACGCAATGCTGACTTTATTAAGAATTTGTTCTGGTAAAATTATAATACACTGGAATTGGATGTTCCAACAGTGTATTCATTCCATAGATATTGATAGCAATAAATTTTATTGATTTTATTGATAATGCTGGTAATAAATTGATGATTTTAACATACCTTACTTGCAATGTCAATACCTAATTTTCAATATAATCCTATCAATCTTTTTGATAGGTAACACATTATATAACATTTTGTTATAAATTTCATTTCCAAATCATTGTGTGATGAATATCCACATATTTTTATAACAAGGCCAGGAACGAGTATCATTGTCTCATAATGTTATTATTCTATTTTCCAATCTAATTTTCTCTATCAATTTGTTGTCTAGAATGGATACTATATTGAAAAGTTTGGAGCAGATTCCTATTCTACCTACGTTATTGAAAAGTATACGATCGGATCAGCAGCAAGTTACTTTGTTACATTGGATAAAAAGTCAATGCAAAAATGTATCTGTACAAGTGATGTATAACGAATGCAAGCAGAAACAGGATTATTTGAACCAAGGTAAATGATAGGTTCATACAGTGGTTCCCAAACTGTGTCATGGCTTGTAATGAAGTATTACAGGGGGCCACGATGCAGTCGGAGGAGGGCCACAATGTTAGGCGTAAAACCACTAGGAACCACTGCACTAGTGCATGCTCCGATGGATGATTTTGAGATTACTGTGGAATGCAAATTCATTTTTCTAATAATTTCCGCTTTTAGAACTTGGCCACTAAGTGGTTCTTGTTGTCTATTGCCTTGCTCAGTAAAACTGTAAAATGATACTTATAATGAAATATAGCCAATTGCTAACCAAGCATTAAAAACACATTCACCTTTGAAAAGCTGATTATAAACATAGGTTTGAATTTTGTTGAGGGTGAATATGTGTCACAAGTAACTTGAGTCCTCCCCATCATTATGAATTTCACAGACTTGCTTCGTATTGGGATGTCATGGTTTGCCATATGATATGATTAGGCTTTTTTATCAATTTTCCTTTAAATGGGATATATATAGGGCGTCCATAAAGTCTTATTTATCGATACCATATATTGTTTTGGCCCTCACAGATGTATTAAATGAGGTAAAAATACTTGAACAATTACTGATTAAAAAACAACAAACCTGATTAAGATGTATTGAGAACTGACTACATAACAGAATTGATATGGTAAAGGGACCTTATGGACACTCTGTATGGTAATCCTGTCTTATATGCTTGGACTAGCTGGTCATGCTTGTTGTATATATATATATATATATTTCAATACACTTGGTGATTTTCCTTCGCCACGAACTGTTAATACCTATAAAATGTTATATATTTAGAGAGATACAAAGCACTATTGGAAGAATGCAGTAAGGTAGATTCACAAGCATCAAATGTGCGAATGAGTGAAATATCCGGCATCAATGAAAGACTTTCTGCCTTAGATCATCTCATTCTGACAGCTGAACAACAAGTTAAAGAGCAAACTGGCATCGCTCAGGTAGAATGTCATAGATCTGAATATTGCTAATCTTTCTATGGGGCTTAAATTTTGATAAAGTGCTCACTATCAATAATTTGTAGAGTAGCTTGTTAGATTTGAAGGATAAAATTAGAGAAGATCTGATAAGTCACTCAGTTATGCTTGAACAGTTATCAAATTTACAGCAGGCTGAAATTGATTTATATTTCTATCAATGGAATATTGAATGAAGTGGAATAAAAGTTCAATTCATGTTTCATCAGAATTTATTCAAGCATAATACTTACAGTTGTATCACGTTAGTATCATTCTGAGCCTTTGACAATTTTGCATAAAATTATACAATTTTTACTTTGTTACTGATTACAAGATTTCATCCATGTTTGTGTTGCTTTCTTCAAGATCATTGATACTCTGTTCGCCACACCGCCGAGCTAAGCGTTAGAAATACGCTTGTAACCGCACCCGTGATTACCCTGCGTGGGTTCGTATGTTTGAATTCCATGCGAGCTTAATTATGGACGAGAGAATTGCTGGTAACCACTGGTTGGTTGCGGCTTCCTCCACCATCAAGTCCATGCTTCCGCAAACAAATAACTAATCCCACACCCGACACAGACTGATAATCAGACGAGAGGCCGTTGTTTGACGTATGATTGAGTCATACTATCGGCTTTCCTCTCCCCCCTGGACAAATATGTAAATCCTATCCCATTCTCAGCATTTCAAACCTCAACTCATCCTTGGCTCAGATTTACTTAAAAATCACTGTCTATTTATTTCAGGGTTTCGTTAGGAATCGTGAGACCGCTCGAGAGTTGCATAATAACTCACCAAGTATTGATGCTCTGCTCACATTGTGTGAGAGCCATATCACTCAACTCCAAATCATGTCAGAATATGAGTCGATGACTCGAGATGCTCTTCATAAATGTACTCACGCTAAAAATGAACTCGCAGCTAACTTACACACTCGACTAAGGTATGGTTCTTGGTATTTAAACTGTTTTTTTCACATGATTTTGATTGATTTGGGTTTCCAATTTTTTGTAAATGTTAGTTTATGAAAAATCAGAAGTCAGAACCCCAAAAAATGTACTATTTCGAATACAATTTGAAAAATATTGTATGTCCATCTGACAGTACAAAACGAAAAGAAGAATATTTTCACCTTTTCAAATTTTTCAATTTCAAAATATATTGATTTTTCCTAATTTGTAGAATTTGCTTTATCCAATGTGACTAATTCCTTCTGATTGCAATTATTTGATTAGTGTTGGGCATCTATATAGCTATATAAGGCCATTTTTTCTTTTTGGTAATCAAAAAAATCAACCCTGTCTTAAGTTCTCAATCAAAATTTGTAATCAGGTTTTCTAATTCTTGTAATTTGTGCTTCTATCATTATTAAAATGAATATTTGCAGCCACATAACCCTGTATCAATCCATTTCATTCACTTATTTCAGATGGTTGTACGTCATTCAACGAAGTATTCTGAATGTTGATGTAAAGTTGTCCATGTTCACCCAACAACTGAGTCTTCTGCAAAGACAAGTCACATTCTTAGATCAAGTTAAACAATGTCCGACCCTGTATTTATCATCTGTAGCTGAGGTTGTGAGAAGAAAACAATTCGCTGACAATTATATTCAGGTATTGTTGAGGGTATGAAAACTAATGAGATTACTTTCCAGGAGATTACCAGTCTGATCTGTACCATAGCTATTTATAAAGGTGCGTCCCTAAATTCCCTTTACAATTTCAATTTTGTTATAAAGTCAGTTTTCAATATATCTTAACCAGGTTTTGTTGTTTTTTAATCGGTATTTTTTCTTCATTTAATATATCTGTGAGGGCCAAAACATTATATAGTATTGATAAAATTTCTTTGCAATTTTGAAACCGTATGGAACACCCCCTGTAATAATATCAACGTAGCTAGGATATTCCATAACCACTGAACTTTTATTCCTTAAACTATTTATTGTATTATTTTTTTTTTATCAATCTTTATTACAGTGTGCTAACAGAGCTGTTGCAGAAGCTCGTGTTGAACGTGATCGAGAAATTGTGAAACGAAAGACTTTTCAATCCAACTTATCTGGTCATTTTATACAGGTATGACCGCAAAAATTAATATCTCTACTTCTGTTAAAAAAGGCATATCTGCTGTATTCGGTCAGACTATAATATTAAAAGTGACTTGGAATCCTAATTTTTTGTAAGCATTTTTTGTCACATTCACAATAATAAACTGGAGTAGATACACAAACTACTATTAGACCAAGACTATTAGACCAAGTCATTGGAAAAAATGTGATGATTTGTAGTGAACAACTATTTTTGAAACGGCGGGAATTTTTTCTGCGCAACATTTCCTAACCAAGTATATAACACACTAGTGAAATGATGGCCGGTGGACATGGGATTTGAGTTTCGAGGTTGGTAACCTACAATGCTAACAGAGTGCACGCTATTTAAAAGTCCGATTTCATATTCCCTTTGCTTCATATGAACAAAAAGGAGGTTTCATTTGGTGGACGTATTTTAAATGAACTAAAAGGTCATTGATAAAGGTTATGAGATTAAACTGATGGTTAATAATAACTTGTTATTTCAGAGATTATTTCATGGATTATCAGATAAACCTCCTTCACTTTCTAAGAAGCCGATGAGAAATTTTGACAATAATCTACCGAATATTACTTTAGAACATCTCAATACTTTATCAAAATTATTGCCTGATTATAAAGATATCTTAGAGGTTTGTTGACATTTTGTTGCCTACGTTTCTTTATCTCTGGAATAAACCATAAATATCCAATAGATAATTTAGGGATTTGGACTTATCTTATTCTATGTGATTTATTAATGACCAAGTCAATTTCAAAAATACAATTATTATCAATTAGGTATCAGAATACTAATAGATGTATATATTATATAATTGCTGCCTTTTTTATGCTGAGGGGACCTGTCTAACTATTACAAGTTGTTTAGAGCAATTTTTTGTGTATTTACGTTAGGAAAAAGTCTAATTTACTGTATAATTAATCTAAATATCTACCTCGTTAACTCCAAGCTAAATATATTTGAAACTAGCACCCTAGTCAAAATCGCATTTGTTTCTCAGGTCCAGGAACAATCCACCATGAAACCAAAATGGGAAACATATTCTAATATGTCTGATGTTCAGTCCACGTCTCTCGTATCACCTTCTACATCAACATTAGTGCAATCCAACCTCGATACATTCACTGCTTCATCTCAAAACACTGACTCACTGTCGCAGTCCATGTCAATAACGGACAAGGACAAAGAACGCAGTACAACAGGCTCATTTGCTATGGTGGGTCATTCGTCTATTGCTAAAAGTCAGCCCGGTGGTTTTGTTGTCACGTCGGTAGAAAATGTAACTCGAATTCATGAAAATGAGGATATTTCAAAAAATGAAAATCAAAGTGAAAGGTTTCAGGAAAATGTGCAAGATTTATCTCAAAGGTGAGTTTTTTTTTTCATTTTTCATCTTTATAGTATTCAATGTTCATTAAAAAAATAGTTTTGAAGTAAATCTGGCTTTGTAAAAACTATTATGATATATTGCTAATTTGTCTTCTCTAAATCTTACCCAAGCAAGCTTTTTGAATTGCACCTTATCACTGAATAGTTTTTCAACAAATATCTGTATATAGCTCTGTAATTCAATCTGAGGAGCAAGTTTCTAGCCTGTTATAGCTGTTATCATTCCGATTATGTACAGGGCCATTCTCATTTTCATCATGAAGTCATGAATTCTTCCCTTATTTCCCCGGAATATTATCATTATATATATATAGTTTATAAAACGCTTATCACACTCTTCTCTCTGAATGAAGCCCTCACCTTGTGACATCACTCACTTTAATTATAACTTAATGGCCATCAATGAATAAGACTTTAAATCTAATCTTATTCATACTTTATACTTTTTTCAGTAACTATCTTTCTCTTGATCTGTGTCCACCATGTTTTTGTTATATATCTTTTAATGTTGTTGTCATTCAAGCTTGTATATTGTGCCACCTTAATTAGAATGATTTTTTGTTTTGATGGCTACAAAGTGCACTGTCATTTTTTTTTAATCCCCTGTTTTGAACAAGATACTAAATAAGTTGGTTTTCATGTTATATACTGTTTTCCAGGAACTATCCTTCTCTCGATCGCACAGTTGAACACCAACATTCACCACCTACCAGTCCAGGAGAACAAGATCAGCCAGATTCCATCTTTGCACAGATTGGTGACATCATCAGTCCAGACAGTCCTCCTGATTCAGAGTTTTTCAGCATCATGCCTGGCTCTTTCGGAAATAATAGAACTTTAACAAAACCTTCTTTGGATTCTCAACCAGGAAGTTCTCTAACTGGAAGATTGGATGTTATTAATATAAGAAGAAGAGAATCGTTGCCTCGCTCACCAAGAAAACAATCTTTAATTGCCGTTGGGTCGCCAGATTCGAATACGTCGACTTCATATCAGAAAGTTGATGGTATGTTGCTCTGAATAATTAAGTCTAACTATTGATTTAAACACCAGAAAGAATTAGATATGAGCTGGATATGATTTTGAAATAGCAAAAATCTTCATTCAAAGTTTACTAGCTTGTTATAGCAATTGTGGATGGGGCAGAAGAAAATGTTCAAACCTCGTAATAACTAATTTGATTTACAGGTGAAATTAGTTTATTGCAAGCGGTGAAATGTAAAATTTCTGTTATTCTTTTGTCTCATATAAGGGAAATAAGTAATTCAAAAGTGATTAAGCTTCCAAATTTCATTGTTTTCTAAGAAAACTTAAATTAAACATTAATTAATCTGGGAAATTCAATATGAAACCAACTCCTTGAATTTCTAAAATACAATTTTAAGCAGTTAAGAAGTTCACAAGTTGTGAAAGGAACTGAAATTTATGGGTAGGAAGGTATATTTACTTGGCTAACACAGACAGTCCCGAACTTGTGATAAAACTAAAATAAGGAGATCGTAATAAAATTATGGCCTAACCCTAACCTGGTACACATATTACGGGAGTACCAAAATAGGTGTCATATAAAAATTAAAATAAACTACTTTGTTTTGTATCTATCCAGGCATCAGTAGTGATGAAGAAATGTTTCATTCATTTTCATCAGATCATCAGGATGTAAAACAATTGAGAAAGAAACTACATCAGGTAATTATGTCATATCAGCGCGAATCATACATGAATTTTTTAATTAAGCATCTAGGTTGACTGAAATTACTTCTTTACTTGAAAAACGGCTTCTTACACAAGTCTGGACAGCCCTCGTTTCCGCTCTATTCGTGTAGTTCGCCAATTCAAGTATTACAGTTTTTTCAAGAAATGTCTAGTTAGTGGTTCTATTATATCTAGGAAAACAGCAATAATATCTTATGTTTTGTAATGAATTCATTTCATATTATTGGGTTTTGGTGCAAGAAGTTTTACCTCTCTTTACCTGTTAAAACTTTCTTCTGGCCAACAAGTAATTCCATCGTATTTTAGTTACAAATAGAGACCAAATAATTTAAATAGTACCTAGATTAGAAGTTTATAATGCATTTACGTCTTCATACACTGGAATGAAAATAATTATGCCCATGTCATAACTGGTTATAATATTACTGAGTTGATACTTCATTTAACTGCACTTTTGGAATTATTTGTGGCAACGACTGTGTCGCGATGCACCATTTAGGAACCATTTATCCCATTAGATTTCATAAACTCATTCGATTTTAAATTTAAAACTCAAGTTCTTTATCTTCTGCCATTGAATGAATACTAGCACTGATAACTATTTCAAATTTCTTTTTCAGTTGCAAACGGATTATGACAATCTCACCCAAGAATCAAAATTAGAAAAAGAAGAATTGAATATTTTAATAAGGTATTGGAATATATTATATAATTTTTTAATTTTTCACCAATATGTAGTGTATGTGTACGACAGCGCTTTTTTGTATTTTGGCCCGAAAGTTCTTTTAATAGCTTTTGAGTAATTATTTATAGTTTGACAGTTTTATTGTTATTTCCGTGATTTTGGTTTTTGATATGACATTTCCTTTTTTTTCTCAATTCAAGCTTGAAAAGTACCCAATTGAGTTAAGATAAATATAGAAGATGATATTTATAAAGGTTTGACACAACTAACCCATTTGATATTGTGAGTGAAATGAAGGCTCTTTAGACTGGCATGATTCAAAGCATCTTCAAGATGCCTATGTCCGCATAGAAGGGCCAGCATGCGATAATCATTTTCTAGTATTTGAAACTTTTAATTTTTTGAACATCCCCATACATTCACAACTGATAAGAATCATTTCGCAAGAAAGGCCTACAGATGCTCACTAGTTGTGCATGCCTTACTGTAAATGAGGCTAGTAACTGACCTCTTGCTATCAATATTAATTTTCGTTTGTTTGATTTTCAAATAAACATTTCATTCGAATTATAGAAAACTTCAGCAAGAAATCTCAAGCCTGGAAGAAAATCAACGTAAAATAGAATCTGATTACGAGAAGAGGTGGCAGGAGTCTAAATCTGAACTTGACAACGTTATCAAACAACTGGAAAATGAGAGATTAGAAAGGAAAAAGGCTTGGTCAGAAGGTGCCAACTTGGAAAAGAAAATTAAAGTGAGTTACATTTGAATTTTTTAATTTACTTTTAATGAGTTTTTATTCATATTTAATGAAAATCAGAGAAATAATTGGAAGAGTGGCTTCAATTCTGAGAAGAAATTCTATTGAAGCCCAAAAAGGGTGCTGGAAGGTGCTGTGGCTCCAAAAACTAGAGATGAAAAATAAAGTTTAATTCGTAACTTGCTATTTAGGAATGTACCGCATGAATGCAGTTCATTAACTTTTTTTTTTTACTTATCTTTTTAATATGAATTTTCCCCTGTTTCAGACATTGGAAGAAGAAAAACGTACACATTCTTCGGAACTTGAAATGATCCAAAACCAAGTGTCAAATAAAAATTTAACGATTGAAAAACTAGAAAACGAAGTGAAGGAATCTGAAGACAGATTATCTTCTGCAATGGAAGAGGCAGAAAGGAAAATTGCAGAAATCATAAGAGCGAAAGAATCCCAATATGAAAAAGAACTACAAACTGTAAAATCTGCGTCGTTGAAATTTGAGAGAGAATTAGCGCTCGCTCAAACTGAACTTTCTACCTCTGAAGACAGAATACAGGAATTAGAAACTGCGTTGTCAGATCGTGAACGAAGACAACAAGAAGACGCTTCACAAGTTCTCGAATTTGAAACTAAAATTTGCGAACTCGAACGAGAACTAGGGTGCACTAGAGAGTCATTCCAGAAAAGTACTTACGAAAAATCTGAAGCGAAACAACAAATTCTTGATCATGAGCAAAAACTAGCGAAAGCTCATGATCAGATTGAATCTTTAAAACGATTACTCGTTGATTACGAGACGAAAATAAACGATGACAAAACGAAAGATCATTTACTAAAAAATTTAAAACTTTCTGTACATGATTTAGAACTAGAAAAATCCGAACTAACATCGAACTTAGAATCCTCTAAAAAAGAAATTGAAAAACTCAAAAACGAACTCAGTGAATCCGAAAAAACTGCTCAAAATTTGAGATCGATTGGAGCGCAAGATGAAAAATCATATAAAGAAGAAATTGAGAAACTAAAACGCACTCACGCTGACGAAATAAAATCCACTTCTGAGCAACACGGAGAGGAAATAGTCAAATTGACTGAAAAACATGAAAATGAAATAAAAGAAATTACTCAGGAACATGAAAAGATCATTATTGATAAAGAACAATACTGGAAAGGGAAGGAGGAGACTTTGAGTAATGCTCATAGGTTGGTGAATTTTGAATTTTTTTTGTCCAAGTTTTTAGAATTTTAATATATTAGGTTTTAGTTTAACTGCACCCTACATTGCATTGGTGAATGGTGATGCATTTTTACAAATTCAGGCAGTCCTGAAAAACAGCTGCTGATATCGTAAAGATAAAATTTGGCCACGTATATTTCATACATATTTGTAATGTGGTACTCCCGTAGTGTGTGTACCAGATTAGGGATAGAGTCGATAGACCATAGTTTTATTCCGATTTTCCTTATTTCAGTTCTATTATGAGTTCGGGGACTGCACTGCCCAAAGGTTTCAGTCCCTTTACACAACTTGATGTGAAGTAGGCAAACAAAATTAGTTACCTACATATTGGTACAGACACTTTGTAGAGCACCGGTAAGGTTTCGCACTGCCTCCTTGAATTTGTTTGGTTAGTTGATGACCATGCAAAGACTGACCAAACTAAATCTAACCACCAAATCCTGGCCAATCCTACCACAGGTTCGACTCATTTTTGTATAATAATAACAGGAATGAAATCGATGAGTTAGAAGCCGATCGTCTTGCTAGCATTGCTTCCGCTCAACAGTCAATTGAAGATTTGAGAGAGAAATTACGAGAAGCAAACAGGACTCTTGGTAAGAACATATAATACATTGCTTTAATTTCGATGAGGATATTATCAATGACAACTTACCAATACTTCGAGCTGTAGAGCACTAGATATGGTACAGTATAACAAAGGACGAGAGGCCACAGATAATCATGCCATGCCGTCTTATTGGTCTCTTGGAAATAAGTGTGAAGATCCTATCTTAACATATCGTTAATATGACCAAGTTAGAACGCGATCCGATTTCTCAACAATGTATGTTTGAAATGCAATTTCAAATTATATCGTAAAAATTTAAATTTTTTTTCAAAATTTCCTTGCGGAAAATAGGGAATGTTTGGTGGGAGCAGCATATTTTAACAAGTCATTAACAAGTTCTCCTTGGAATTGATTTTCTTTTTTCAATAGATATCTCCATAAAGCAAACGAAAAATACAAAACCTCATCAAATTTTATTAATAATTTTAAATAATTAATTAACGGTTGATATTTAGCATGACAACACACTTTATTCTTATGAACTTTTGGTTTTCTAAAAAATCATGAGTATCACAAATTTGGAAACCTAATGCATTGTGTTTTCCTGTCAGATATTAGAAAGAAAGAATTTGCAGAAAGCAAGGATTCATTTGCTGAAAGTCACAGAAAGCTGGAAGAAGATTATTCAAGGTAATTATTATAAGATAAGGAGTCAATTTATAAAAACCATTATGAACCTAATGTCCTATTGAATAGTGCATATGTTGACATTATAGATGTACCGTAGAAATCCGAGGTTTAACGCCTGTTCAATGTACTGTTCTACTTGGTCCATCCGAAAACTAAGCATAGAGCCCACATCTTATCAAAAGTGTTCCCAAATTTATGAACAAAATACACATTTAGAAAGTAATTCTTATTCTATTATAAAAGTTGCTTAAAAACTGCCATAAATTTTTCTATCATATATTGATAATATATTTCTTAATCTTCAAGTTTTACAAAGTAATATTTTATCTTACTCAGAATAATTTCTGAAAACGAGAATCTTGTTACAAAAATATCTGAAATGGAGCAAGAAATATCTCAATACCAGGAAGAAATCAGAAAACATCAAGAACAAGCAAAACAAGATGTTGCCATGACAACTATGATAACTTCTTCATCCTCCACAGATGAAGAAATGAAATCAAAAAGATCAAGTGAGTATAAACTGTTTCTTTGTTTTTTCCTTGCGCAAGATCTGATTCAGCGATTAGTGAATTTTAAGCCAACATTACTTATTTCCTATGTATGTATATATACTGGGTGTTAAAAAAGTATCGCAAAAATAACAGAAGTTAAAATGAAATGCTACTTGAAGCATTTAACGACTGACACCTTTTAACAGTATTGAATTTTGGTTAATGCCATTTAAACATTTCACGACTGACGTTTTTTAAAAGTTACTTTTTTAACTTTGCATGACATAAAATTTTACCTTAATTTTGAGTAACTACTTCTTTAACACACTGTATATATACATATAATTCACAGCCCATATAATTCTTATAATTATTAGGCTTCCCGCTGCTTGTCAGCAGGGAACCTATTGTATTCCTGTGTTTTATTATTATTATTAATTATTATTATTATTTATTTATTATTATTATTATTTATTTATTTTTATTATTTTTTTTTCAAATTGGTCCTACAAACTTGAAATTCCCCTCAAATGTGCAGAAGTTCTCAGCTAGCAATAAAATGCAAATGCTCCAGTGCAAAATGCAGTTTTTTTTACGCGGGAAGCCTGTTAAAGCTGCACGCAGCTCTAGTTACTTTTGAATTTTGCCTTTTTTTCCAGAAATTGATTCCGGTATCTCTGATGACTTGATGGTGTCATCGAGTGTGGATGGCCTACCTGATGCCAACGGAAACCCAATAAACATGATGACAATGTCTGTCGTTGACCACAAAAAGAAAATTGATGAAATCAAAAAGAATTTTGATGAAGATAAAAAAGCTTTGCAGAATTTATTCAAAAAGGAAGAAGAAGAATCGGCCAGAAGGAGACAGGTTGGTAAATTTAATTCTTGTCTGTAAAATTCTGTTGAATCTCACTTAAAATCGAGGTATAAATGAAATCAAAATATCAATTACACAAAAAAAATTTTCTTGGTAAATTTTATATAGTAATTTTCGGCATAAGATAGAGTTATATTTTATAAAATTAAGGAGAGGAATCCCGATTAATTGCTCAATTACCTAGTTGAATAATGATCTTGGCTTGTTGCTAGTTAAGGTTAGGCTTAGGAATAGCTAACCAGCACAATGTCTCAAACGAATAGTCTCGGCTTGCAAGCAAAATTTACAATATTTAAAATCAAATTTGTTTTTACTTTTAGTAAATAATCTAAATATAGATGCCCTTGTCCCAAAAGTTTATGAGATATTGTAAAGTTGTAATGATTGTAATGTAAAGGTTTTTGGTCCATAATGGTACAACTTATCTTTATTGGCAATACTGGCAACACTTCAGATTTTGACTTTTATTAAAATACCTTCATTACAATAATGTTGGTGGCCTTGATTATTCTGAATATAGGCAAGGTTCCCAATGTTTAAAATTATAAGAGATTGTAATGTTTTCATCAAATTGAGATTTTCGTATTTATTATACTGCAACAACTTATCTTTATTGGCAATACTGACAACACTTCAGATTTTGACTTTTATTAAAATACCTTCATTACAATAATGTTGGTGGCCTTGATTATTCTGAATATAGGCAAGGTTCCCAATGTTTAAAATTATAAGAGATTGTAATGTTTTCATCAAATTGAGATTTTCGTATTTATTATACTGCAACAACTTATCTTTATTGGCAATACTGACAACACTTCAGATTTTGACTTTTATTAAAATACCTTCATTACAATAATGTTGGTGGCCTTGATTATTCTGAATATAGGCAAGGTTCCCAATGTTTAAAATTATAAGAGATTGTAATGTTTTCATCAAATTGAGATTTTCGTATTTATTATACTGCAACAACTTATCTTTATTGGCAATACTGACAACACTTCAGATTTTGACTTTTATTAAAATACCTTCATTACAATAATGTTGGTGGCCTTGATTATTCTGAATATAGGCAAGGTTCCCAATGTTTAAAATTATAAGAGATTGTAATGTTTTCATCAAATTGAGATTTTCGTATTTATTATACTGCAACAACTTATCTTTATTGGCAATACTGACAACACTTCAGATTTTGACTTTTATTAAAATACCTTCATTACAATAATGTTGGTGGCCTTGATTATTCTGAATATAGGCAAGGTTCCCAATGTTTAAAATTATAAGAGATTGTAATGTTTTCATCAAATTGAGATTTTCGTATTTATTATACTGCAACAACTTATCTTTATTGGCAATACTGACAACACTTCAGATTTTGACTTTTATTAAAATACCTTCATTACAATAATGTTGGTGGCCTTGATTATTCTGAATATAGGCAAGGTTCCCAATGTTTAAAATTATAAGAGATTGTAATGTTTTCATCAAATTGAGATTTTCGTATTTATTATACTGCAACAACTTATCTTTATTGGCAATACTGACAACACTTCAGATTTTGACTTTTATTAAAATACCTTCATTACAATAATGTTGGTGGCCTTGATTATTCTGAATATAGGCAAGGTTCCCAATGTTTAAAATTATAAGAGATTGTAATGTTTTCATCAAATTAAGATTTTCGTATTTATTATACTGCAACAACTTATCTTTATTGGCAATACTGACAACACTTCAGCGAGTTTTTCAAAAATTCCCAAATTTTTGTTTAGATGGTTTTCAATTCTGCAATACAACGTGTCGCATCGAGTAAAGATATAGAAATTGAAAAACTAAAAGAACAGCTGATGTCACAATCTCGTTCTATTCCCGGTATTGCGCAATCAATGATGGTACAAGGCTCACAACCTATGTCATCTTCTATCACACATTCATCTACGTCACCATCTTCATTGGGAACGACACCTGACATCATGCAGGCTTCCACTTCTGGTTTGGGAAAGACTTTCGATAGAGACAAAGATAAAGCTGCTGTTGTGAAGTATGTTATTTTCCAAATTCCCCTTTTTCAATTAGACAATGTACTTGGATTGATATTGGGCGCTCCAGAAGTGTGTGTCCAATATGAAGGTAAATAAGGTTGTTCGCCTACTTCACATCAAGTTGTGTAGAATGTTAATTGGAATGAAGTGGACTAATGAATGACTGTGTAAGCGCTGACTCCGACGACATTATTGTCTTATTGCTCCCCCCCCCCCCCCCCCAGTCTATACCGGAATTAACTGAAAATATTTTATTTTACCATTGCTTGTTTTCTGGTTGACGAAACGATAAATCTCTCTCTCTTTTTCTGACTAAATAGCAGTGAAAATTATCTGTAACTGCCTATGTTGTTGCCAATGGTACCCAGGATAGGATCATGTAGGTAAAAGCAAATACATGCACTGATCTGTATATTGATAGAGTTCATTGCAAAAGTTTCTCCTGTTTCTAATACATTTTATCGATTATTTTACAGTTTCCAAATTGGCGATAATGTTCTTGTTTGCTTCAATGATACTTATCAGCATTTTACTCTTCTGACAACATCTCGAACATTACATTTTGTTCACGCAGAATCCCTGGATAAACTAGGAATCAACAGTTGTAAGTATCAATTTACTCAATTTGAAAAAACATAATATTAGGAGAACAGTGATTGTTCAATTATATCATGCATGCAACTGGTGGGGAATAGTGGTGACTGGTGAATGCAATTTTCAGTCTAAACACATAAAGGTTTGATTTTTAAAATAGGATAGGATTTACCTATTTATCCCGGAGGAGAGGAAAGCCGATAAATCGACTCAATTATATGACGAACCACGGCCTCTCGTCCGGTTACCATGTCGGGTATTGCATTAGTCAGTTATTTGTTTTCGAAAGTATGGACTTGATGGTGGAGGAAGCCGTAACCGACCAGCAGTTATGTGAACCACCCTACCCCTATTATAATTAATTGTAACGTTCTCTTAGTTCCCTCGTGATTTTTAGAATAGTCTGTGTGCGAACATTTGTCGATGTGTGTTGAACAATACATTATTAAAATCTGTAGTACTATTTTGGTCCAATTGCTTTATTTTTTTGTTTTCGAGCAAAAAATTGGAAAATCCAGCAGATTACATTGTTAAATATTATCTTATCTTTGCCTTCTTTTTCATTTACATATTTCTGGTCAAAAGATAGGAAATGAAGATAGCACATAATTCCATTTTGTAATGAATATTATTTAATTTTACAAAAGTATGTATAAGCGTGAGAGTTAAAAATGTTATACTTCGACAAAAAATTATGCAACTGGATACATACAAGTGAGCTACTTATTCTAAATTTCTCAACATTTTTTTTCAGCCAATCCTGAATCCAAAAAATCAATGACCTTTGCTACTCTGGTTGACAAAGAATACTGCCAAGCTAGAAAAGCACAAAATCGTTTCCGAGTTCCAATCAATACAAAGTTTTATCGTGTCAAAGTCACGCCTTTTGCAAAGAAAGATTTGCAAAGTTGAAAAGTTCAAAACCTGAATGGGTGTTTATTGTTCGACGCCATTCTGTTAAATTAATCATGTTTTAAACGCATTTTTTATAATTCAATAAGCATTGCCTAACCGAGGGATGGTCAGGAGTCCACTCACAGTAAATGTATTGGAATTGAGGAATGTATGTAACTTAATTTAGTTTGCCCATCCCTGCCCACATAACATAACCATAACATGTCCAATTATTAGTATATTAATATCAAAAATGATAAACTAAAAATATTAGAATTAAAATTTAAGATTTAATGAGTAGTACTACACTATTTTTTTCCAAGTTTGATTACATTTCGCAAACTAGTTTTGTAGTAACTTTTGTTTTGTCATTTTTCTGTCACCTTAATTTTGATTATTAGTGAAATTCTTCAAATTCAAGTAATCTTCCAGGTTTGCTAATGTCAAGCCTGGACAAAACATAATAATTTAAAATCCTTTTCTTTCATTTTTATTTGACTCTTTCCAATCTCGACCTGAACTTGTATCTTTTCCACATATTTCATATGTTTGCAGTTAGCGACTGGTATACTTTCTTGAATCAATAAAGCATGGTGAATTAGGTTTATCATGAAGGTCTCGATATAACCAATATTAAATGATATCAAGTGTATAAAACAAGAACGGATATTTCGTTCAGATAAAACTATACTAATTGAAGTCCCAGTTCGTTGCAACTTTCCTCTATTTTTTTGCAAATCTTTCTGACAAATATATCATAAAGGTTTCCCCTTAGAGTTAGACAAAGTACATTTAACAAGACTAGGTAAACGAATCAGACTAAACAATACAAATTCAAGGTCTTACCCACTTCAAGTGATCGAAGGGTCTTGCAGCACACTAACACAAATATGATGACTTTAGTCAGACAAAACTCTACAGACATACAATTGTGTTAATGTGCAGCAAGACTCTTGCACCGCTTAGGATAGTTATCTCTACTCTTGTTACGGCATCCTTGCTTTACGTGCATACGGATCCACCGGCACGATAGCATAGAAGAAGGATAAGTAGTAAGTCCGGCAGAAACCCAATCAGTAAACTTATCCAGTTGGTTGCAACTTCGCTCTATTTTTGTGCAAATCTCAACGAATTTCAATATTTTTGTGCAGAAAAAGATTTTCTTAGCATCTCACTGTGAAATTGATAATTTCTTTTCTTGTCAGTGTTTTTCGTTCACGTGCATATATATATATATATATTGTAAATTGCTTACTCCTGGTGATCTAGCTTCTATTTTGTGCGATTTTATTTACATCTGTGTGGGTTTACGGTTCAATATTATTAATATTTTGTGTTCCGAACTATACAGCGATAATTAATGTGGAGTATACAATGGCAGTATTTTGTCTTTGAGGAGACAAAACGCAAACATTTGGGACAATTTCACATTTCTCAAATCAAATATAATATGGAATTGGTATAAGATATTCATTTGCTAATACTCTATATTGTATCATTCGTCATTGTGACATTTGTTGGTAACTAGTGGGGTGTTGGGAAAATAGAGATAAATAGGTAATGAGTTGGTTTAGTATAATTTCTTGAACTTAACCACTATTATAATTGTTTTTATACAGGAATAAGGTGTGTGATATCACCCTATCTCTATTGTAGTGTCTCAAAAATGTTGTGTTTCACACTTGTATGAATCTCACTTCATATGAATACTTCAACCTTCTGACAAATAATTGATCTTCCCAGCAAAGAATATAGCATGGATTTCACTCCGTATGCTTTCTTTTACTATTTGTTCACAATATATATCTACCCCAACTCAGATACAAGTTTGCTAAAATAGAACGGTTGGTACATGGCATTTTCGAGACACTAACATTTTAGTTGAAAGTTTTCTCGGATATTAATCGAAGCTCCCTAATTTCTTTCGGAACACTTCTTGTTTGTATTTTTGAACTCACTACTTCAAAAAATATGTACCATGCGATTTTTTTGAGGTGAAGAATTATTATTTCAAATTTTTTGTTCTTATTTGTGTGCATTAACCCCGTAATTTTCATATTTTTCGCTCACTTGCACTTTTAAAAACTAATAAATCTACGATTTCGCCTGCATTTGTCAGAAACAATGAAAGCTTTGGAGAGTGACTCAAACATAAAAGAGATAACAAGCATTTCATGATTTGTCTGAAAAGAGGTAGCAATCCAGTACAAGCATCCATTGCTTTAAGACGGGGATCGACAACCTTTTGTCGCTTGCGGGCCAAAATGGAGGGCTGCAAGTCTTGGCGGGGCGCATATATTTTTAAAGAGTTAAAAACCGAACGGATGGCCGGCGAATCACAATGTTTTTTTACACAAAGCAGAAGTTGAAATTTTGAACAGCGCGCGAAGACTGTCAACTCGTGAACTTAAAATTACAAATTATATTTAATGTGACACTTGTTGCATCACGATTGATAGATCTGCGGCACACTGGATGGGCATCGCTAATCGGAGTTCTCATCTTAATGTTCTTTGTATTGTTCATTTTCGAAAATAATTGTTCGCACGCATATGTACTTCCAAACAACAGACAGCGCAGGCACTCTGTTTTTAATTGCTTGTCCTTTTAAAGTCGTGTCTGTTGCATCGTGCACACTGTTTTTGTTTTCTGGCCTTGATGTCTGGATATCGTAATTGAGCGTTGAATACAAAAGTGCACCGTGAAAATTTCTTGACTGTTTATTATGTAAACCTGTGTACTGGGGCAACAGAATAGCCGAGTATTTGCCAGTATTCAAAAGTCAAATAAATTGTCGTTCAGCGAGGAAGAATATTATCGTCGAACGCCATCGCCTAAAAACCCCGCTACGTTGCACATATCGTGTCCATATAATACAGTGGTTCCTTACCTTTTCTTCTTCATTGCCCACTTCCAAGTCGGAGAGTTCTTTCATTCCCCGCAGACTAAAGCCTCTAATAAAATTTGGTAAGACTGTAAGGAATATTAGTTATTTAGACAACATTTTTTCATAGTAATGTTCGGAAAACCTGAAATTAGCCCAAAACTTCTTCTAATTTGAAAAAAAAGTATTCATGAAACATTTCGATGTAAAGTTGATAATTAATTACCCTTTCGTAATGAAGCACGACAGCAAAAAACAATTTAGATTGCCCTGAGACTTTGTTTAATTAGGTACAAAAATCAAGACCCAAGTTAGTTCGGAGCTTTTGTTAAAGAAACAGCTCTTGAAAAAGCTCGTGGTAGTAAAAAAAAATGTGTGATGTACTGCTTCGATTCTCTACGCCATAGGTTCTCAAAGTGCTCCGTACGGAGCCCCAGGGCTCCGCGAGAGAAACCCAGGGGCTCCGCGAGCTATCCGATTACTTTTCAAAATAATGACTAGTTTTGTAACTGTTCAAAGAAACAATAACAGCTTTGATAAAATTTGACAACAATATAGCCTCGAAATATGGCAAAGAGGCGGAATTGAAAAATGACATTATTTATGAGCTGGAGCGCAGCCAGGATTCTCAAGAGGTGGGGATTCGAATCGTAAATTTCCGCGCAACATTCTTTGCGATTATAAAAAGCGGATAAGGAGAATTCTGTTGCGTAAAATATTCAATGTATGGCCGATGCGAGCATTTAAAGCAGTGCTCTTCAACCGGGTATACTGTATACCTAAGTGTATACCAGAACATTCGTAGGGTATACAACTGATAATGGGTATACGAAGGGTGTACAGCCTAAATCAGGAATTGTAAGCTCTAATATAATAAATTATAAAATATTCAATTTAGAGACAACAATGCAAACGCGACGCACATGAAACATAAAATGTCATTCACGCAATCAACCGACTTGAGCACATTGTTACATCACAAATTATGTAGATAATGCAGGTCGCTTGATCTGCGGAAAGAAAATGAATTACACGATGTTCTACGGGAAGTCGTATATTTTGTGAATACGATTAAGAAAAGTTCAAAACAAACGATAATTTTCTCGAAACTGTGTGAAGAAAAAGCTTTCAAAGAACTTCTTTAACATTCAGAAGTACGGCGGCTGTCCCGAGGAAAAGTTCTTTCCCGTGTGTTGGAACTTCGCGAGCAATTAGGGGCGTATTACACTGAAAAGGGAGACCAAAAAGCCACCAAGTTTCGTAATATATATTGGGTTGCAAAATTAGCGTACATGGCGTCGATTTTTGATCGTTTTAATCAAGTGACTGTCAGTCTTGAAGGGAAAGGAGGTGATATATTTTGATCAACTAGCGAAATCAATGGTCTGAAGATGAAAATTCAACTCTGGAAAAACAATGCCTCTTCACAAAACTTTATTGACTTTCCTCTTTTAAATCAATATTTGAAAGAGTCTGGGTGGGAGTTTGAGGACGTTTCAACGATAAATACCATGTCTACCCTAATTGTTGGTGATTTGAACGTACTGGGTGATAAATTGGCGTTGTACTTTCCCTAGGATAATAACAGACGCCTGGAAGAAAACTCGTGGATAATGCAGCCATTTACTAGTGAACCAACAGAAGACGAAGAATTGTTGGAAATCCGGGAGGATTTAAATCAAAAATTTTAATTCCGCGAAATGCATTACTCGGGAGTTTTGGGTTTCTCTTTTTAAATTTGCCGATCACAAAAATCTGGCAGAAAAGGCCGTTGCTCTTCTGGTACAGATGCCTACGACTTATTTGTGTGAAGAAGGGGTTTTCAGTCTTGCCGAAAAAGCGAAACTCAATACTTGATATTGATTCACTAATGCGGGGAGCAATTGAAAAGGAACTAAAACCCTGTTATAAACGAATTGCCGAAACTATACAAGAACAAAGAAACCACTGGAACTAAATTAACATTGTCTTTACTTTTTTTACACATTTGGATGTTAAATTAATTGCATCTGTGAGTAAAAACTAAAAGAAGCATTCATAATGACTCGCCCCGCCACCTAGATTTTAGTTTTTTTCAATATATGCCTAACATTTAATGTTCATTTTAGCTTGAAATAAACATTGGTATTTGTAAGGTATACGAAGTTCTCGAAAAACTGTAAAAGGTATACCACGTAAAAAAGGTTGAAGAACACTGATTTAAAGTGTCTTGTCGTAATAATTCAATTGTACTCATAGTTACTCAAGTTTCATTCGAGATTACAATTAGGATTACTAAAATGAAAGAATACTATTCTAAAATAACATAAAACACGTGATAAACTGCCAACTTTAAATAAATTGGAGTCGTATTTTTGCGATCTTGGAATTTGTCAAACTTGATTTGTTCTTTTTTTGTTCTTATTATTAAGCAAGATATCGCCGTTTAAAAAAATCACAAAATCTGGGCAAAATACGATTGAAATTTATTTTAATGCAATGCGGCTCCGTCGGTAGTTTCAGAATAAAAAAAAGGTAAATCGCGCACACAATTGACTGTGTTTCGATTTCGCAGTTACTATACGATGAATAACCAAAGAAAACCTAACATTACACCAAATTTTGTGATTTACAATGCCTATAAAAGCGTTTTTAATCTGACGCGAGTCTGCTAAAACCAAACTTATAGTGTGATCTTTTATTTTAAGTTTTAATATTTTAGAATGCCGTTTTTCAATCAAGAAATTTGAGTTGCGGATTTACCTCTTTATTATTAATTATTATTTTTAGCATTTCGTCGCCGATGACTATATGGTAACATGTTTTTCACATTGAACTCATAATTCCCCACGAGAACAAAAAAGCAATTATCGTCGTCATTGTGGAACAATACATGTATATGCCGAAGAAAATTTTTGATTTAGGGAGAATAAACACCGGCGTAAAGATGTTTAAAAACATGCCATGCTGACGAAAACTATCGGTGATTGTAACAAAATGCAATCGCGCACGTTATTAGCAGCCGTTTAAGTCTTCCGAAAATGTCAAAAGGGAAAAGATTCGACCCCTAGTTTATTAATATGTTTGTCAAGTGTCAAATTTACAGCTTTAGTGATAGTATATAGTATTTATCTTTGAAATTTTGATTTATTTATGACTTGCATTAACTCCATTAAAAAAAGGTTTAGCATTTAAATTAAGTTAAGTACTTTTAACTTACTCAGGAATATTTATCGGAAAGCTACAATTTTAACATTTTTATTGGGGCTCCGCGAATAATAGTCAACCTTTTCAGGGGCTCCGCAACACCAAAAGTTTGAGAACCCCTGCTCTACGCAACAACACGTTTACAAGGACTTTCTTTCCAAGTTTTAAGTACTTTTTGGCACCATAGGCTTCTTTCTTTGCTTAGTATATTTTGATTTTTGTTGGGTAATAATATTTACTTACTGTGTTTACTGCGTGCTATTTTTGGTTTTGGTACGAAGTATCTGAACCAAGATGGCGGACACCGGAACGCAGTATGTGTACCAGGTTAAGGTTAGGCCACCGGGAATAGGCCGGTTGGGAACCTCTGAATGCCCATATCACTGAACATATGCCGAAAATGATCCCAAACCTTAGCCAAGATTACCGTACTGACTTGTGTGAATAGAGCACACCGATCTATCATATATATATATCTTAAATATCCATTAGGTAATTTCAATATGTATAATATACGGTATATATATGGGAATTATATTTTTAATATCAATTTTAATAAACTAAAAAATAAATGGGCTGAAAATGAAGCAGAAAAGATTGTCAACAATTTCGGGCAAAAAGACCATAATTTAGCAAAATGTTAGCGTTTTGGGGCCTAGTTATTGAACAAAAATATTGCTGATATTCGAAATGTTTTATATTCGATCAACAAAATAATTAGTTGAGTAAAAAGTGAAGGAAATAGTAAGATTATAGCGTGACTGCATCGCTACAGCTATCAAAATTAAGCAACAGATAACAATTTTTTGTCAATAGCACCATTTAACATAATACAAAAAAGCAAAATCTATGCTAAAGTTACGATACACAAACTAAGAAAAGATTTACTTGGCACGTTAGAAAAAATTATGAAAACACTATCTTAAAAATAAAATTGTTATCTCAAATTTAGAAATGACAAACGATAAAATATATCACTCAGTGGCACAATGTATTGTACATGTGAAGATATTGTTCACCATGTCATTATTAGGGCTGGGCATTTCGAATCGAATCGAATAGTAAATTATTCGAATCGGTTCAGACTGGAATTTCGAATCGCCCCCATCTTGTTTTTATCTTTCGGCTAATGGTCGAGGTGAATTCCCCAATTTTTTTTTCATTGAAGTCATATTTTTTCAGCGAAATTCTAACATATGACTATTTTCTGTAGTGAGTTATTGATAAAACGTGCTTGTTATTCTGTGTGAACGCTCAGTAATCTATCTGAGTGATTTATTCTATGTCTTCAGTAATTCATTTGTTGAGAGGACCAATTACTATGATAAAGTCGCTTACAATTTTATATTTTCAAGTATTCGAGATTCGATTCGATTCGAAAAAATTATTCGATTCGATTCTGAAATCACAAGGTATTCGAAAATGCCCAGCCCTAGTCATTATCCCTGTCCTATGTAACTATGGCTTTTGAGCGCTCCGGAAGTATTCGTACCAAGATGACGCACAAGCTGAACAACCACAACCTGAACAACCCCAACCTGGTACACATACTTTGTTCAGGTTGTGCAACATCTTGATACGAATTCTTCGGGAGGACCGGCTTTTGAACATAATTCATAAATGTATATTTGTATTGTAAACGTTAGCAAACCATCATCTAGCTTTTTAATCCAGCAATACATTTTCTACACGAGCAAAAATAGCAATCGAATTAAGTTTGCCATGAATTATTCTGAATAACCTGTTTTTTTTCATCTTATTATGATAGATAGTATAGTCGGATATATAGTATATAAGATGAGATGAGCTAGAGTGGTAGTTTATTGTCATGTCGTTATTTTCGCAGAATTTCCAAAAGTTCGGGGTCATCCTTAGCACCCTCGACGAATTCTGCCTTCGAAATTTGTCCTGACAAAACAAATGAAATTAGGAATAACAGAGAGTATTGTTAAATTTAGTTTTTCTACAGTAGGCTACTGTCAACCAAAAGTGCTATGATCCACTAACAATATCATAAAAGAAATAAAACGTTGCAGATCTCAATTGCAATTAAATTCCCTAAACCTAAATAATTGGGGTTAAAATTGTTTTGAAACGTTAAGTGTAATTTATTCTATCTTTTATCGATGATTTACTGTATATATATATATACTATAGAAATGCAGTCCTTCGTTTTTGAATGCAAGTTTAATTCTGATAATTCACATAAAATGTTAGAAGAGGCCTGTGATAAATAGATTCATTTATTTGTTATTCACGAGTGGCACTTACTTTTGACAGACAAAGGTGAATAAACTAATAAGGATATATAAGATTAGGTAAATAGTAAAGTATATTCACCGTCGCCGTTATCGTCTAGTTTCTCAAATTTTTGTTTCGTGCGATTCCGAACATCAGCCATACCTCCTTTTCTTTGCTCTTCTGGCAGTGTGTTATGAATCGCCTGTAAGGTCATCAATAAATTTAAAACATAAAAGAACACGTTCTGTTTTGAGAAATGGTTAATGAGTAGCCTGGCTGAGTATATATGAGTGCACAAACGTCACTATTTAAATTATGTTCGACCAAAATCAAACCAAAACTGATTAATTAATCATAATTTCCATACAGTTTTGTCGAGGAGATGTTTGCAAACAACATTTTTAATTTAGACTTTGAACCAGTTGTACTATCATTAGCCATGAACATCCCGAATCGGATAAGAATTTATTCGAACCAGTTCGGACGAAAATTTCGAATCGCCGCCATCTTGTTGTTTTTTTCCGCCAAAGATTCTCTTAAATTTTTTCTATTGAAGTAATATTTTCAAATTGTAATTCTGACTTTTTTTCATATGACCCTTCTTTTTTCAAAGTGAGTTATTGATGAAACATGTTGCTTAATATATGTGTGAACACTCTGTGGTCTAACTGAGTGGAAGATTCTATGTCTTCAGTAGTAACTTAGAAATTCTCCCTAAAAACGAAAACTAGACTCTGAAAACAGACGTTTCTTGGATAGCGTTCGTATTTATGTAATAAAAAGAATCAAACCTCAGCGATTTGTCTATTTTGTCAATGAACTATTCCAGTCCTGAAGGAATACAACATTACGTCCATTATGAGTCGATTAAACATGTTTCAAAAAAATGTCAAAGGAAAGAGAATCCACAGAACCGCAGCTAAACCGTTGCGCACTTTCGGAGGCTACACTCTTCTGGCCCGCGAACGTCCTCCCAATTTTAATCTTGGCCCGCGGCAAATAAAGTTTAGGAACCCCTGTTCTAAAGTAACCACCCATGCCTCTAATGTAAATAATGGTCGCCCATGAGACTTTATCATTCCAGTCTTTTCAGTACTCGCTGCTGAAACTCTAAGTTATTCATTTTCTTTTGTTGAGTGTGACAGTCTTTGTATTTGTCAGAAGTACTTGTCTACTACTTATGGCCAAGGCCATAACTTTATTTCAATTTTCCTTATTTTAGTTCTATTACGAGTTTGGGGACTAGCCAAGTGACTCCCGTAGTATTTGTACATGAAATTATGGCCTAACCCTAACCTGGTACACCTACCACGTTCCGGTGTCCGCCATCTTGGTTCACATACTTCGCGAGTACCAGAAAATAATATATATTCATCTATGAACAGCTGAATCACAAAACTTCAAACGTACCTTGAAGATTTCCATCATTTCGGTCAACGATATGTAACCGTTCTCATCTATATCATAAAGACCAAACGCCAATTCCAATTTCTTTTCTGGGGAACCTTGTGACTTCACATACTCAGTAATTATAAATTCCCGGAAGTCGATGATACCTGTAAACCAAGTTATTTTACCAAAATATAAACTATCCAATTAGAGCAGAGGTAAGCAACCTTTAATGCAGGAGGTTTAGATACAAATAAATGGGTGAAACCGCGGGCCGCATCTTTGTTTAACATTTAACATAGGCTTTGCAATGATCGCAGTCACAAAAATTATAGGTATAGATCCTATGAAATGCACAAGCTTAGATATAGGCTCCGTAACGCAAAGGATTTGGAATTACTCGAACGTACTAGTTTATCCTAAATTAAAACTCGTTTTGTGGGCACACCATTCAAAATTGGCACTTAACCGCGGGCCACACAATTTCCCCTTGTGGACCGCAGGTTGCACACCCTTGATTGAGTTGATAGGTATAAAATCTGTAGCAAGGTGATGTCATTTTGCGCGGGGGAGGCCATGATTACTGCAATATGTACCGCAGTTATTTCAAATAAAAGTACATAAAAACAAAATTGATACACGTCCACTATCTATAGATATATCTACACATTGTCCCAAACTGTAAATTACTAAAACGAGTAATAAATCGTAGGGCAGAGTACCTCGAACCAAAATGAGTTTCCCTGGACACACAAGAAAAGGCCATCATTAGGTAACATCCGATAACTGCATTAATTTGAAGCAAATTGACTATGACTTGTTTAATTCATCAGTAGTAATGCATTAATTCTCTTGCTTCCGTTATTTGACTTTTTTTTGTTAGAACGAGGCTCATAAAACCAAATAGTACTATTGATAATAAATTAGTTATATATGTTGAGAAGCATTGCCTTAACGAATGTGAGAATTCATTTAAACATCTTACAATGCATGCAATTATGTACTTTTTGTCATATTTCCGGGGCCCTTATTTGCAAGAAAACAGATAGCAAATCGAAATAGGCCAAATGCACAACAGACTTAAAGTAAAATTGATCAGATGAAACGTATACCAAAAGTGAAATTTCCGTGACAACTATGCCAACCACCTCATCAGTATGCAACAAATGAGACTGAAAGATACAATCTTTCCCGAAAATATTATTATATCAGTTATTGCCTATGTTTGAAGGGGAGGTGTGAAAATATTTCATAAAATTATTATCAGTTTCTATTAGCAGTTAATTAAAAATACAACTGTCTAAAAAAAACATCAATGTTTGCTAACGTACGTGTGGGCAATTTGTCTTGTCTGTTTTAAGACCTAAAAGATTATTTGAAACACTTATCACGAGTCATAATATTCAAGTGTGCTATAGCAACCACGAGTAAACTTATCGATCGTTAGTATTGGTTAATTATTACCGACAAAATAAATCTTACGTATGTTGGAAGTAAGACTTTATGGATGGTACTCACATTCAGTATCTTTATGTACCAACAAAGACAGGCCATTGTGTGACAAGACAACTAATTGACATTTATGATATTTCATAGTACTCAAATAATATTCTATAAAATCATTCTTTTCAAATTGCATAAGTTCAGGCCAAGTAATGATCTAACTTGAAAATATATATTATTAGATTTACATTACTTGCTCGGCTCGTCTTCAGTAGGCCTATTTATACGGTGATTTTTTTGGGGGTTAGGCAACAATACCTCACAGTTATTTAAATTTTAGGTAATGAACTTATCGCTTATTGTTACATTCAAATATAGTATACCGTCGTTGTTTTTATCGAAGCCCCGGAAAAGTCTCTCGGCAACGTCTGTTCCGTTTCCTCCAGGAAAACGTTGCTGATACATTCCAATAAATTGCTTTTTTGTTATTTTTCCGTTTGGGCATTGCTGTGATATAAAATGAAATTGAACTGTTTTAATATAATCAAATAAACATGTATTATACAATCGTCTAATAAGCCTATTCACTAGTGTTCCGTGAAAACCTTCAGATGTTCCGCGTCAAATTGTTGTTTCACATTTTTGTGATTGGCATATTTCATGATAACAAATATAGGGTGTCCATAAAGTCTTAACATTTTTTAAATTTACAAAGGAAAATTTTCGCTATACCATATATTGTTTTGGCCCTCACAGATGTAGTAAATGAAGTGACATACTTTAACAATTACTGATTAAAAACACCAAACCTGGTTAATATATATTGAGAACTGACTACTTCATAACAATCAAAATTGTGAAGAGAATTTATGGACACCATGTATAATCAATTCCTGAGGCCCATCAAGCCTCAGTAATGATTCATTAGGGTTGTGCCCTCCTAAAAATGTTCATGCCAATGTCATTCTGCCTTCAATGTTTTTCTAATTTGTAGTTTCAGTAGTTTATCAAATGTAGTTACACCACATTCAACCACGATTTTTTTATTCAAAAATAAAATTTACCTTGAGAAAGTCTTTGTACATTTCTTGAACTTTTTCTCCATCAAGTTTCGTTTCCCCAGCCAGAGCTTCAATGTCTTTTTTGTTCAATTTGTTACTACTTTGCCCCATTTCGCTACTGAACTCTTAAATATTCTATCTTAAATTTGTTTGCAATCACGGCCAGACCGTGTGGCGAATATGACAAACAGACTTGTAAAATCAACATCGACTTCAGATGGTTCAAACTATTATAAGAGTTGTCTGCTAATGAACGTTAGGTGTCGCTAAGAAGAGGCAGTGATTTACAGTAAATTTAAAAATCACAAATATGTAATACAAAGCAAACTAGATATTTTTTCACGACCCGAAATATTGGCTCAAAATGTTCAATCATTGTTAGGCTAAATATAGCAACTCTAGTGGGCCAGTATTAATATACAGGGTGTTCATAAAGGGGGCTCCGAAGTGTGCGAACCAAGATGGCGGACATCGGAATGTAATATGTGTACTAGGTTAGGGTTAGGCCATAATTTTAGGTATAAATACTACGGGAGGCTCTTGGCTAGTCTTCGAACTGATAATAGGACTAAAATAAGGAAAATTGGAAAAAAAATTATCGCCTAACCCTAACCTGTTACCCATGTTACGTTCCGATGTCCGCCATCTTGGTTCGCATACTTCGGGAGCACCTCATAAAGTCCTGTTACAATCCCAATTTGTTGTTGAGTCAGTTCGCAATATACATCTTGAACAGGTTTATGTTATTTGATTTTTTTAGTTACACTAGTCCATTTTTATATGCTCCCAATCGTTGCACGAAGCACATCAAATTTCTTCACCTAATTTAATATGGAACATTAAGTAGACCCTGAACTGTATGCACTGCATATTGAATACTCATCAGAAGAAGGATATTTAAGAAATTTCATTAATTGCCCTTTGGAAAAGCAAAGTAAGTTGAATGACTATTATGTCTCATGGCAAACCACGACCTCTCATTGGGATCATCAGACCAGATTGCTTATGGGAACAACTGACTAGGTTCATTAAAGTGGGATCCGCGGACTTTTTGGGGTCCGTGAAGCGCTTTCAGAGGTTCCGAGAACGAAATCTGTTATATATGGCTCATAGCTTGATAATACAAAAAATTAGGTGCAAATACACATTTGTCGCTTTTTGCTGCTTCGCAATCACTGCCGTAGCCCGGGTCCCGGAGGCACTGATTCCTCACTTTCTCTTCCGAGCACGCTGTCTCACTATGATGTCACAGAGCTGAGAACCTGTGATATCACAAAGAGAGTTCAATTGGTGCCATTACAAGTTAACGAACTGCAGAAGTGTAGCTAACGCTGCCTTTTTGCACGTTTGTTGTAATCCGGCAGAATCGCTGCCGAAGGTTGTTTTGAGACATAAAGTTTTTTTATTGTTTAGATATAATTTCGATGACATAAATAATGATACCCAGGTGAGTGTGGGTTATAATATAATTTCGAGCAATTTTTTCTAAGTGAATTTTAAGGCGCTCCGGAAGTATTCGTACCAAGATAACGCACATCCTGAACCCTCACCTGGTACACATACAATGTTCAGGTTGTGCGCCATCTTGTACGAATACTTCGGGAGCACCTCTTTGTTAAAAACAATTATTTCATAACTACATGGGTTAGTTCTAAATACATAGTAACATTAAAGCTTCTTACCATTTTCAGAAATTCAATTTTAGTACAATAAATGGTAGTTTATTTCACTAATATAAGCCAAGATCCATCGACAGCATCTAGCCACTTTCTTTTGCAATCTTCAAACTACATTTGTGTTTCTGCGGGCATTTTGTTTTCCTACTCAAAGCTTCGGAACTTGGGAAATATTTTATAAGTTGAAATGGATTGAAATATTCGAACTCGTCTTTCGCTCCGAACAAGGAAGGCCATGTAAAACCACCCTGTATCTAACGATGTGTAACGTGTTTTCTTTTGGAAGAACCGGAACCTTTCAATGCTGCATTGACTTTGGCAAAATTAATATATCCTTGTGGAGATAGAGGGTATGCGTATGCGAAACCGAGATTAGCACCTGTTATGCCAACATAGTTGAGTCAACAATTTCCCGAATGCTTCGGTTGTACGTGGTAACGCGCACATGCATCAAATTCCACTTGCTTATTGACCTATAGGTTTTTGACGAGCTTTTGTGTATGATTTCATCTCATAGAATTTGTATGCTGTTCTAAAGAATAATAGTTCCAGCTTCTTCATTCATTCAAACCGCGTGTTGGAAGTAAGTTTTGTAACATTGAGTGTTGGTTTTCAATTGGCTTATTGATATCCATCATTTGACATCCTTAAAACGGTGATGCCAGTAAATCTTCAATACAAAAAGATCAGTATTATCTGCGGACCTCCTGGAGTATGCGCACCAAGATGGCGCACAACCTGAACTCAGGTTGTGTACCAGGTTAGGGTTCAGCTTGTGCGACATTCTGGTGCGCATACTTTAAGGAGTACCTTATCTGCAATAAAAGCAGCAGTACCCACTCAAATGACAGCTGGGGGATGGATACCTATATTATCTGCTCCATCTCGTGGCGTTTCAATATAAAACCTGCCTCTTACCAGTTTACATGAGTGCCAATTGTATCTTAGCTCAGCCAAAGACAAAAAGTTTCGGACTGTGGTTGGCGTGACAAAATGTTTTTAAATATATAGTCTACAATAAGATTATTTGATTGCATATTACTGAAAGTTACGCATTATATGTCTTTTCCCATTGCATGAAGCAAGCATGAAGAAAACATGGGAGTATTTTTTCTACTTCTCCCAAACCTTGACTTATGACATTTTTGCTCTGTCAAACAAAGTTACATACAAAATATTGGTTGTAAGTTGCAAAACCTGATCAGGTTGTTGTAATAACTTGGCATTTTACCACCCGTATATCATTCATTGTCGAGAATACTAATGAAATCATAAAATCTAAAACCCGTTTTCGTGATTTTTTTGTTGTAGCTGAATTCGAGGGACAGCATGACAACAGGCAAGAAAAGCAGGGTCGTCTTTTTTAGTTTATGACAGGGTTTCTTAAAAGGGGACTCCGGCTTTATTGAATGCCACGGATCGGTTATCTGGGAATACGAACAAACAGATGGAAATGCAAATATATAATATCTATGTTTTTTTATAGAAGATAAGAAGCAAAAATGCTGAGGGTCTTCTGTAGTTTGAAAAGCATTGGCATGGAACATAAACATGAACTCCATTTTCTCTCAGGGATATACTACAAAATGTAGCAATTTTCTCATTCGTGTTCTCGTGATAGCATTATCTCTCACTGCATCGTCGTGATCATCCCGCTGCATAACAATTCTTGCTGGCAAATAATTGACTGTTCTCCACCGGGTGTATATTTGCGCACAAACTGTGCGCAATCCACTTGAACCACTGCCGACTGCATTAGCAGGCTTGTATTGTTAAAATTGTAACAATAGCGTGTATTTTGAAATAGTACTTCTTATTTCACGCGTATGTTTCAACAGTTCCCTATCTATGGGTCGCGACCCAAAGCTGGGTCGCCTGAAAATATTTTCGGTACGATTTTTTTCAACAAATACCTAAAAGTTATTGATTTTATTTCCTGGTTAATTTGGTGCTTCCGTAGTATGTGCACCAAGATGGCGCACAACTGAACATAGTATGTGTGCTAGGTTAGGGTTCAGGTTGCGCGCCATTATTGTGTACAGATTTGACAAAAAACACTAATACAAATATCAAGACGTAAAAAAATTGCTCAAGGCTGCAAACTCCACCCTAATAGAGAAATGATAGGCAGTTACCCCAAGATGAAAAATAAAAAAAACTTATGTCTGACATGGGGCGCAAGACTAAAAAGGGGGGTGACTGGAAAAGTTTGAGAACCAATGAATTAGAACATATCAATATTCAAAATAATATTTAGCATATAGCCTATTTGGGATTATTCATTTTCGGGCATCCCTTGATACAACAATAAAAACACAACAATCATAAGCACAAAATTAGCTATTCGAAATATCTCAAAAACACCTTTTATATCTTGCCCTAAGTAGGTATCAAATTCACAATGTAAAGATTAATTAGGCTTAACTACCATACTTCAGGATTATCGTAAAAAGACCATTGAGGGGTACACCTCAATGAAAAAGACATGCGCGGATGTTTGACCCCCAATCTTGCCGCTCTCTCCCGCTTTTATCTCATGCTCATTATTTTTGACGACAATGTGTTCTTTTTACTGTATCGGAAGTAAATCTTTATATTTCTCTGTACGATCATGCTACCGATCGACACCGTCTTTCGAGCTCGAATGTCAATCATCCAATTTCAATATAAGAATTATATTTATGAAATTATTTCAAATAAAATATACAGATAATGATGTTAAAGTGCAGCAGAAACAAGTAAGTGACTATCAGGCAATATGTGGCGTGGTAGCCAGGTTTGGACGATATTGAAGATCCAAATTTGCGTTTACTTCAAATCAATTATTACGTCACAATATCATATTAGTAATGTTGTTCATTCATAAAATTCATTGATATAAACCACTCAAACAGGTTACGAACTACTTAACAAAATATTTATGGCAATCAAAAAGTAAAACAAATTCTATAGTAAATTTGAGCTAAATTAACCAGAAAATCGAAGACAACAACAGTAGACTAATTTAATGGCTTTTCTTTTTTATAATATAAAAATTGGCTTATAACAGGCATCATCTAATTTGATAACGTAAAGTTCATTAAATTCATTCTAGGTCAATAATCCATGTATGACACGCATATTATTTTCTAATTAAACGTATAAAAAGTATGTTATTATAAATACGAATTCTTGTCAGGTATATTTTCATAACCTATGCGATATGGTAATTCCGAGACAAGCAAATAAAAAAAATCCTTTTTTGAAACGTAACACAAATAAATATCGTGCAATGTTTTATTACCACAAATGTTAACATTCAATGTATTGGTCTTGCATTAAAAATCGCATTACTCGACCGAATTCATAAATTTTTTATTTGATGTTTTACACAGCTGTAGTGTCAGTATGTAATTTTCTGTCAAAGGTACCTTTTTGAAAACGCTCAAAGAATTCATGACCTCTCGTAGATAAATAAAATCTTATTTTTGGGTTTTGTGCGTGCCGCAGAAAAAAATGGTTTAAAAAATCACACCGATAACTAATCAACTTCTTAAAAATTTTATTGTTTTTATTTGTTTCATTATCTGTACAGTGTCATCAAATTTTGTAGTGATATGCCTGGTTTGTTTTTACTATCTGGTCGATTTAACATGAAAGTATCTTCATATGGGGCTAAAATAAGCATGTATAATACCCCCGTTCAACAATTGATGACATTTTAGTGGAGGCATATATGGCTCGGTAATATGATATCAAAAGAGTACTTTACATTTTGAGTACTTTACATTTTGAGTATGTTTGTCATGTGATCTGTCACGGTTCAATACACCCAATTGCAAAATTTTTATGACATTGATATTTTTCGTCAGGCAACCAATCGAATAGGAGCGGAAATGTTGTACATTTGAACAATTTCCACCAAGTAAGTAGCGTAATTCAGTACCGAAAACAAGACAGACTTTTTGTGGTAAAATATTTGTTGAAAGGTAGTTCAAGTTCTTGCATTGCCAGGGGCATGTATGTTACTTTTATCAAAGTCCACACGGTAGAAAGCTATACAGATGCTGATACAGATAAGATAAAATTATCGAATAATAACAGCTCATTTCACTATTATTGATAGTTTTGTAAAACTCAGTTTTGCATATAAACGTCATTGAAAAAATATAATTCTTTGCTTCAGATCATAATCGACGTTCGCAAACTGTTTCTGAGTTTATTGTTACGTCATAATTAATTCAAAATCTGCACGAGTGCGGAATCAGACTTGGCTCCACTGATGAATTCTTTTCGTGAAATTCGGCCTGAAAAAAGAGAAAGTATGATAAAATATCGATTTTTGGTCAATATTTAAGAGAGGGAAACAAACTTTTAATTTCATGGTTACCATAAAAATAGCTGGAAACACAAAATCCGGACAAATTCGCTCTGTTGCCAGAGCTGAGGAGGAAAATTTAGAATTGACATCCGAATCCGGTTTTAAATAAATATGACTCCAACTTCATTACAGAGAAAATCAAATTTTGGCAACAAAAACTTTAATGCATTCAAGTATTTAAATTTAGACTAAATTTAGAATAAATTCTTTTTGATATTTCAACACGACATTTTGACCTCTTTTATTTCAGTAAAAGTCTAAAATCCCGGAATTAAAAACACGACTTCGGCTCTGACTCCACTGAAAACATGTCAAATTACTACTCACAACTCTACAACACTAGAACTGAGATCTAGAGGGACATTGAGTAACCGTTCTCGTAGACCAGACTAGTCTCAATGTTTTTTTTTTCGTGGCCCGCTTTCGTTGCCCAAAAAATATTTGTGGCCCATTAACTTACCCATGCAAAAGAAAAACTACAGAAAAAAAAATATTTCTTCGTGTAAAGATAGACACTGCCACTTTAATAATTAAAATGAAAATTAGCACTCAGCACTATAAACAGCATCATCATTTCAATCAAAGTTCAACTAATTTATCAATATCTCTAGCAATTTTCAAAGGGGTTGGGGCCCACCTGAGAGTGTTTCTGCGGCCCAGAAGTGGCCCATTGGTCGAGAAACGATGTCTCAGTCCTAATATGACGTTAAAAATCTAAAATACTAAGTTCATTTTTTGTTCAACCTCTTTTCGCGTAAAATGATCTGTAATTTACGAATGATTATTTTTTACGCTCTGTTATTTTGAACCAAACCTGCAGCGATAATGAATAATTGAAGTACGTTTTACGCCTCAAATAACGCACGTACAAATGAACCGTAACATTGACAATACCGGAAATCTGATTTACCATTTGAACATAAAAAGTTGGCCTGAAAAGAATGCGTCGAATAACGCGCGGGTGCTCGATGCGGTTAAGCAGCTCGACGTGACCTAACCGTAAATAAGCAATGAGGTGTCTACGAGTGAGAAAAGTCAGTTCAGAAATTTTAAAAATCTTTATCAGAGCGTTTGTTGATGCATTTGATGCAACCATGAATTGTCAACAGATGGTGTGAATAATTGCGAGTTGACGACATATCTTTTGTTTGATGATTATATCGCCATAGAAACGTAAAATGAAGGTTGGCAAAATCAATCATCGCTCTGCGGCCAAACATCGTCAAAGAATCAACACCATATACATTATCAAAATTCGCAGCTAGACACGGAAAAAATTTCTTGCATTTTGCAACCCGTGGTTGAACTGATTGTAATGCGAATATTCTACATTTATCAACGATAATTCACCCAGCTGACAATAATCCAGCAATCATTGACTGGCGCATATTGAATTATATAGCGAGTTGTTACAACTAAATATAGTAACCATGAGTCAAGGTGGCGGGAGACTAACTCATCATGATCATCCATTCATGCGCCAGTGGATCCGTATGCGTATAATGCAAGAACGCTGTAGCAAGAATAAAGATGACTATTCTATTTGATCCAAGAGTCATGTTTCACACTAACACAAATGTATTTGTGTGAAGTTCCGTCTTACCAATGTCAGACTCCCCAGACAGAAACCTTTTAACTTGACTGACCTCGGTCGGACGAAACGTTACAGAAATACATTTGTGTTAGCGTGCAGCTGGACTCTTTAATTGAATAGAATATTTTGTATTTTACTCGACTTTTTACATTTTGTGTTTTACTCTGAAAAACTCTAATTTATCCAAACGATTATTTTATCATTATTTGCCATAAAGAAAACGTTGAACAATAGAAATACCATAAAATTAAATGCGTGGTTAGATTACGACCACAACCTCGAGTTAAAATAACAAAAGTGCAATGATTTACTCATGACCTCCACTGAGAATGTTGATTTAACTATTCTCGGAATGATTATGCACGTAGCTCAGCGCTGAGAATCGAGATGGCTTTTATTTACTTCCAAATCAATTCGAGTGACCGTGCTTTGAGATAATTCCCTCATAAAAATAATTATGTATACATAAGGAGACTAAAAAATGTGACCCATAAATTTTTTAATCACATCTACGAAAAATGAAGAACATTTAATTCGCACTTCAACTTCTGTTTGTGTGTGATAGTACCCAAAAGTTTCGGCGCTCCGGAAGTATGTGTAAAAATATGGAGGTAACTAACTATTTCGCCTACTTTACATCAAGTTGTGTAAAGGGACTGAAACCTATGGACAGGGGGTATATTCACTTGGCTAACACAGACAGCCCCGAACTCGTAATAGAACTAAAATAAGGAAAATCGGAATAAATCATGGCCTAACCCTAGCCTGGTACACACACTACGGGAGTACCGAAGTTTCAGTGACTGGGAGGCATTTGCACAAAAGTTATGTTATCTCAAAAATGTTCCAATTAACCTGGTTTCTGTTTTCCAGGAGTTACCCTGTTACAAATTTAATTTATCACTTTGGAAAACTTGCACTGAAAATGGTATCAAATGACCAAGTGAATATTTACCGTCATGGTTGGAGTCGAGTTTCTCAAATGTTGATTTCGTGCGATTTCGAATGTCTTCAGAAGTTAGCCTTTCCTTTGGTGGCCTTGTATTATATATTGCCTGTATAAATATCAGAATGAAATTATTATAAATAAATCATCAATTTGTATTTTGGGAATCGTTGATGAGTAGCTTGGCCTATGAGTGTGATTGATTTTGCACTTAACTATTTAAATAAAATTTCGTGTTATTCGCCACAAAGCGAAAACGCACCGCCTGGTACCGATTAGTGATATATTGGCCTTTAATGAACATACGTGATAAAAATTGAGAAACGAAACTATTGCTTTATTAGGACTTTGAGCATTCCTGCCGTAACACAATTTACGTGTAAACAAAAATAGGCTTCATTTATTGTCTTTTTCGTCTTAAAGCCGTTTGTTGGTGGGTCTGGTGTGACACACAACTATCATCTTCAAGCAGCAGTAATAATGATATACCCCGCATTCGTTATAATGCGTAACTAATATATATGCTTATTCTTGCCTATTTACCAAACCTATTCTTCAACCCTTCCGATTTGTGCTGTCTGTATAAACTAAGTACAATACCATGCTGCTTTAAGCAGCAGCTCTGGCATTTTTTTAACCTTTACAGATTTCAAAGCGGGGTTGCGAACATTAGGGTAGTAATGGATTTACATATTTATCCCGGGGTAGAAGGAAAGTCCATAGGAGGGAACCATATAACGAACCATGGCCTCTCGTCTGTTTACCGGTCAACATGTGTATGGGACTATAGTTTGCTAGTTCATTGTGTTTCAGATGAATGAACTTGATGGTGCGGGAAACTCTAACTGACAAGTGGTTATGTAAAGCACACTACGACGGCGAGGAGTCCAGCAATCCTCTCGTACATAATGATATCCCATGAGATTCGAATCCACGCAGGATAATCAGAGATGCGGTGGCTAGCGTATTCCTAACGCCTAGCCCGATGTGCCACGCCGACGCTATTAGTTTTGTGGTTAATAAGCAACAACATACATCAATGATTTTCATCATTTCACTCATTGATATGTATCCATTTCCATCCAGGTCATATATATTGAAAGCCCATCCTAGTTTTTCGTCAACGGTGCCTTGAGATGTCAATGAAAGGGCTGTGATGAATTCTCGGAAGTCAATACGACCTGAACAAAAGGAATTTTAAAATTTAAGAAATTGCAGACACAGGCGATCAAGCGACTATCATCACAATAAAAAAAACTTAGTTTAGCTAATACATATGTGTCGCTATAAGGCCAGCTTCATACAATGGCCAAATGTGTGACCATAAGGCCAACTTCGCGTATATTACACTCTTTCAAAGAGTGGAACACGGTGACTAGGTACCACGTATTTATTTAAACGGTATAGAAAGACGTTTCCAGTTGTGAAAAATAATAGTGAAATTGACATTTCATTTTCCTTTCGGATATTTGTTCGTAGATATTGACTCATTACAATTCCTTGAGTGTACATTATACAAACACGAGAAACGAAACGTTTAGTTTTGAGTTTAGGTTAATGATTAAAACAACGACCTCACGTGAGTTGGAGGTTGAGGTATGTTTTCATGGATTTGGTGAGTAAGCCAACAATATTTCATGAGAGTATTTTCTGATTAAATTAATCTTTCAGAATAATATAACAAATTTGACATAAATCGTGGATATCGGTCACAACATCGTATTTATGAAGATTGTTAACGGATGATCAGCTACCGTCAATCTTCATTTGGAAATTTTCCAAAAGTAAGTTCTAAATCCTCGCACAAAAACAATATTACGGTAAAGACAGTAAGAAGCAAAGAGTAGGAAATTGAACAAGAGTATCAAATTACCTAAAAAACTTTACATTTGTACTATGCTTGAATATAGCGAGTGGGAACTTCATAAACCTAATTAATCGAACATATTTTGATTTGATATTATCACATACTCATCATCACGCTGTTGTTATTGACAACTTGTCAAAATGTGATGACATAAGCCAAATACCTTCACGAAAATACTATATTGACATCATAACGGACCATATATATATGCAACTGTAATTTAAAAATTTTGTTTTAGCACAACAAAATGCTGCACATTGATTCACGCAGGAGAAATGTTGAGTTGCGAATAACTCGTAATTGGTTTTATTTGCATTGTTCAATTTATGCTTCAATAAAAACGAGGTGTCGGTAGTCGAATCAGCGTAACATTACTCCGTTAAGTGGTTCTTGATATTTGATAAAAAGGAAAACCTTTCTCACAGCACGGTAACCAGACGAACGTCAAGTATAATTCCAATCTGCGTAATATGTGACTACTGCAAATTTTAGAGCCTGGTAATGATTGCTCTATCCGGCAATGATTCAAACACATTATCATAATATTATAAAAGTGAGTCGTGACACAGACACAGCTCTGTAAAAAGTTTGAGAAAACTCGGTAAAAAGAGAATTTTTCCGATATTTACAACATTTTCTAATCTTATAGAGATTAGTTTAGTATATCCACCGTTCGGAAACGAACCAAGCGATGCCCTAACTGTGCATGTCGAAGATTGAACATTTATCGGTCCGTTTATGTGTTGTTCCTCAAATTAGTGTTCTAGTGTGTTAATCGTTCGTTTGTCCAACTTTTAAATGACAGTGTTATTTAAGTCCACCTTAGGATATAATGTGCGGAATCAAATATATTGAAAATTTGGTGTAAAATCTTACTTACGCCCTCCCCAATATCTAATTTCACATATTACCCTGAATAAGTGCTTCACGAGAGCGAATGCTGATGATATAATATGATATTACATTCTACCTATTCCAAGGATTCATTTATATTAGTTTGGATTAGCTGAAAGTGAGTAGAGTGACCTGAGTGGGTAGACCTCTTTAAAGATCTTGAATACTCGAGCACAATCATGAATTAAATCACAAACTAATATCCATCCAATTGCGGAAAATTTGTGCAATATAAATTCCTTCTTCAAAACGTGAATATTCTAATTTTATCATTAAAAATAAGCACGATATGTTCTCAAAGGCTCAAGTTTTTCATATCATAATGGATGTATGTACCATACCCTCAGGCGATGATACGTTGGGTTTTGGAACTTTGCCAATTATATGAATACAGAATAAATTATGTACATACTCGAACATTATTCTGTATAAAAATATCTTTAATTTAACGTAAAATATAGAATTTAACGAAGCAGCGTGAATATTAATTGGACTCCCGCAAAACGCTATTCAAAGTTCTCAGTATCAAGATCAAAATTAACTCGAATGTTTTGTTCAAAAATTTAGATGCATTGTAAAATCGGTGATAATGTCACGATATAAAATATCGCTATGGGAACGTTGTCAACCCTCTTTATTCATATTAGAGTACAGTGAATGCCTTTCTTCGAGTGTAATGGGTAACGAAATATCAATTTGCTACCACACACAGTTAAAACTAATAAAAAAAAACAGTACCGACAATGGCATTTGGTATGCAATACGTATTATGTCAATGTGAAAGCGGAAAAATAAATTTTCAAAATTAGTAAAATGCAACAACTCTAATTTTTTCAGGATTTATTTTGATATCATGACATCGTAAGTAACTTAATCAAGCTTTACAAATTGAGCAAAATATGCTGAACAGTACAATAAGATAGAAAGCGAATTAAAACGAAGTATAGACTCATTCCTATACGCATAGGTTATTGCATTTAACGAAATTTTAGCGATGATGCAAACATTAGCTAGTGCAAAACAATAAATACAATATATGATTCATTACCGTCTTGATTTTCATCAAAAGTTCGGAATATATTCTCTGCAAACCGAGTCGCGTCGCCGTGAGGAAAAAATTCTTGATACATTCCGATGAACTGAACTTTTGACATTTTCCCTTTCGGACAATCCTGCCACAAAAATAAAATCGTTCTGAGAATGTGGATGGATTGCATTGAAACTAAATGCATTGGTAGCTCCAATACCGCGATTTCTACATAAATATACTCCGTCATGCATTTTTTATGGGTTCACAACATGATTTCGACTGCAGCACAAATGTCAAGACATTTGGCCTCATCGTAATGCACTCTGGAGAAGTAAACAAGACATCGTCGTGGATAATGTTGCTTGAGTGAGTATTACCACTTTATCCGGCAATAAATCACTACCAAAAGGCTTCGAATTAATCCTTTGCTATTTAAGTCATTAAATTCGACATTTGAGTAATGCGTTTTCATAGTATTGTATAATTAACGCCGGAAATATATATGATACATACGCTAAAGACACCATCGATTCAGTAGACCTAAGTCAAAATATTTTCAAAACCTTGTAGCAATCGCAATAGTTCAAATACGGCAATCTAAGCGTAATAAGCCGCCCTACAATTGTATGATGCGTGTCCTGCAATGGGGGAAACAAACAAACGGGTGGCCTATTGACTGATCATATTTCTTATGCCTGAATGTATTACGCTAAACCGTTCGTAATTGAATGGTGATATCTTCAAAAACCCGCGTACAGAGAATGGATGACATAGCACAGGGGGATTTTTTTAAATCTGTAGCTTGGATTCCACGATTTCTAACAACTCAATGTAGTGTCGTTTCAGCAAATAGTTGAATGCTAACCTAACGTTATGTCGCCTAGAGCGCTAAACCACGGGGGATTATTGGAATTTCGAAGCAAATATTCATATTGCACGGGTTATCATATACATATAACGCTCGTGCTGAAATTCACAGCGAATGTAAGTGCGTTATTCATCAGCTACTGCGCAATTCCTACTGAAGCCTTCGAGATAGTATATTGCCACCACAACATATCGAATTACAATAGAGGGATATGATGCCATTATCACTATTATTCATCTGAACTACTAACGCACAGAAGTTAGTAGTAAGCAGTTTTCTTGAGTAAAATAATGTACTATATTATATACAATCTATAAATAGTTTGTATACCTGTCCCAAATCTGACATATAATTATCCGAGTTCGTTTTTTCAAATTATATTTAGTAATATTTTTGTAAATTAATGAAGTACGCTACCTTCATAAAACCTTTGTACCATTCGTGAATATCTTTCTCTGTAAAATTCGTGCTGTTTGCCAGATCCGCTAATTCCTTTGGTTGCAATTTACTTTCACCTTTACCCATTTTGCTGGCTACTGAACTCACAATTAAATTCTTTCAAAATTTGTTGCGCTCACGGCAAAATCGTATCGCAAATGCGACTAGCCGACTTGTAAAATAAACAGAGGGTTGTACGGAATCGGTCGAGCGTAAGATGCTCAATGTTCGTAAAAAAATTCCCCGTCAATTCACTTGAAACGTTAGGTGGTGCTAAACATGTATTCCAGTTTTTAACACTGTAGGACACTTAAATTTTGAATATTATAACGAAAATACATATCTGCTAGTCACCTGGAAATTTAAATCAGAAGCAAACCTTCAGAGATATATATATAATGAATACCAATATACAATGTAACGGAAGTGCGTTACTTATAATGTATGACGACATTTCTTAAACCACCTACGTTGTATTTCTTGATTACTCAAGTTACAGTATATATATACACAAATAAATGGTTATATCTGAATTCCCATAACTGACATAGAGCGACGAGTATTGCAGCAGACCAATCAGGAATGTAGACAATGTAATAAAAAAAAATTAAAGCGGACAGCTTTATTGTACATCACTTATTACAGAAGAGTTTGAAACGGCACGTCTACACTGTGGTTCACAACCTTTTTCAGTAAATTTTCTCCCTTTTTTTGTAAATCTTTATTCCTCACTTACTGTGCCTGCAAACAACTATATTCGTCCAATCTGTAATAAATGTTCATTAACGGGATACGCGCTAAGTCGCACTTTCGATTTTGTACAATTTAGGTAGATTAGAATGTTTATATGAATAATAACAATTGGAGTATTCCTGAAAAACTAAATATTAATAGTAATACTACACCAAATACAAAGACCAACCCCAAAGAACTACAAAATTTCACACGTGGATTGCATACCGTCTACTAAATCAATCCCAGTACTGTAATGAACATATTTTGCTCATAATTATCGTCCCGTGAGTCCTCATTTTCTTTCAAAGGTTGCCGTGCTATTTCATATTGATTGGGTATATTTGTTTCATATTTAGGTCTACAAACGGTTGTCTTTGATTCGAATTGTGGTTTGTGTTATTGGCAACGTACCTCGGAACTCTGTATAAACTAAGCTCTCAAAAGCATTAATCAAAAGTAAAAGTAATAAAATGTCATCTTTATAAGATTCGGGTCCTTTAAGCACAGACGTGTAAATTGCCTGGAATTGTGCCAAACTATTGACAAATAAATGCTTGGGTATATCTTCATGACTGTCACGTAAACCCTACTCATCTTTTAGACTGAATCCTTTGCTCTAAACGTCGCTCTTTAATTAATTTGTACACCAGCGCTTCCCAAACTTCTTGTTCGTGCGGCGCCTAATCACCAGGGAACACTTACACGATAATAAAAAATGCTTGTTTTAAACAAAACTCAATTTAGTGATCGTTTATCTGTACTTTATGCCTTTCAAAGTTTTTAAACATGTTGGCCTAGGGAATAAAGGCTGAAAAAATCACCCATGTTCGATAAACTCGGTTCAGCAGATAAATAAGCTGTAGCTCACAAAATTGCAGCAGATAGTGTATATCCCTATTGTTACGTAACAATAGCGGCAGACACTTCGCAACAGAAAGTAAACGACATAGGAAGGTAAAATAAATTAATTGATTCATATACACAGCATTTAAAATAATATAAACGATATAACATTCATAATAACTACAATATGTGAAATATTCAATCATATTTTAGTTATGTTTAACACAATTCTTTTAATTTTCGAGTCGCACTTAGCAACACCCTTTTGGAACCGCTGTTGTATGTACAGTCAATTATTATCATCCATGGCCTGTGCTTGACGACAAACGACTTTAAACAAAAAGAGAAAAGAAGATATTGTGAAAATTACGTATGCAGTCGCACTGAACGGACATCCACCCCCAGTCGGAACACGCCAGATGACTTCAATTTCTGGTAACCAATTTGAAATCGTTTTAATCAACTTATTCACCATATTTCCGGTAAGTTTGTTTTATATTTTTGTTCGAGAGGAGTTTATCACGTGGGCAGTTGGCTGATTAGCGGACGATATATTGAGCTTCTAAGTTCGTATTGTCGTTCTATTTCCGTTAGAAAATTACTATAAACAGATATTTTTCATCCTAATATGAATACGAAAGAATAACCGGAGTATCCCTCTTCACTTTTAATATCTAACAACACACTCTAAGCCTAGGAAATATATATTGCTGAAGAGAGGCTATTCATATGTTCCGCGCCTATTTTGAATAACGAATAGCTACTGCAATGAAATTGAAAGAGATCACCCTAACGCACAGATAACGGACACGGGATATGACGACATCGAATTTGCATACGTCTATCAATCTCTAATACAATGCACAGGAACACACCGTAACATATATGATCGTGGTATATCGATTCATCTTCTCAATTTCAGTGAATTAGTAGAAAGTTTCAAGGGGAATGTGATTTCAAGATTCCCTTTAGTTAATTCTAGTTTAAAATAAGCGGACTAGCGTATGACACCGTCTCTGCTGCTCACAGTGTGATCGCTTCTCGACCCACAGAAAAAAAGCAAACTTTTATCAGAACACTGAAACTGCTGATGATATCCAAAGTAATCGTAGTAGGCAATAAGCAGAATTATAATCTCTCCAGGTAATATTGGGAGATATTACCTTATCACATTCTTTCTTTCGAGTGGAAATCTCTCTAAATAAGTTTTCTGGGCATATAGCTCCATTTTAGATCATTCAATTTATCACATTAGTGTGCAAATAGGGAATAAGTAGGCTTACCATACGCTTTAGGCGGGACAGTCCCGCTTTTTAGCATATTGTCCCGCCGTGCCGACAAGTCAGCCAAATGTCCCGCTTTGGCGTTCAGCCATTCAGCATAATACACGAACATGTTCTCGTTACTGTTGTTGCTGTGTAGCGCAACGCTAGCCTACTTACTGAAGGTGAATGAGTTATTTTGTTTGTTTCGATGTTTCCCGCTAACATTGTTAGCAAACGTATCTCATGTAAAATCAATTCTAATTGGTCCTGTTCGGACGTTTACGTGAATGTCACATTGAACAATATTTTTTTGAAGGTTATCTACAGAAAAGCATGCTTGGGCGAATAAGTAAATTCTCAATACTTAGAAACGGCAGACTATTTCATTATTCTTTGTTCCTTTTTCAGTACATAAAAAAATCAAAATTGGGATCATTTGTATCGTTAGCGCATATTCCTTTATATTTTTCAAACTGAACCCGATATTTGGACAGAGTATATGCGCATGAACTCTCGATGACAATATGGTCAATAAAGACAGCCGGGATGGCTTTAAATGTAGGCCTATGTAGTAAAATCGGAAACTGTAAAGTTACGGGATCACAGCTAAGGGGTCGTGTCTTTAGAAGCGTCCCGCTTTGAAGTCAAAAAAATATGGTAACCCTAAGAATAAGGATAGTTTAGGATTTATTAGGGGGAGAGGAAAGCTGATAAGACGGCTTAATCATATGGTCTCTCGTCCGGTTACCAGTCAAGGTCGGGTATGGGATTAGTTAGCCAGTTATTTTTTTTTCGGAAGCATGTACTTGATGGTAGAGGAAGCCGTAACCGACCAGCGGTAGGTCAGAGGTGCGGTGGCGAGCGTATTCCTAACGCTTAGCACGATGCGCCACACCGCCGAGCCACTTCTTACAAACTCCGACTTAATAGCTGGACGAACGAAGTAAAAAGACAAAACTTTCGTTCAACTGATATCTTTGGTTCGTGTTTTATTATGACGACACACAAGAGAGAGTTATGCATAAAAATAATAACAATTGATAAAGAAAAAAATGAATTATGGCAAAATTAATATTTTTATTTCAAGCAAATTTGTCACAAAAATAGTCATGGTGTATGGTCATTACACAAACTGTAACATTCACTGCTGTAGCAAAGGAATAATAACTTGGAACATTAAGTTAATGCCGGGGACACGCCCATTTGACTTTACTCAAATCTTATTAGCGGTCTACTGGCCATGCCTCCTCCCCCAATCTCAGATGTGCTGCACAATGGCCGCCACTAATAACAGTATTTCAAAAGCCTGATTGGAGAATGAGAGCCAAATAGGTGCAAATTTATGACTGTCCAATACAGGATACCACACATTAACAATTGATTTGAATGGGTGAGATTATGATTGAATTTCGTAATGGAAAAATATATGGAAACCAGCTCTGAGAAGTATGTAAAGGGAATAATAGAGGGATTAGTCAGCAGTAAAACCAAATTAGCTTATGTCTAATTTTTCAGAAATGTGGTTTTTCGATTTCGTCATTACAGATCAGAGACCATCCTTTGGTCTTGGTTGCGAAGCTGTACCAGGTATAGTTTTAAGTCCATTTGAAGTTCTGATGTTGGAACCAAACCTACAAAAATGCGATTTTCTCAAAAATGTGACATAAGATTATTTGGTTTTACTGTACCTTGAGGGATAAAGTATTAGTAAAAATGGCCATGTTAGTACTCTTCTAACTATGCATTATATATTTGTTGAGGTAGATGGTTTTAGAAGTACGATGACAACATACAGAACAAAATAACAACAGATTGCTACAGGAACACAATCTCACAATTCTCATTTAATAGATGAAGTCAGAATGGCGAAGGAATATCGAGAAAATTTAGGCTGAAATATCGGACTGTGTGGGACTGAAAAAAGATTAAAAAAAAGCGTTCTAGCGAGTACAAGATTTCCAAGTACTAGGGATTTTATAACTGATTGGCCTATTAGTAGCGAAAAAAAACTACTTAGAAAGGGTGATCCATATTTCTATTTTGTGTTCAAAAATTGGAATTTTTCATGTCTTACCCAATATACTCATATCACAGACAAGAATGCTTTCTCATCTGTGGCGTATGAAGATTCGTGAGGTTGTGAAAAGATGCAAGTTAGAATAAAAATTGTCTTTTATCAATACAAGACCAGAGGCACCTTACATGATATTTGTATGTCAAAAGAAGAGCAATTAACTTGTATCTCATGTATTATCATGAAATTTTATAATGCTCAATTTGTGATACTAAAATCTCAATTCCTGTTATAGGTACAAATAGGCCTTGCTTGAAAATTTAAAAAATCTCACACAAAAATAACTCAAAAGGAACATTTCCTGGGGAGTTAAAAAAAAATGAAGAATTGAAATGATGATGGTAACAAAACAAAAAATTCTGATTATTATTAATGAAAAAGAAAAAAGAAATATACAAAAAAATAATTGAAGAAAAGTTTGTTTTGAGGTATTGAATGTTTCGCACACAATGTGATTAAATAATAGCACAGTCGTCAGTATGCGACAATGGGTCAGAGGTGAAAAATTTGAAAAGCACCACACATTGACTTTCAAATAAAATTGATGTGAGAGGTAAACGACCTCAATTCAATATCTCAATGCATGAAGTAGTTGTTATGAATAGGAAATTAGGTGAGGATCATGGTAGCTGTTATGCCGATATCGGTACTCCCGTAGTGTGTGTACCAGGTTAGGTTTGAGGTATAATTTTATTCAGATTTTCCTTATTTTAGTTCTATTACGAGTTCGGGAACTGTCTGTGTTAGCCAGGTAATTATACCCCCTGCCCATAGGATTCCCTTTCTACAACTTGGTGTAAAGTAGGCGAACAAAATTAGTTACCTCCATATTGGTACACATACTTCTGGAGCGCCCAATATTGGTATGATAAGATAAACAAGGACTCTGAAATATCATGCTCGGGTCATGTTTGGCCAAATATGAGGTAAGAAAAAAATATATTTAGTCGAAATTACGTCACACAATGTCACGAAAAACACAGAAATCATGGAGGTCAAACTTTGGTCAAAAAGTAGAAAAAAAATTTCCTGAGATATAAAAAATAATAATAATAATAATAGGAAGAAATATTCACATTTGAGCACAAATTTGCCCCAAAAAATGACAACAATTTCAACATATGACAAATTTTTAAAAATGCCACTTGAAAGTTTAGAAAAAATTATGTTATTTACAAAAATGGCAATAATCCCAATGATTATCACAACTGCTAATAAAAATGGTAACAGGGTGCAGAGATTGACTGTTTTTTTTCGACAAATTTGTCTGCTAAATTTATATTGTTAGTCGTCAGTGTATAATTTGATATTTACGATGATTAGTTCTTTTTGTTACTAATTAGTTAATAATGGAGGTTACTAATTTTTTTCCCTGAAAGCAATTGACGAGGTATATATAACAAAAAATTGATACACAATAATTTGCATAAATACAAAATATTGAAAAACTAGAAATTTGAATTGACTCAGGAACATGAGGCTTGAGTAAGTTTGGACATTTTTATCAAAAAATATATTCAATATTAAATGTAGAGAGAATAGGAACGATAGCATTTTTGAGGAATATTTCTTGTATACATGATTTTAATATGGGCACAAGGTTTTCAAATAAGGGGCCCTCAAGAACTCAACACGCCAAAGTTAAATCCTCCCTCCCGAAATTTTTGCAGAAGTATCCTAATACCTAACTATACATAGTCGAGTCTAGTTACTTCGTTTATTAACTGAACAGGAACAGCTAAATTAGGAGATTTCTAGTTAACAAAAAATTTCTGAGATTCGCTTGTAAAATTAACGAGCAAAAATAATACCCAAATCAAGTTTAGATACCCAAAGTGTGTGCCGTAATATGATTTTTCTTTAAAACAATTTTCAAATTTGGCAACTGCTTGTCTGAAGCCTTGCTCATAGTGTGAGACCATCTCAGAAGGTAGTAGAACTGAACATTTATAAATTGTGTGATGTTTTCCCTCTAATTAAGGTGATTAATATTTGGTATAATGTTCTTGTTGGTATATAGTTGAGTGCATTTGTGAGTGAGACTCTTTTAACATTGAGTTCTTTTGGTGAGTATTAATTAAAAATGAGTGCAATTAGTGCTTTGGTATTTTACGTGAGTCTATTTTTTGCATATTTGAAAATCACTCATATATTTACTCAAGCAGAATTGTTCCGTCACTCCACTCATCATGAGGACGTTTTCACTTTCTAGGACAGCAAAGATATTTCTCTACTAATAAATAGCTGAGAATTTTTTAATTTTTCTCTTTCTCACTCATCGAGAGGACCTTGCGACTCCTGTGAGATAGAAGAGAGGTTTTCGTTTTCCTGTTTCGTTCGTTGTCTGATACTCATCCGATAATCGAAAATGCCAATTGTTTTCGAGGTGAAGATGGAGAACAGTTTGTCTCAACGAACTACGATCTCTTCCCACAACACAGACTGTAGCACCTGTATAGATTATACAGATTAATATAAAGTATAGGACGTTCATGAAGTCTTAAATTTTTTTGATTTAGAAATAACAATAGAAATTCATCGATACCATATATTGTTTTGGCTCTCACAGATGTATTAAAAGAAGTAAAAATACTTGAACATTTACTGATTAAAAAACAAAAAATCTGTTTAGGACTGAAATTTTCAAATTAATGAATTTGGCGTGAAATTATTGTTATAAAATAAGAACTCTTCTATGATTGGTAATAAACCAGTTCAAGGTTAGTTAATTGATGAGTCCCATATATTTCAAGATTGCGATATAAATGTGTTTGTTTAATCCCTGAAAAATGACTTTAAGACACATATTATAGAATTTTTGATTAAATTGTAATGAAAATTATAGAACAATCGTTGGCGGAATTATTTTAAATTTTTTCTTACCTTTAGTGAATTTATATTGTTGCAGGAACTCTGGAGATATTTCAGTAGATTGGCAGAACAGGAGAAGACCGCAGTAACTCTTTTCAGTATTCACAGACCATTGCAATGCATCTGGCCTACTACTGGTAAATTCCACAAATACCTGTCAATACGAAAATATTTTTTTACAAGGAATTGTAAACAATTACATATAAGATCAATTGATTTGAGGCTTCCAACGCTGTCTATATATGTCTTGCATATGTCTAATCTCTAGGATTGGTATATTGGCTGTTTCAGGTATAGTCAGTATGTTGTAGTGCGTATTGAAGTATATTCTGGTGATAAGGCGCATTGCGAGCCGGAACCCTCCCTTTTGAAAAGAAAACGAGAATACCGGTCAGAGACTGAAGACTTATCGATCGAAAGTTAGGGGATCCCCCAAAACAGCGCTCTTACTCCATAGTGACACCTTGTGTCCCATCACTAATTAATTAATAACTCGCTAATTATACGACATAATTCATCCAAAATCAATAGGCTTCTGGTACGACATATGATGAATGCACATGCAAAATCTGGAGCAGATTCAATCTTGCTTTCGCGAGATATCGCGTGCATCTAACAGACAGACAACGTTCTAACAGACAGACAACATCATTACGTTCGAACATCAATAGATGGTTAGTTTTTCCTCAATAAAACTTGAATACATCACCCACCTCTGATCCAAGAGATACATAACGATCAACTACTAACACTGGATGCCTTGAGTTTCCTTTTGCTTTTGGGAAGACAGTGTGACCAAGTTTACTCAGATAAACTTCAAGAAGTAGGTTGGGATGTCGAGGTATCGGTGTAAAATCAAAATCCGCAAGACTGACAAGAGACTGTGGACTGAAAATATAAAACATAAAAATAATTATCAGAGTTCTGTATGTGACTGCAACAAGGGCGACACCTTCATTTTTGCGAGTGACATTTTTCTGAGGCCAAATTCTGTCTTATAATGAAGATTGAAAAAAGATAATTACAGACTGTGAGTCAAAACCCCTTTTTTGAAATGTAAGAAAACAAAACATTTCATACATAGCGATTTTTTCATGGCAAGAAATGCTTTTTACACTCTCAAGCATCGTTAAAATCCATGTTGTACAGTCTCTTGCCGGACCCACTGGTTGTTATGGTCAACTTGGCAATTAGAAATTTCAGGACCTCCCCTTTGACAAGGGTGCATTTCGGCTTCGAATATTTGATAACTGCTCAACTAAAGCTTGGTTTATAATGAAGAGCACAAAACAGAAACTTACTCATCACAGTCAACCGTTGCAATTTTATTCTTTGATTTGGATGATATCACTTTGGTTGCTACGGCGATGTCATTGAACCGGAACAATGGCCGATCAGCGGCAGCCAGTCTCAAACACCAATCGATATCAACATCGAGAAATCTGAAAAAAATAGATTTCATCATTCAAAAATGAGTTGTGATGGAGAGTGCATTCCTAGGCACGATGCACCAACCGCTATCAAAAATGAATTGTACTTGGGAAAATTGTGTCACATTTGTTTCTTTTTAATTCAATTTGATAAAATATTGTGATAATTCAAACACAACCACTAAGAAAAAAAGCAAATTCATGTCTTGATTAGTATCAAATAATAACAATAATATCAAATAACTATAATATCAAATAACAACAATATCAAATATACCAATAGAATTACCTTGAACAGTCAAACAATTCATCTTCAGTTGTGAGTGCGTTTATAGCGACACACGACGTTAGATGACATTTTGAGAATCCCGAACTGACAACGTCTCCTGTAAATTCTTCTTCACACTTGGTTGGTTTCATGTCACATGACCAGGGTCTTAATCCGATTGCAGAATACCGTTCAACGTAAGGTATTGCCTCTATTCTTTTTAAAACATCATATAATGATATATTCCTCCAGTTTACGATTTCAGAATGACCATCTGTGGAACTGTGAAAAAAGAGATGAATGTTAAAAATCATGAGACTCAAACTTAGGATAAGATTTACATATTTATCCCGGAGGAGAGCAAAGACGATAAGACAGCTTAATCATATGGCTACCACGGCCTCTCGTCCGTGTTTTCGAAAGCATGGACCCTCAATTCATAATATTCCATAATCAGTAATATGTTATTCTCACTATGATTACAGAGAGGTGACATTCAATACTCAGCATACTGCAAAAAATGCAAGTTTAAATCGAAACAGTACTGCTAAAACTTCTATGCATCAATCTTATCTGAAGCATTAAAGACGAATTCCATGTTATGATAACACTTGATAATTTGGTAAAATTTTAGGTAACTGATAAGAAATAGAACAAACAGTTGGATGTCTGAGAATACATTTTTTATTCACTCAGATGATACTCCATAAACAGCTTGCTACTAATCGACACAACGCTAGAGTATTAATTCTCAGAATGCTCCGTACCCAGGGCATTGTGAGAGAAAGCTATTCGTTTACTTATTAAAATACTGAATTGGCTAATTTTGTAACTGTCCAAGAAAGCACTAACAGCATTAATAAAATTTGACAACTGTAACAGCGAAATCTGGCAACAAGGTGGTAGTTCAAATACCATTCCAGTAGATAATGCCATATTCTAATTACAGACTTGTTGCCACATTTCGACACTATAACAAGTATAGTATAAGTTTATTTCGACTACTTATTACACTACTTTATTAATATGTTTGTCAAGTGTCAAATTAGAGTGGCCGGGAAAATCAATCTCTTCATGGGCTTCAATGACACCAGTAGTTTGAGAACCATTGCGCTAGCCTAACAACATTCTCACCTAACAACAGAGTTACAAGTTGTCCAAACAACAACGTTGTCATCAAGCAATAACGCAAACGGCCAGACATCACCCGTGCTCGATCCTTCTTCAAATACATTATGTTGTTCTTGTCTTACTAATATGGAATGCTGCATCGCACATTGAACAGCATATTTCATTGATCCTGAATAATTGGAGGATATTATGAAAACACTTTTTTTCAAAAAATTATATGAAAGACATAAAGAGATTACAAAATATTTGATTTTTGATCAATTAGACAGCCTAATCATATATGGTGAATCAAGACCTCTCGACCGGTTACCAGTTCATGAACTTGAATGATGGAGGAAGTCATAAGTGACTAACGGTTGAGACGGAAATGAATTTAGCACTTCTTAGCTGAAAATCATCAGCTATTATTTTAGATCATGCAAAACAATAATCAGCAATGCGAGGATATCCATTCAATACTGTTTGTATGTGGCAGTGGATATTGATTGAACTGAACTGACAGATACAAGACATAAAGTACTCGAGCACTTTAGTTTAACAATGTCAAGATGACATAGCTAAGTGTTTTATCGGGATTCAAAAAACACTCAAGATTCTAAACAAGACAAAATTCGAACCTCCAGAAGTATGCGCACCAAGATGGCGCACGACCTGAACATAGTATGTGTGTACCGGTTAGGATTCAGGTTGTGCGACATCTTGGTGCGCATACTTCTGGAGCACCCAAAATTCAAATATTCTGTATTGATCCAGGAAAAACAGAACCCAATAAACATCTTTATTACTTGTATGAAAAGAAAATTCATTAACACTTGAACTTCTTACTGTTTGTGTAGTATTGTACCTAAAAGTTCCAGTAATCTTGGATATTTTGCATAAAAGTTACTGTATGTTCTCTCTAGAATAATTTCCAAATGGCCTGTCTGTTTCTGTATATCACAAAAATGAAATTGATAATCACCTATTCCCAAATCATCAAAACTCTCCGGTAAAACCATCAGAGTCTTTCCTGCCCACGTAGTTAGAAATTCATCCAGATCACAATTTTTGATGACAATGATATGAAGTGGTTCACTGGCTTTTGCTTCATCTTCAGACATTTCAACATCTTCAATTGCCAAAGTATGATCGAGGTTGTATAAACCATGTTTTGCGCCATGGATTGCGATACTGAACACTGGGGTTTTCAGACCAACACTATCCTGTGTAAAAATTATTGAAAGTTATTACAATCACTAACATAATCCAAATATTAGTGTTTTTTATTTATATTTTCTATTCATCTGGCTATATGATAAGACAACTGGTATCAACTTGTAAAGTCTAGAACCTTACAGAGTATTTATATCGAAATAGATTACAACAAATTGTTTCTGTATAATTTGCCATTCTTGCAGCAGAATTTTAATTTATGTCAAATTTTACAAATACGAAATTTTAGAACACCAGTAAGCTTGGTGACCGAGGGGATTAAAGTGCTAGACGTGAATGTGTTGGAGCCGCATGTTGAAGATCACATGCACAAGTATATATTGGTCGCATGGAAATTTTCTCGAGTCACTTGTCTTTTCAACTAAAGTTGTAGATGGTAATTTTTTTAGAAAATTTCATTGTTACTTATCGATCTTAAGATCGGTAAGTATGTTGATAGGTATTTGTCTTTTTGTTTGTTTGTCTGTCTGTTAGATGCACACGATATCCCACGAAAGCGAGGATGAATCTGCTCCAAATTTTGCATGTGCATTCATCATAGCTCGGATCAGAAGCCTATTGATTTTGGATGAATTATGTCGTATAATTAGCGAGTTATTAATTAATTAGTGATGGGATACACGATGTTACTATGGAGTAAGAGTGCCGTTTTGGGGATCCCTTAACATTCGATTGATAAGTCTTCGGTCTCCGACCGATATTCTCGTTTATATTTTATTTGGTATTAAAGTATCACTCAATAGTAATAGTATATGTGGGAAGTATCCCAGGGTAAAAACTTGGCAGCTTTTTTCAGCCATGCCACAATGTCAAAAACTCCCTGATTGCAAACAAGAGCAGCTTTCTTACTTTGAGAGGAATTCTAGGAAAATAAGTGTTATGTAAAAATGATTGTTTCAAATTAGTCATTTAATTTTGCGGCCATGAAAGTACTACATGCCGTTTAGTATATGAGCATATTTTTGAGTTGGCAGATTTTACAAAATTACGGTTGCTTGAAAAAATGGTCGAGAACCACTGGGTTAGGCAATGCCAAATCAGAAGAAATAGGTCCTCTCAAAATATATTTCAGTGTCTATGTAGAGCATTTTTTGAAGTAAAAACCTCCAAATCTTTATAGATTAACTTTGACATAAAAAATGCAGCAATGTAGGAAAAACGAACCTTGAAACATAAATTCAACGCTGATAATTTTGGATCTTCATCTCGATGTTGAAATACAAAGTGATGCTGAGTAGACGCAGGAACAACAAAACTTATTTCCAATTCTATTGTTGAATCACAAATACTATTCGAATTCAAACCACGTTTAGGTATTAACATTTTGTGAACACTTGTCTGAAAAATAGAAATATTATGATATAACACTATATCATGATTTTTTTTATGCTGCTATTAACGCTTTTTTATCTGAACGAAGTCATGTAAATGGAACGGTACTCCTGAAGTATATGAACCAAGATGGCGGAAACCGGAACGTGGTATGTGTACCAGGTTAGGGTTAGTTTGACCATAATTTTATTCCAATTTTCCTTATTTTAGTACTATTATGAGTTCGGGGACTAGCCAAGTGACTCCTGTAGTATTTGTACCTGAAATTATGGTCTAACCTTAACCTGGTATATATACTACGTTCTAGTGTCCGCCATCTTGGTTCACATACTTTGGGAGTACCCATGGAACTACTGATATCTAATGATATGCAAGGAGCCATTATTTTTGAATGTACCAGAATCTTTCCTATTCAGCATTGCTTATCCAATATATTACACCCTGGGTGACTAGGGTGAGGTGGGTGGGGGGGGGGGGGGGCATGGTGATTTGAATCTGAAATGTGTGTTCTGCAATGCTAGAACAGTTGGGTCTAATGATTTGACTGGACGCGATGGCCGTTAACCATTTCATGGGTTTCTTTGACACTATTTCATTTTTCCTATATTGTGAATTACATTCTATATTTCACGAATTCACCAGAACTACTCCCACCCGACTATGGGGTGTTGAAAAATGAGATTCTGTAGATAATTTGAATTTGAGATGTTTATCCGTGATCTTGTGCTTTTTTTGCCATTTCAAATATTTTCACAAAATACTTCAACGCAAGCTGACCCTATTTAAATACAGTATGAAGCTCTATCTATCTTTAACAAAACTTACCATTTGTGAATCATCAGAGCTTTTACAAAGATCACAAGTTCTATGTTTGATGTCATATGAACGTGACTTTCCTGCCGTACACGCTGCTGTTGATATCTCACTTGCATCTGAAAATAAAGGATAACATTTATATGGTTATTTGTTTTGATCATTTTCTCTTTTTCAAGCAATGTTTCCACTTTTCGATTCTTTCCTTTTATTTTAAAGCCAGTGCTGCATCTAGAAAACTCTCATGCATTATATTTCATTATAATTTCAAAAAAGTTGGATCGGGATTTTATCAAAGAAGAGAGACATCTTTGTACTAACAATAAATCGACATGGTTGTGTTGGTGTGCTGCTGGACTCTTAAATTGGATAGCACAAAGAATAATGTTGCGTATTTTTGGATTTTTAAAACAACAATATTCAAAAATTTTCAATGAAATTCGAAAAAATTGTAAGAATAAAAGCAAAACTCCTTTATTGAAAATTCGCAGTTAAATTTGATTTTTTGGATAAGTTGAATTTAAAATTCTTGATAGATGCCCATTTTTTTCAGTACACTCGGACATGAACCCGAAAAAAAACAAGAAATACTAGTATTACTGTTCATCAGAATTCCTAAAAAACATCAGTTTGGAGAAATTCAAAATTTAAGTTGATTCTTCCAATCTCACCTATGCCAACATCTGTAAAATCTTGAACACCATTAGTAATTGGACTGGCATTCAATGACGAAGAGTTCTTGATGGAAGCATCGTACTCCATATCCAAGATAGTGGTGTGAACAGGCCATTGAGGTAAAATATCAAGATTTGGGACCGGATAACAAGGCTGGAAATAGAAACAGTTTAGAGAAAAAAAAGTGTTGAGTAAGAGTTCATGAATCCCAAGTTTCGAGTCAAGTCAGGATCTCAGTAAATTTTAAAGTTAGAGTCCCAAATCGATTCAAGCCACTGTTGTTTTCAAGTCAAAAATTGGTACCGCCCGTAGTATGTGCACCAGGTTAGGCTTAGGCCATAATTTTATTCCGATTTTCCTCATTTTAGTGATATTACGAGTTCGGGGACTGTTTGTGTTAGCCAAGTGAATATACCCCCTGCCCATAGGTTTCAGCCCCTTTACACAACTTGATGTAAAGTAGGCGAACAAAATTAGTTACCTCCATATTGGTAGACACACTTCTGGAGCGCACAAAAGTCAATAGTAGTTTTAAATAAACAACGATGGAATGAATAAATGAGTCGCATTTACGCTATGACATAACACTTCCTATCTTGTGTTAAACCAGAATTAATTTGAAATACAACTAAGATTTAATCATGTATTGTTAACATTTACCTCCACACAGTGTTATCCTCTATTAGGCTGATTGATAAATTTATAAGTCTTTTCAATACAACATTAACAATGTATGTTTCGTTTCAATTGAATTTTTTCTACTTCAGAGATTTGCCGAAAGTTTTATCCGAGCTTTAAGACTGACTAGTCTGAGTTCAAATCTCGCTGAGATGACCTCAGTCCAGTGGTTCCCAAACTGGGGGTAATTATCCCAAAGGGGTGAATTGGCAATTTTTATGGAGTAATTTAGAGGTAACGATATTAAAAGGTTTGGGAACCATTGCTTTAGTCTCTACGAGTTCTTGTAAAACATGGTTGAGTATGACAACTCGATGCTCCCTAACGAACGTGTATTTATGTACTTATCATCAAAGTTATGCATTATGTATAAAAAACAAACAGTATGAAAGAAAGAGCTGAACATAATACTACCTACCTTAATAACGGAAGAAGATTTGTTATCATAAACTTCAACTTGCAGCATCTTCAATAACATTCTGTTATAAAATTGAAAATGAATGAAAGCATCAGTTTAACACAGATTGGAAGTATGCTGAATGACTACACAATTACACATACAGTGATATCTCGGTAGCCGAACATAATTTGTTCAAGATGTGGTGTTTTCGACTACCGATTTGTAGCCGAGTACCAAACCATTTTTTCTGTAAGAAACATTGGTAATGCACTACCGAATTGTCGAGTGTTGAGTCGTTCGACTACCGAGGTATCGCTGTATATACAGATTAATATTTGAGCATTTGTTATCTAATACATAAAAAGTATAATTTATATTTTATCATTTTTGTAGCATTGAGTTATTGCCAAAAAAACAACAACACTAAAATCGGGTTGTTTTACGTGTGTGACCATCAGAACGTCTATGTGATGTACAAAATCTATGTGGTGTATAGTATAAGTGTTGGTGTTGTTGTGTGAGTGTTGAATGTATGAATGAAGATAATTGATATACTTGTGAAATTGGGATAGATTTACAAAATTTTTGATTTTATGGTACACAAAATAAAATTGATACTGGGCAGTAATTATATTACATATCTGTGTGTCTGGCTGACTACATAAAAGTTACTTGTGAGTGATCCAGTAGACGAATTTGCTTTTAACTAAAAGGACATATGCTTAAGAAAATGCATTTGAATTTATTTCTTCATGTGACTAACTATGCGTGTCTGTTTGCAGTCTGCAGCAAAGGTTATTTTTGATAAGACAAATAAACACATTTGCTTTTTAACAAACAAGAAATATGATTTGCAGTCTGCACTGAAGCTTATTTGTGGACAGACCAGCATTATGCTTCTCAAGAAATACAATGAAAACAACACCAACCTGTTCATTTTCTTCATAAAAATACAACATGCCAATGCAATGTTGGTTCGAGGTGAAATCACCGACAATATATTTCTTGGATTATTAAGAACAGGAATTGTTCTGTCAGGATCTAGTGAATCTGGATGGCCAGGGAGAGGTTTAGTCCATTTCCTGTTACAATGGAAGAAGAAGAAAATATTAACATAAAAAATACCACACCAGAGACAAATGAAACGGTACCATTTTATGTATAATTCCGTCCGGTTTATAAAATTGGCAATTCATAAAAAGGTCTAAAACCCGAATAATCAGTAATTAACAGTTTTTCAACAAATTTTATGTCAATTGTTTGTAATTTTGGTACAATTCCCAGTACCCCCAACGGCCCCAAGCCAGTCTTATCACCCAGAAAAAGCTAGGTCTGAGAACAGTTATGTGTATTTAAATAAAATGAAAATTAAAGCTTTTCTTGAGATATCATAAAAACTTAAGACAAAGCAATGGTTAATGCTAGGTAAATCAATTCCTGAAGCAACAATATATTCACATATTTGAAAACGTTGGAGTTAAATAAACATGAAAAAGACATTTTTAACTAAGAAGATCGCAACTCCAGAATCAATCCCCTGGTTTATCCTTAATAAAAACACACTTCATTACTAGGCACTCCCATAGTGTGTGTACCATAACTTTATTCCGATTTTCTTTTATGTTCTATTATGAGTTCGGGGGCTGTCTGTGTTAACCAAGTGAATACACCCCCTGCCCATTGGCTTTCATCCCTTTAAACAACTTGATGTAAAGTAGGCGAACAAAATTAGTTACCTCCATATTTGTACACATACTTCTGGAGCGCCCATTAATTAAAGCTCTCCATGAGTGTGTGGATAAAAAACAATTCTAGTAATATGCGAACCTCAAATAATCAGCAGTCTGCACATTGTTCAATCTTTCACTGATAATCGGACGAGAATGAGAACTCCATTCACACGATGAATGAGGCGGAAGATCAAAGAACTTCTCAGTTCCCTGGAAACATAAGGACATAAATCTAAACATACCGTATTTGCTCGTTTGGTAGCCCGGACACATATTTTTTTAACCAAACTCACTAATCGAGCCCTTATTCAAACCGGCCCTAATTCAAGCACGGGCACTTGTTATTTTTAAAGTAAAATTATACACATCATTAGCCAATCAGTGGTATGTGTTATTTCTTAAATTATCGTGTAGTTGATAGCAACAAAATCGTCTTTCGATTTTCTAATAGCCTCGGCTATAAGCATGCTCCACTATTTTCCTTCTCCCATCAATAAAGTTATGTCTCATAGAAAGTTTATGTTGACAGTACTCAAGCTACCTCAATTAGCTCATTTACTAGGAAATTCCTGAACAGTTATGTGGAATGCATGCAATATGATGATATTGAAAGTAAACAAGGTTAACATTTTGAAGACATAAACCCTTGGATACAATGTACTAAAACTTTGTGTGAGCAAAATATTTATGTACATTGGAAATTGTGCAACATGACAATGGTGTGAATTGAGTTATGAAAGCAAAAAACAAAAACGACTTACTTTTATATAACTTTCAACATATGAATGCATATTTTTTGTCAATATTATTTGGGGAATAATGAAGTCTTTTTTCAAATTTTTATTCTCTAGCACTGATTTGGATGATGATTCAGTGATCTGGTGACCTGGAATGAAGTAAAATGACCAGGATGACGCTGTGAATTGGTTTAAATAGCGAATTGGTTTGAAAAAAAAAATTGGTTCATTATTATGCGAAAAATACTATACCAAGTTATATTTATTGGCTTAACACTTTTCCAGCACACATGAGGCAGCAGCCTCCGTATTTAAAATGATGAGATGATTCTACGGATTGGTTTTACAGGAAAAATACTTTACTACATTATAATTATTAGTCTAATTTTTTTATTACACTTTTCCTCCACACATGGCGGAACAGCCTCCAGATTTCTTTCACGCTGATATATAAATAAATGTTGATTAAAAAACTACAACTTCTGATATTAGTGTAATTGAAATGGCCGATACAAACATTTTGGCGAAGAAAATTGAATACACATAGATATGCTTACTCCTCTTTCTATTGATCTTCTTTTCATTCTGTGGCAATTCATCAGAGGAAGAATATTCTTCAACTTCTGTTGTTTTTCTAAAATTTAACAAAATGTTTTATAGATCGTACAAGTACTAAGCCAGGCCACAGAAAAGGGTTAAATGTGCAAATTAACCACAGCTTAACAGCAAATAAAGTCACAAACAGTAGTAAACTCCCTTATCGCCTGAAGGCATTCAGAAATAATTTCTAAAGCAGGGTAATACAACAATACAATACAATTTTTCCAGCCTCTGTAAGGATCTCTCCAATATTACAATGATGAAATCTAACAGTCACAAACGAACTTCCCTCTACTCATTGTACCACTCATACTCACTCTGTTGTTTGCTCAGCATCTTTTTCATTGAGGCTTTTCCACTTGAGTTTATTTTCTTCACTTGAATCTCCAGAGTCTTCTGAGAAGGTATCCATTTGCAAAGATCCTTCTAAAGCAAGATAAATATCTACCATGATTTGCAAAATTTCGCTCACATATGAAATGGAGATTTTTTTATTTTGAGAGTTGTAAAATTGCAATTGCCTAACTAAAGCAAATAGTCTCAGATAAGCCATGTATTGAAAACCACTTTTAACTTAAATATGGAAACTCTTTATTGTTCTCATGAAAATTTACATTAAATAAAATAATCATATAGGCTTTCGAAAACAAAATTTCAGTAGAGCAAATGATTTTCAAAGTAAGGTAATTAAAGATTTGATGCAGGAATTCAGATCAGAGAAATTAGCTACTTTGTAATTCCTTTTTTCAGTGAACTGTGATATCAAATGATATCTGGTAAAGTTTTTGCCCAAAATCAATTCAGAAAATTTAGAACTAAAATGAATGCAAAGAAATGAATTATAGATAAATTGATATTGTTAGGTATAGTCAGACATCTGCTAAAAAAAACAAATTATAAATGCTTATACCTTCGCTATCGCTTCTTGCTTTCTTTATTGGAGGTTCATCGGTAGATTCTGCTGATGTTGCATTGATTTCACACTCTGATGCAAGTACGGACGAGTGGGCAAGAGATAACTCAGATAAGATAGCAGATTGATTGAGTGATTCTGAGTGATTAGCTATCAGTCGAAGATCAACGTATCTCAATGTACTGAAAAAAAATATATATAAAGATATGATTCCTACTAATTAGCACATTGCTTTTGTCACAGCAAAGGAATGGATTCCTTGAGTTGAAACATGCACTATTGTGACCACCACTGATTGACCCATGACAATGACCTCATCAATTTCGTCAAAGACTGGAGTGGAGAGATATTGACTATATCCCTTGGAGTCGTGCTGCTTAAAACAGAACTCAAAAAAAAAAAAGAGATCACAAGAGATATTAACAAATCGACACTATAGAAAACCTAATAATTTAATATTTTATGAATACATTCTGAAATAATATTTTCGAATAAGAAATATCGAATACATTATAAATCGAGTGATTGTTAACAGAAATATTTGTACAAATCAATGTTATCACACAAATTACCAGACCCTGGGTGAGGTGGTGGGCATGGGTGTTGAAGAAGAGATATTCAAAACCAGTGACGCATACGCGCAATTGTGCCCAATAAATGAATGTATTTGGTAATGCAGAACAGTTGAGATAAATATTGCTTTGATCGACTTGAAGTTATTATTTTGAAAACGGCCAATTTGGTATATATTTAAATAAAGGCAAGGACTATGAAAAGTCTTGTGATTGCGACCAGAAATTTTTTTTTCTGTTTGTATAAACTAGATGAACTGGAAAATTCCGACCTTTTCATCACAAAAATGAAAATTCAAAAATACTACATTTATTGTATTAGTTTCAAATTACAAACCTTGGCATCTGATGGCTTGTTATATCTTTCCCAGTATAAACCAACAACAGTGGAATGCAGTCGATATCTGATAATGTTTCTGGAATCCAGTCATAAGACTTGCCTTTCTGCATCTAAATATATTTGTTTCATATATTAACATCTGATTTTGAAGTAGATCATTTGATCCAGTTATGGATTAAGGGGTTGTTTTCAAACTTGACCCTTGCTTGCAATCCAAGTTCCGTCTACCGAAAGAAAGAAACCTAACCTTTTTCCAGTTTACCATTGTTTCAAGTTTCAATATGCCAGTTTTTATACAATATTTTTTAACATCTTTCACTTGTACATGCAGTTACTGCTACATAGGAATTACTATCTTTGGGAGGATCGGAATCATTACATTTCGGCCCTGCCTATTTAATTCATTATATATATTCTGTTGAGGTGGGCATGTGATTTGAATCTGAGATCTATAACCTGCCGAAGCCAACACTCTAACCCCTGAACCCTCGTACCCATTAGTGGCAAGAACACACTTAAAAAATCTTGAGAATTACAAAATTGAATTGAATTTAATTAAAAATAACTTCTCGACTAAAACTCTCACCTTTAAGATTTGAAGAAAATATTCGGAAACGGTCGGTTTAGAATTGCTCTTATACAGCAGAACCTGAAAAAATAAGATTGCAGATTACAGGTGGAAATTGGATGACGTGGCACAGAATAAATGATTAAGTTATGAGCTTGTACCTCAAATGCATTGTCCATCTTTAATTTTCCTCTTGCGTTACTGATTTCTGATACAAAATATTTTGCTAAAGATTCTGAAGGAATTCGAAGTAAAACAGTGATGCCAGATTTGGATGACAAGAGATCCTAAAATAAAGAAGTAATTGTTTAAAACTGCAGAATATATTAGAATGAAACAGAAAAAAACAGCAGTCAAAATGCTCATTTAAAAAAAATTTAAGAATAAAACTTTGGTTATTAATTTAAATTTAAATATCATTTTTATGCATTTGGTCTAAGTCCACTGCTCAACACAGGTCACCACCTTAACCCCCCTTACTGAGGATGGTACAAAATAGGGTAATCTAATACCTAGATAAAAATTATATAAAAAAACAGTTTATTAATATGGTAAATCGTGCCGTCTGGAATGGCTGCCATTCTAATTGGCCATGTCACGTACTGGAATAGTTAATTCACCAGACAATAATTCACTTTCAAACTTTTTTGAACACCTGATTGCAAAGAACAAACTCCAGATGACTAGAAAATAAAATATGTTATAGAATAATACCACACAACAGTAATATCGGTATTAATTAATAAATTTTAAGCCAAACTAACTTGAGGCACTCTACCCTCACGAAGTACATTAGAAGTGAACAACATATAAAGATGAAACAAACCTTTACAATAGAAGTCGTAATTGGTGAAGTTAAATTTTGAAGTTGATCGTCGTCTTTCGAATAACTTTCTCCGTTGGAAAGAACTTGGGCCGATGATAATACATTTGCCAGCGCAGCTATGTAAGACTGCGTCAAGATTTTTGTACAAACTGTGGACGAGTGAAAATGAGGATCGCTGAAAAAAATAATAAAAATTCATAATAAATTATAAAAAATTTGAATAAATAAAAAAAAATCACTTTCTTTTTGTATCAGAAATACAGTAAATACTTTTACTTTATTAACATTAAATTACGACAAAGAAAAGTTTCAGAATATATTTGATCAATGCAATGAAGTACAGGAGCTTGTCTTTGTGTGATCAGAAACAATCATATTGCAGCAGAATGTCCAGATAAAAGTATAAATAGGATACCGGTATATTTGAATGTCAGAGAATTCCTCGGGCCATATTAAATCCTTACGCAGGCCGTGGCTTGGAAACCACTGATTTAACACAACACAAATGCATTGTGATGCGGTTTGGTTACAAAACAGTATCAGAGCCAAAGTATATTAAATAAGTCTCCTGGTTGAAGAAAAGAATAAAATTGCAATAACATGAAAACTTTTTAAGTTGCTATCATGATCTTACCTTCCTGACATTGCTACTGATTCGGCTTCATGGTGGAGGTCATAGGTCAAATGATGATTAATATCCTTGAATGATGAAGAAAAACAGTGATCGACAAAAGTTGAAATATTGGCACTCTGTATAAAGAAATTTAAACAATTTGTTTGTACAAAAAAGATAAATGATTAGGGTACTTCCATAGTGTGTGTACCAGGTTAGGGTTAGGCCATAATTTTATTCCGATTTTTCTTATTTTAGTTCTATTACGAGTTCGGGGACTGTCTGTGTTAGCCAAGTGAATATATCCCCCTGCCAGTAGGTTTCAGTCCCTTTACACAACTTAATGTAAAGTAGGCGAACAAAATTAGTTCCTCCGTATTGGTATACATACTTCTGGAGCACCATATTGAGTTCTGTTCAAGGAATATATAATAATTTTTTTTAAAAAAATAAAAATTCTGAACGCTATATTACATAGCAAAATCAATATCAATGAAAACTCCCAAAATTTACGAGTTCGGGGACTAGCCAAGTGACTCCCTTAGTATTTCTACCTGAAATTATGGCCTAACCCTAACCTGGTACACATACTACGTTCCGGTGTCTGCCATTCTGGTTCAAATACTACGGGAGTACCAAATTTAAGTTCTAATATAACTTACCTCTTGATTAAATTTGGAAGAAAATATAATATTTTGGGAAGAAATTGAGGTATTTTGGTTGAGTAAGGCATGTGGAATGTGAGTGCATGATATTACGAGAAGATTTGTGAGAGATTCTTTGAGCAAATTTGACCTCCACTCTGATCCAACACTAGAAAAAAAAAAAAAATTCGTTAGAAAATGAAATACTATTTTCAGTACATTGAGTTAGAGGCTGTGTAAAAGCAGTCATTTAGTTTTAGAGAGACATTGTGCTTTGAGAGTTATCTGCTCCATGGCCATAGGAAAACAACCTCACATGATACAGTTTCTAGTGATTTTATGAAATCTAAATTGATTCAATGTTAAAACGAGAGAGAGAGATGCTCAAATCAAAAATTCAAAGTTCTGCATGTACAAGTACTTGATATCACATTCTGTAATACACAAAATGGCAGTTTGCTTTTTAACTTTATTTTAAGTTATGCTTGCCTTCCAGGTATCTTTGCATTGTATGTATGTATGTTCACTCTTTGTTTTGATCATGTCAGAGAACCGAGATAAAATGATTTATGATTGATTGATTTATATACATTACACCATCATTCAAGTACTTCAAGGCCAGTGGAAAACGCACACAATTCTACTATACTTGGATACAAAATACACAAAACAATGCAATGTCCATGCATTCGACGAATCACTGATTAGGTTGAAGCCACACCTCTAACACACCCAAAAAGTTGAAGTACCTGTTAGCATCACAATGTAAATGAGCATCAAGATGAAAGATGATAAACAAAGTCGAATGGTTTTTCTTCATGTGTTCACATATAGCATTGAACCTAGAATTGTTAATAAAATATATAACAAAGACAAAGTTTTTCGTAAGAGGAATAGAAGCAGGATATTATTACACATTACTCGTATTTGCAATTAATGATGCTTGTGTATGAATAACCGTGAACATGGATTTAATTTGCAAACCCACGCAGAGTAATGTGGCAAGCGCAATTCTAGCGCTTAGCACGATGAGTCACACCGCTAAGATATCATGACTCCTACTTTATCAGTGAAGAAATCACCATGAATATCAGACAGTACATACAACAGTATCAGATATTAATAATAACAAATATTAATTTAAATAACGAATGAAAACCAATAAAGTATTGCTGCCACCTAATAATATTCATGATATGTTTGAAAAAAATATTTCTGCAATTATCAAAAGCTAAAAATAATATTTTTCATTCGTACACTTGCTGTAAATTGTTCAAAATGTCATTTTGATGGATTAACTTATTTAAACTTCCTAATTCACTCAGACATTTGATATGGTTTCTACATTATGTAACCTACCTTTGCTTTGATTTCAATGAAACAGTCAAAATTAACTTTCTGGCATCAGTAGTTGAAGGTGAGGACGATGACAGTCCAGGTTCTTCAAGAAAACCTAAAACAAACAAAAAAAATATCTTAACTGAAATCTCAAAGTAAATTCAGTTTAGTAATTGTAAGTTAACAAGTTAGGGTGCTTTATTGACTGTGATTTGTATACCACAGTCAATGCCAGGGGAAAAAAACAAATCGAAATATGAAACTATCCAATAAATATTGATATGCACCAGATTCTCTAGGTCAGTGCTCTTCGAACTTTTTTGTACCACACACGAATAAATCCTAAATTTTGTCGTGGCAAATATTAACTATGAAGTTGGTAGATGTGCCTAAACTGGGAAGAGGTAGCTATACAAAAATTTTACAAATTTATATACTATAATAACAGCGTGTGTGTGTGAGGAGGAGTATAACATTGCCTACATCAAGAATGATAGCTTCAGACCAGTGGTGTGGAACATTGTTTATTGGTGAACCATATAACCGTCATACATCCCGCCGTGTCACACCAAAAATTTATTTTTTCCATGCGGGAAAGGCAAGAGTTGAGAAGGCGGCTTGTGCTTAGCCTTGCAGTAATAAAGGGAAAACGGCGAAATATTTAACGCAGGTTGCTTCAGACAATTATGGTAATATAGAATGAATCAAGTGATTTTAAAAGTCTTTTGTTAAAGCACAAATCTTTCATATCAAACTTATAGTTGGGGGAAAAGGAAGCATGAGGTAGAGTAGTACTAATGGATAACAATAGAAATGAAAGTATGAATACACTCAAGGGTTTTGGAACAAGAAGCCCAAAGAGTAGCAGGCCTACATACTATTGTAGACAACATTGAAATGAAAAAATAAGAAACAATAAAATGTGAATCCCGGCCTTCCTTCCATAGAACATGATTTTTCATGTCAAACTTACAGTTTGGGAACATTTGTCCTAGATACGTACCTGATTTGTTTATATCATTGATTGTTTCAGATTTGAAAACTTCTGACTCAGGTAGTAAGAAATAAGGTTGGACTGAGGTAAATCTTGAGGAATCGAGTTTGTTATGATCTTCACAGAGAGATGAGATCTAGAAAAGAGAGATTCAAGATTGTAGATATATAGTAATGAACTTTTGACATTTGTAATATTTATAGATTTAGCACTCAACATACAGATATCTCAGAGATTGTCAACGTCACGTTAAATATTCAAAGTGTATTCAAAAGTTAAAAATATTAGATATATTTCATTTATGATCAGGATAGTTGCTGATGGTACTCAACTATGATTTTTCGATAAAGTAGTGATCTCGACCTGTTTACCATAAATCAGGCAAGTTTTGAAAAATCTAGCTAGCTAGCTGTTACGACCTAACTTGGCAATTATAAATTTCACCCCCTCCCCCCCTTGAAAAATTCCTGGCTTTGCTCCTGGACTCAAGCCTCCCCAACACAGCTCAAAATACGCAAAACCAGGATATAATAAAAAAAAATTACTTTAGAGAACAATTGGTCAGCAATACAGGTGACATATTCATCCTTTGTTGAGGTTACTATTTGAGTTGCATTGTTGTTTTCATCAGCGGAAGTGGGTGAGGTAGGGGCAATATATTTTCTTGTCGAGCTCAGTACTGGGCTTGAGGTATTTCGAGTAGATAGAGGAAGAAAAGATGTTCTTATGTCATGGATGGATCTCTGAAACACTATGGACGACATCTCAGTGATGTAGGTATCAAGTTTTATCGCTGAAATAGAGTTTGAGATTGTATTAAATTGAGAATTATAATAATTCTTTATGGTTCTGAGATATAGAATAGGATTTACATAATTATCCCGGGGGAGAGGAAACCCAATAAGACGGCTTAATCATATGTGAACCACGCCTTCTCGTCCAGTTACCAGTCCATGTCAGGTATGGGATTAGTTAGGTATTTGTTTTCGAAGCATGGACTTGATGGTGGAGGAAGCCGTAACCGATGAGCGGTTACGTGAACCACCCTACAGCGGCGAGTTGTCCAGCAATCCTCTCGCACATAACTATCCTCGGATGGGATTCGGACCTGCGAACCCACACAGGGCATAGCATTTGAACCAGACGAGTACTCAAAATGAATGAAAGTGCAGAGTGGCCCAAATAAAAACAGAGCCCAGATTATTTGAAACATATTCTAAAGATAACATAAGATTTGTGCAAAGCGTTTTGGATTACTGAAAATTTTGGGTATACAAACATAAGTTTAAATGTTATATATATTTTTTCACATTCAAAGAAATAATTGAGAAATTTTATGGATTCTGTTTTTTTCATATATTGTGGGTTTCACATCCATCTCTAAGTAGTTATCTTTTGTCAGTATTTGTCTCTAACCTTTCTCCTACGCAAGGAAAAATTCTCGTCTTTAGCAGGAGTTCTTTGTGGGTGCAGGTAAATTACTGTGCATTGTTATATTGATATTTCACTAGCATACATCATATACAGTGATACCCCGGTAGTCGAACATAATTCGTTCAGGATTCCTGTTCGAGTACCGAAACTTTTTTGCCATAAGAAACAATGGTAATTATTTTAATTTGTTCTTACGCATACCAAAATACCCCAAATTAACAAAACATGTACCTAAACAACAATAAATATGTAAATGTGTACATAATGAAGCTAAAAATATAAAACAATTTTGTCTTAGTTACTGTTCGTTTGTGCAAATTTCGTGGGCTGTATGGGGTACTGCAGAATTTTTGAATTTTTTACCAGACCGAGAAATTGTTCAAGAATAGAGTCATTCAACTAACAAGGTATCACTGTATATGCAAAGAAAATGTTCATTTTAACCTCTGTATTGCTAGGAATAAAACAAACATAAAAAAATGTTCATTTTGACCCCTGCATTTAAGATTTAAAACAAACCTGAGGATATGTTGTTGATTTTTCCAAGATTATCTGAGGTAGATGTTTGTTTGATGATTTCAAAATATTCATCGGATGTTAGTAAATATTCACGAGTTAAACGAGACGTATGACCTAAAAAGCAAAAGAAAATAATTGCGTTTTGTGTCAATCTCAATAGACATAAATAATCAAATAACATTGAAGCAATAGAGCCATATGTGATATTTCATTGCTTTTGAAAAAAATATATGACAATTGGCAATATGGCAAATCACGACCTCTTTTCCAATAACCAGTCAATGCCAAGTATGGGAATAATCATTTGTTTCAAATTGCAAAGGGAATTCATCGATACCATATATTGTTTTGACCCTCACAGATGTATTAAATGAAGTAAAAATACTTAAACAATTACTGATTCAAAAGCAACAAATCTAGTTAAGATATATTGAAAACTGACTTCATAACAAAATGGAAATTGTAAAGGGAATTCATGTACACCCTGTATAATCAGGAGTCAAACCAGTGAGATCCTATTATTTTTCAGTTCCTCAGTATTTGAATAAAAAAACTAATTACCTGTTAGTAGAATAGATAAGTCTAGTATTGTATCTCCGTTAATATGACTGATAATATGGAAGGTTGGGCCACCAGGTCTTAAGTTAGCAATGCATTCATTAATTGCATGAGCTTGAGATATCTGAAATGGAGATGAATGAACTTAATGAAATAGTGAAATTAAATTGGTATAATAGAATTCAGCTTGGGACTTCTAAAACTATGTGTAGCAGAATTACAATATGTGTCAATTTCACTTTGTGAAATGGAAAAAATAACCAAATTGAAAGCAATTTATATTTTCAGTACTTTGAGAGAAGAAGTACTTCAGTACTTTATCAAATACCCTCAATCATCAATCTTGGCCAAACTAAAAATATCGTACATTGTCCATTACGATCAAATATACTAATATTTTTAAACATTAATACCCTTGCACCAGCAATAACCACAAAGACTGCGCGCAATGCAAAGGTGCTTTGTGAGGTATTTCCCAGAACGCTTATATGCCAGCGTTAGGAAATGGCAAAAAGTGAGCCACCATGTCAAAATAAGAATGAGAGAGAAGTGCAACAAGCTTATGTGTCAAATTATTAAATGGGCATATATTAAATATTCTTTTAGTTTAATGTTAACAAAGTCAAATTTTATCCCCAACCCATTGTGATTTGGTTAAAGAAAGTAAATGCACTATGAATTAGAAAAGTTTGGAAACCACTATATTGTATCAAAAACTGATGAATACGAAATAAACAAATTCTAACCTGCGATATAACAACTCCAATCTTATGCATACAGTTACTGATTGTCATTCTAGCAAGCGAAACAACATGAGCAGTTGTAAGTTGAACTTGTCTCATGGATGACAACATTAATCTTGATCTTCCTAACCAAGCCGACATAGCCGCTGGTGTCGGAAAATCATGATTTTCTGAAAAAGAGGTAGATAATTGTAACACAATATATATATATATGATTTTATCAAAAAACGAAATACTTTTCATAACTTCTACAAGAAGAAAGTATTTATTTTTCGAGCAAGCTGGAAAGACCATTTTCACATGCTCTCATAATATAGTGGAAAAAATTAATTAAAAAAAGTGACGAGCAACCGCTGAAAACTCGTAATCTATAAATATACTACACAACTAGTTCAGTTCAACACGGCAGCTATCAAAGATCAAACTTTGAAAGAAAGATTGATTTGACTACATGGCCCACTAAATCGTCCATGAAGTACACATTTTTTTGTAATAGAAGTCAAATAAATGAGAGTTATGCTCACCTAGAGATGTTAGATATTGTGTTGTAACCATGTAACAAAATTCTCTGCTCAATGGAGCAACTGCTGAGTGATGCTGAAACAAAAAATACATTCAACATATAAAAAATTCTCACTAAATATATGATGGAGAAAATGACAGAAACTCTGACCAAAGCAAGAAAGGATTATACAAGTCTTATTCAGTCTTTCTATACCAACTTCGCTATCAGTCAGTCTGTTAAAATATAAATCTATCCCAACAAGTGTCATTCATATAATTTTAATTTAAACGAGCTTTTGCAGAATAAGATTCCTGTGGATTTGCAGGCTGAATTTGACGTTTTTATCAGGTGTTGAAGTTGTGTTTTAAAATCCCCCAAATGTCGAAATAAAATGTTTTAACTTTTGTAATTTAGGAATTGGAAGGTGTGTCAGCTTTCAGCCGTAACCAATTGTGTCAATCAAATCCTTTATTATTAAATTGAATCGTTTGGATTTGCAGTCTGAATTTGACATTTTTATCTGGTGTCGAGGTCTGATTCCCCAAATGTCAAAAAAAAAAATTTTGAACTCAAAACTTTCGTAAGTCAAGACCAATTGTGTCAAATCTTTCATTGATCCCTCTAGCGACCCAAATGAACGGCCAGGAATATGAGTCCTGTAACTGCAATACCAGGCTGTGTCACTGACTCAGAGATCTTGGGAAAAGGTTTTCAATCCTGAATGATTCAGCGACTAAGATTCAATAACAGTCAAATATGAAAACTCACACATTCCGTCATCGCTTCTTCAAAACATTTGGTAAATGCATGAGTGATGTTGACGTTAGGTATGTTACTTTGTAGATGTTGCCACTCCCAACAAATAAGAATGAGAGGACGACCAACGTAGTTTGGAAGATTTTCTGGTAGTTTGACAGTGGAATTCCAGTCAGGATCAAGACGTGACTGTTGCAGTGTATCAGAGGTAGGTTCGGATTGCCCTGGAATCATACAAAAAATGAGGGTATTCAGTTCAGAATTCGTTCTAAACAATGACAATTAGACAGAATCAAGTGTACAGTTAAATTAAGTATTCATATGATTGCTAAGTAGGAAATAACTACAAAGCACCATCTTTAAGTCACACGTTTCTTTCACTATCAAGACCCCAGAGCAAAATGACGAGGCAAGTCACTGTCCGGTTACTAGTTGGTTGAGGCGTAATATGATAACATTTCCAATAATATACAAGTTCTGCTAGAATATAAGCTTATTCAAGTTGACATTGCAGATAGAAAAGTATTCATATTTATCATTTACTACATCAATACACACAAAAATACATGTATTACTTTTTACATTCGAATGTTTACTATTAGAATCGATGTTTGAAGCGTTGCAACAAGTATTTTTAGCCAGAGCTGTGTGTAAAAAGGATGCCAGAAAATATTAGTTAGAATAAAAGCAGAAGCATTTTCAAGTCTTTTCAGTCTTAAAAATAGATTGGTGTGTAAGAGGCATTGACAATATCTTGTAAGAACCTCGGCAGCGATGAGTTTGATTTCTAGAAAGCAGCAGCATTTTCCAACTATGAAGAAAATGTAGTGACAATATTGTATAGCTTCATTGTTTGGACCAGAGGCATAACCAGAGGTTGCGGATCATACCCCCCCCCCCCTCCTTTTGAAATGTAAAACACAAAGAAGATTTTTCTGTATATTCATACATACTACTTTTTAGTAGCTTGAAACACTTCTTGGACTGCCCCTGGTTCGGACTAATGATATTAAGACTTTAGGAGGTTAAAAAAAACAAGCATGCATGATCTATAGAAGTAGATGTAAGAATGACCAGATGAAATGGCCATGATTAATCAGTAACCACTACTGTGCCAAGATGATATTATGAGTGGGGTCTAATAGAGCTTGATTGAAACCAGATTCGAAATTATCATAATTGAGAAAGTTGTCTCCAAAGACACGGATGATCAAAATTTTTCTTGTGAAATTTGTTGTTATTACAGTGAAATTTTACTTCATCCTGATATTTCACATGACTTTGCCCCGAGAAGTATAAATCGAGAAAAAATTAAAAGAATATTAAATGAAGAGAAATGTAGTTAATTTTAAACGATGATATTTTTTTCAAATGGTGTCAGAAAAAAAAATCTAAACCAGTTAACTGTTATTATAACTACAAATATGACAGCAGTTGTGAATATACAGAGCAGTAGTTCTCAAACGGTGGGGCGCGTCCTACAAGAGGGCGTGGACAATATTTTGAGGGGGCTAATTAAAAATATTTGCTAGATTTGATTTTGCCTGCCTTAGTTTGGATTTTAGATTTCTTCATTTTTGATATCCATCCACATATTTTTAACGTGTTTTTTGAATGAAACATACTTTTGCCTTACTATCTGTTATTCGTAGCTTATTGTTAGCTAGTTATTTTTGAGGTGGGGCGCGCGACTTGACAAAATCTAAAATGAGGACGTGGCATAAAAGGTTTGAGAACCACTGCTATAGAGCGATGATTCAAAGCGAGCATGTCAGCATCATGCATGGATGACGGAGATGACTTTATACCTGAACTAACTGGAGACCAATCATCAGCCAGTTTACGTTGATTTGGAGAATCGTTAGCTTCAATTAAAATATTTAATTAATTATGAATCATAAATTACAGTGAAATTGAGCGATAAATAATTGCTCACAAATTACGATATTAAAGAATTTTTCTAAAAGGTACGCCTGAAACAAATTAGTGAAGTTGTGTATTTCACATTAGAGATTAGATTAACAGCAAACAGGTATCAATTGAGAGTTGAGACAAAAAATTTCCATACAAGATCCACCACTTATCAAACATTTCACTTTGAACAGAGCAGTGTACAACCCTGATATCTGGCAACATGTAAGTTACTACTTAAGATAGGACTTCAATTTTGAACCAGAGATGTGAAACCTCTATGCCAACACAGTTCTAAGGCTTGAACTGCTAAGCCACCAGACACGTCCATTGAATACAAATGACGACAAAAATACGTGAGATGCTTCTCGGACCACTTTCAATATTTATCCACAGAGAAACATAAAGCGATCAGACAGCTGACCACTCATATGGCTGACCACTGCTCGGCTACAAGTCCAGGTTGATATAAGAATTGCTATCCTACCAGTTTATAGCTCAGAAAAAACTTATAGTACAGAGAAAGCTGTGACCGACCATGAGAACCACCCTCGAGCAGTACAACTGGCTTCTCACGTATTACTGTTGTCTATGGGATTTGAACCCTAAAACTTATGCTGATGAGATGGTAAGAGTATTCAAAACACTCAATTTGATAATCATTATTTGTCTGATAATAAAAGTTTATACTTTGCAAATCCCTTCTTGTAAAAAGTATTATATTATCAGTTTTTTAACAAAATATACTATCTTACTCAGACATTAGCTAGGTAACTGAAAAAATAAAAAAGTTACCTGATAATGGACTATCCAGTAGTACAGGAGAAGATCCTGAGGTAGTAGGTTGTGTCTTACTTGAATGTGGAATAACCATTCCACTGTGTGGAAGAAGTTGAGGTCTGATTTGTTGAGAAGGTGGCCTTCCAACATGCCTTTGTTTGAGATGCTGCCTTTGTGGCATAACCATACCCAAACGTGGCCTTAACATGCCTTGTGGCATTTGTGAAGGCATTGGTGAGATGTCACCAGATATCCAAGGTATGACAAGACCTCTCATGCATCGATGGGGTGCCGCTTGGTCTCGGATGACAAAGTTTCTGGCATGTCGTTGTAATGGATTAACTCCCGACATGGTGACATTAGTATGTGATGGTGACGCAGTCCGTAGATTGATATGTGACGATAAAGTTGCGAATGTGTGCAAAGAACTTTCTCCACATCCGATACATTGAGCTGTAAAAGATGTCAAAATATGAAATTCAGAGAATATATCAATGGAAAAGTATATTTTGTTGCGATAATACTTAAGCAGTTGAATGAACCACTGTTGACTTTATCATTATTAATACTAACATGTTGAAAATGCTGTTACTGATCGTCCTATGTAAACGGTTTAGCTGGAATTCGAAATTTATATAATCAAAATCCTTTCTTCAATATAATTTACTATTATGTAGTTGAAAATATTAAATTTGGCACATAATTGTGTGAAATTAATGTGAATTTTCAGTTCGATTTTATTCTATTCATCACGTTTTTGTTAGACTTCTCCAAAGGTGTCGCTGCTCGATAACCAGTATTGGTTTTCAGAGTCTCTTTTCACCCTGGAATGCAATTTTTTTGTATTTTCTTTGATTTGTGTGTTTATAGTTCGTACTTTCAGCATGGTGGAGTAATAAATAACCGACTGATTTTGACACAAAATATATGAAATTAAATTATTCACAATTGACAACTCACCCATTATAGGTCTGCTAAGTTCGTGTTGGTTTGGTGGAAGACAACTAACACTGATTGCTACGACAACCATAGCGTCTGCTGGGATATCAGGAGGATGGTACAATCCAGGTGACTTCATAACTTGGGGAGCAGATGGTGAAATAGACATTGCTACGAGTGTGTATTCATTGGGATATGGAATTATATGGATATTCTCTTGCTGTAATGTTGACAATCGGATATCTTTTCCTCCTTTGCAAAAACCTATAAAATTAAATGGTACATGTTAGAGGGTGTGGGATTGAGGATATCTAAGAAGCCCAGTAAAACAAATTCACTATCGATGACGTAAATACCTCGCATATAAGACAAGTTTAAAACTAAATAAAAAAGTTGCCAAACTAAGGGACTTATACACATATTAACTCTGATAACAGTCTGTGATTGGTTGTCATACACAATATATATCACTTGCATGTTTACACTTTGACATGATTTTGAGAAACTTCACGATGTTATTAATAAAAGTAAAACATAAATAAGTTTGCAAACTTCATTTAGTGAGAAATTCAATTTCGTGTTGAACTTTATTATATGTAAAAGAATTACTGAATTGGGAGTATTTGAACCTATTTTAGCTTTTGAAACTAAGACTGTTTCACGATTAGTAGAAGAACTTTGAGGAAACAGCAAAATGTCCTTTAGTCTACTTCGTGGTTGGGCAAATTACGGCCCGCGGAAATATTAAGAATTATCAGTAACTGGCCCACTCAAAAAAGTCTTTGTCCATCACTGGTCTACTTCAATGTTCTTTCTGGTGGAAAAATACTTTAAATACCTTGTGGAAGTTCATTACCATATATTAACTCATTTTACATCTCTTCGAGGTATGAATTATTCACTGTTGCATTATACATGATCATCTATGGCAGAAGTATGCCAAGACAAAAAAAGGAGCAAAAAAGTACTCTAGTAGAGCAAATCTGGAATGAGAAATGAAGAATGAGACTTATTGCTTACCTTTTCTAAACATGGGAGATCCAGGGGATGTCTGTTTCCGCATTGTTGCCGAGGATTCTTGTTGTTGTTGTTGTTGGGGAGGTAGAGAGTGAACACCGTTTATCGACGAGCCAGGATTTATTAAAGCATTCCTGAAAAAATTAAGATTAAAAAAATATAGTTACTCCCGTAGTATGTGTATCAGGTTAGGATTAGTTAAGCATAATTTTATTAAGATTTTCCTTATTTTAGTTCTATTACAAGTTCGGGGACTGGACTGTCTGTGTTGAGACGACTCATTGAGATTCGTATATTCAAAGGGTAGTCCATGCAGAAAGTTCGTAAAGTTCCGACAAGTGTTGTTACGAAATCAATGCTCAATATATCTGAACCAGGTTCGTTTAATTTCAATTAATATTTGTTCAGGAATTTTTTACTTCATTCAATCTATCTGTAGGGGCCAACAAACTATAAATGATATTGATAATTCCTTTTGTGATTCAAAAAATAGGATTCTATGAACTCGTTGCCTTCCATCAAAGTTTTACTCAACTACAACATATTGTTTCCTGTAAGGTGATGATGTCGGTATTTACTACAGGTAGTTAGAGTTCAAAACATTTGATCATAAAGCATGCAGTGTCAAAGTGAATCCTGATCAATATTTTCATGACTCAACATAGCAGGAAATATTCTTGAGTTCAATAATAGCCAACCTGTGTAGTGATAGCTAGCAACACCAGAGAATTTTTGTTCAATCAAACTAACAATTTTATTTTATATTTAATACATTTTTTTACGAGAACTAGATATATAATTGCTGTTTTCCTTAATTTTGGTCATTTTTGCATTAAAATTGGTACTCCCGGAACCAAGATGGTGGACACCGGAACCTAGTATGTGACCAGGTTAGGGTTAGGCCATAATTTCAGGTAGGCTACAAATACCACATCCACAGGAGTCACTTGGCTAGTCTGTGAACTCGTAATAAAACTAAAATAAAGAAAATTGGAATAAAATTATGGCCTAACCCTCCTAACCTGTTACAAATACTACATTCCAGTGTCCACCATCTTGGGTCGCATACTTCGTACCTTAAAATCTACTCGGTGCGGCGCACCTTTTGAAAAACGCTTATGTAGACTGTTATATTCATTGAAATTAATTATGAATTGTGAAACAAGTGTATGTAAATTATAGCTGATCAAAGTCCTGTCAGAGCTTGTTATTTTTTTGTATATATAATCTGACATCAAGTTGCTAATGACAGAATGCTTTCCTTCCTTCCTTTTTTAACTAAATTAATTATGAAATAGGATTTTTGTTTGTATTCTAAGAAAATAAAAGTGGCTTAAACGAAAAATCTTTAACCAAAGCAGTGTCCATGTGAGAAGTTCCGATTTCAAATCATATTTCAAGGACGTAGTGATTGGTAGCATATGTTTCCTAATTTAAATATGTCAGTACATGCAAATTAATACCGGTAATTATTACGCTGTGGTATGGCTTATCGTGGGATAGTTATGTGCAAAGAGGATTGCTGGAACCCTCGACGCCGCAGGGTGGTTCATGTAACTGCTGGTCGGTTACGGCTCATTCTAAAATCAACCCCATGCTTTCGGAACTGGACGAAAGGCTGTGGTTCACCATATGGTTAAGCTGTTTTATCATCTTTACGCTCCCCCAGGATAAATATGTAAATCATTCCTTTTACCTGTTCAATGCCGGTTGAATCAGTGGATTGAATAGCGGTAGTCTTGGTAACTGAAATAAAAAAATTAAGAACGAATAAAATAATTTTTAAACACGGTGTTTAGACTGCTCATAGATACATATACAATATTTGGTACTCCCGTAGTTTGTGTACCAGGTCAGGGTTAGGCGATAATTTTATTCAGACTTTCCTTATTTTAGTTCTAGTACGAGTTCGGGGACTGTCTTAGCCAAGTAAATATACCCCTGTCCATAGGTTTCAGTCCATTTACACAACTTGGTTAAGTAGGCAAACAAATTAGTTACCTCCATATTGGTACACACACACTTCTGAAGCGCCCAATATTTTAAGAATAAGTTTCAACAATTAGTTCCTGTGGTATTTGTACCTAAAATTATGGCCTAACCCTACGTCCTGGTGTCCGTCAATTGGTTCACATACTCCGAGAAGACCGGTACCTAATTAGTACTGAGACAGTGGCAATCTGGAAAGATTCAGTTTATTACTGGTAAAAATAGTGAGCTCCTTGCATATCAGTGTCTTCTTGTACATGGCCTTGTTTAATGTGAAAAGTGTGAAAAATTGTAAAAACTTCAAGACTTACGTAACGATAATTCAGATTAAAATTTCCAAAATGACAATTTCATTTCTCTCTTGTGGTAAGGAAACTACCAAAAAGTGCGAGGATGTGAAAAAACCAAGGCAGCAGCAAAGGCCAATGAAAAGCATCTAGCGCTCATCAACAGTCTAAACTTAAAATAAAACCAATTCTTCAGTTCACTTTTTTGAACAGCCATAAAAATACTTACAGACAGTGAGTTGGCAACAGCTCTTGCTTGATGATGTCTTTGTTGAAGTAAATGCCATCTTTGGATTTGTTGAAAATGTTTAACTTGCTCTTGTGCATGTTTAAGTTGCTTAAATAAAAAATCTTTGTTGATTAAACATTATAAAAGCATAACATAAATTAATGATGATTGAAGTTGCAATAAATACTATCGAAGAAGGGATGGGATTAATGGTCGTCATTGAGAACAAAAATGTGGACTCCATTTACATCTATATTTAAGCCGATTGAATAAAATAATCATACTTAGAGCCCCAACCGCCGACTGACTCAAATTTTTGACAAACAAAAATTTCGGTACATGCCTAATTCCCGACACCACAGCCCCAATTCGAATTTCCTCCTAAAAAGGATATTGGCTGTAATGTAGACATCCGGTTTTAAATATCAATATTGAGGTATTATTGACAAGCTAAGTTTGCAATATTTCAGTGAAATTTCCGCAGTTTAGAATTTACGCTTAAGTTTTATGAGGACAACAAATCTAACCTGGTTAAAAGTTAGACCATAATTGTATTCTCATTTTCCTTATTTTAGTTCTATTACGACGAGTTCGGGGACTGTCTGAGTTAGTCAAGTGAATATACCCCCTGTCATAGGTTCCAGTCCCTTCACACAACGTGATGTGAAGTAGGCGAACAAAAGTAGTTCCCTACATATTGGTACACACACTTCTGGAGTGCGAAAATAACTACCGGTATAATATTATTCAATGGATCATGAATTACAAACCTCTATTTGTAAATTCTTTGGTAATAAAGTTGGCAATCTTGGAATCATGAGGCGGTTTCCATTGTTGCCTTGCTGAGGATAGTTACTACTAGGGGTTGATGTATTTGGTCTGATAAAAGCTTGAGGTAATAACAAGGGAGGAGGTCCCCTGACTGAAGTTGTGCCTGAAGAAAGAAAAAGTAATTGTTAATGATGATTCAGGAAATATCTGAAGGCGTTTCAAATTGAAATTTTAATATTATGTTGATTATTATAACAAGAAATTCGGTTCCAGATTTCAAAAAAGGATGAACTTGTTATAAACAACATTATAAACACATATAAACAACATCCCTTGCCATCAACAGAAATGCTAATTGAGGGCTAAGTTACTGTTAATTTGAATGATTTTTTGAAAACAATGCTAATACTTATTTATTTCAACCGGGCCAATAGTATCAACTGACCACTCGAATTGTTTCTGCTTACACAAATATATAGGATGTATAAAAAATTCTGCCAGTTTAAATAGTACCAGTAATTAAAATTATTATTCTCATTTATCATACAATAAATTTATTTAAACTTACAATTCCATTATTATAAATCGGCGAAATTTTTAATTGTTATTGATATAAAATTGAGCAAAATTTTTTGGACACCCTGTATGATGCATAAAAAGTTTGGATTAAACAAGTGTTTATCTATTTCCAAGTTCTATAACGAATGCAACATACTTTCTCCTTGTGTACGAACAGATGTTGTATTGGTTTCATCTGTGTTTCCTGATGAAGATCGACTCAATCTCACAATCTCTTTATTCAATCCTGCAATGTCAGGTTTCACATCTAAATGGTAACATATTAATTTACATTAAACTAAAAAAACATGTAAGTTAAAAAAATGAGTTTATAAACATGCTGACTGATATTTACAAAAATGTATTAAATGTAAAATAGGTAATTTAAATAGGTCATTATTTTGATTTCAACACCATTTAAAATATTTCTGAAATTACTATCATCATTTGGAGTTTCTTGTTTTGATTGGCGAGCACGATCGCATAGTATTTAAAGCAGTGGTTACCAAACCACTGCCTTGCGGGCCAATTACGCCACTTGGGGGCGCTCCCCTCTCTCGGCCCACGAATATCCTTCCGCTTCTAGCTTTGGCTTCTAAATTCATATATTGGGTATGCAGAAAGTGATAAAATTCCTAAGATCATGAATCCACTATAACAGTAATAAGAATTTTTTAATATACTTCACTAATCATGTATTTTGATCAACCAAGATATAGGGTGTCCAGAACGTCTTAAAATTTTTTTAAAAATTGCAGAGGGAATCCGTCGATACCATATATTGTTTTAGCCCTCATATGTGTATCGAATAAAGTAAAAATACTTGAACAATTACTGATTGAAAAACAATAAACCTGGCTAAGTAAGATATATTGAAAACTGACTTCATAACAAAATTGAAACTATAAAGGGACTTTATGGACACTCTGTATATGGACACTCTGTAATCCTACAAAACCTGTAATACAAGAAATGATCTCATACCTATCGGTTCATTATCCTGATCAGGTGGAGGTAGTAAAGACAATGATGAACTAGGTCCAGGTTGATTGCCATCTGAATGTGGTCGTGTACGATGGTACAGTGAAGAAAACACATGACTTGGTGCTGTGCCTGCAGATCGTAGAGATGCTTCGATTGAAGATTGTAACGCTTCTTCAAATGCTCCTTTTGGGGCAGAGTGATTACTGCCCATCGACGTCTGAGGCAGTATTACCTAAAAAAAAGGAAAAAAATTAAATCCTTGTTGCCAAAAAGTGTAAAAAAATAGAAAATGAGATGAAAAGAGATAGCTGAAAGCTTAAAAATGATAACAACTAAGTCATTTGGTTGACTGTACTTTTGTCAATAAGAAATCAAAATCCATTATAAAATAAATTTTAAATATCATTTCGAGAAATAGCTTCACATTATTCAGAGATTTCATTTCTCACAAGTTCACAGCATATGCTCTTCAGCCCTCCAGAAACAAATTTAGTAACAGCTGACATCAAGTTCTAATGAGCGTCCAGCTTTTAATAAGTATAACACTACAACCAATCCGATTGCCCACCTTTGACATCCCAAGATCATTTTTAATTAATCATTGCAGAAAACTAATGAATCCCTGTAAATGTTCTTAATTTGTTAACAATTGCTACAATTCTTCCTTTTGTCATAGACATGAAATATGTCTTCGTCACAGAGAGAAGCCATTGAACATTCAACGAGTTATCTTATAGTCCTGATGCAAAAAACTATGTCAGTTATAAGCTCAGGTGAATAATGATAATTCGAAAAAAGGCATTCTGGTAGGCCTTAGTCAGATCATTTTAGGACTTGATTTCATGTAGTTTGATTTTAAATTTTTCTTAGTTCTTGGTTAAAATCAATTGTCAGTTATTAAATGAATGCGATCATGGGTCAGAATTTCTATAAAACATTTTGTAATGAAAATTTCAATTTTTAGAAAAATTTGGTAAAAATCAATTTATTAATAATAACCTGAACGGGTACTGAATTCTTGGAACGCATCTGTAAATATGCTAGAGTGGTTCAATCCCGACTCTTCCTTCTTGATGTAAACCTCAAAATATTCTTCACCGTACACTCTGTCATTTATATCTTTGGTTCTTCAATTTGTTCATTTATGTTTTTGATTGTACATGCAATTTAATATGAATGATCTAGAAAATAAAATAAAAATATATTGTAAGATAAATCAGGAATAATATCAAGAAAATTCATACCGGTTACCGGTATGTAGCATGGATCCAAATTAGGATAAAGTCTTCATCAAAGCTGGTTCTAATTATGATAAATAGAGCAATACAAGGAACTAATTTGTCATACTAAATTGTCCTTGACCTTGAAGTCTTATCCTGACGCCATAGAAACAAGGAAATCGCCAAGTTAATGAGGTTCAAATGAGACTGGGTAGAACGAGGAATGCGATTTTAATTTTGCTACAAACAGAGAATCAATGGGAAACCAGAGATGTCTCAAAATCGAAGCTTTGTGCGATGGTCAAGGCTTCTCACCTAATTTATTATCTGTCTCACGCCTCATTAGTAAGAAAAGAGAGGGTCATTGTGAAATCTCGTAGGTTGGTTATGGCCATAACCAAAATGACATTCCAAACTAGACTTTGACATATGACAAAGATTGAATTACTTTAACATCGCGACCAAATGAAATGAACAAAAATAACACCTTCACAAAATGGGGTCGTTTTTGAACGAATAGCATTGTGACTTAAAAACTGCTTCTGGATCTTTTTTTTCTTGCAAAAACTAAGTATTTATTGCGGATAGAAAATTTTTCTTCAATTCAAATTAAAACTGAATGGTCACACATACTAACTACGTTCCGGTGTCCACCATCTTGGCTCACATACTTCAAAAGTACCAAATAATGAATACTTAAATAAAGATATTTACTCATTATTTAGACTCAAATTTGAAATTGAATATATCTCAACTCTAACAAAACAACATTCAAACGGAAGAGCTTGATTTTGTAATACCTGAACCCAATTGCACTTAATCATATTTTCTACGAAATCGTGAATGATATTTTTAACAAAATGTTATTACAGCCTGTCTGTGACTAATGTTATCCAAGGTCATGTGGAGACGCAAGCCCTCAGCTACACATTGCATTGTTTTAGTGACAAGTGTCTATTTCTGTAATACGTCTGCACAAATTAGCATACAGGTTGTTTTCTAGAGCAGTATTTATCACTTTCACCTGGTTGTCGTTGGTTCAACTTGATAAGTGATATTTAATTTCAAGTGATTCACAAGTTTCACTTTGAAATCACTTTCATATCTTTCATATAACAATAAAAAGTGCTAATTTACACAGACAAAATTGAACAATTTACTAATTTCGAGGAAAAGTCTGGTAATCACTAAAATGCCATAGAATAGAGAATAAGTGTGAATGTGCATTATGAAATACATAATGACGTTAATTGAACTATGATGAAGAAAACAGCTATCTGAATAAATTACATATGAATTTGAAATATCAGAGCCAATCCATCACTAAAACATATAATTTAACCACTTAAAAATGACTCATAACAACAAAAAAAACGACAACGTCAAATTGCGTAAAGAAACCTAAGGCGAGGTCATTGAACTATAGGAATACTATTTGGTAATAAATTACAAAAATATAATATGCAAAATAGACAGCTGTGAATCAATAACTAACGATATTAGATTAAAGATAAACAATGAAGGAATTGTTTTCGCACTTCGGTCTGTCTACAGACTTGTGCATAACCTGTCTACACCATGTCATGGACATGGTCACATGATATATCACCAAATGAGAACAGAACAGGCCTAAGTCAAATTTTGAGAAAAACACAAAAAACAATTTTGAATTTCGTTATTTTTGAATTTCGGGATATTCACACTTAGCAGAGACCTGAGCTCTGGTTATTTTAATGTGGATGAGCATATCTTTGTAATCAATATTATTTGGCACTTCCTTCCTGTTTTTTCATCCCAATAAAGGACTTTGGCTCATTCTGTTTTCAACAACTTCTTAAATTTTTTGTATGGGATGCAAGGTAGAAAAGGTGACTTAGTCCTAAGTTGCACTGAACAAATTCTTAGGAATGTAAGTTCCGGACATTTTATTTCTGTTGTCCATGCTCATCATATTGGAACTCAGGCCTATTCTGTTCTCAACTTCTAAAAAATATTATAGTACTAAGTCCAGCTAAAATTTTTATTATTGAGAAATTCAGGATTTCAAGACCACCATCTTATAGAACATGGCTCAAAACCCCAAAATACTGAAAAAGGTGAAATTTCAAAAAATGTGACTTAGGCCCTTTCTGTTCTCAGACATAAATCTCTCCAGTGATATATTAACCAGAAGAATAAATAAAATTACTTAATAGACTCATTAATTAACTTTTAAATATGTATGAACTATGAAGCTTGTTTTTACAGTTTGGTATGAAAAAGTTGACTATGATCCAATGAAAGAATACGAATATATTCACTATATTGTGGAAATAATTTATGTTATTCTTGTTCTTACTGATTATTCGCTGATATTCGAAGTGAATTTCAAAATTTTTTTTTTCGTATATTTGATCAATTGCAAAGTCGCAGATACCATTTTGAGTTACGCTTCTGGAGCGCCCAATCTTTTAGGAAATCATAACTCATAAGGCGACTAAGTGGAAATATTTTTATCAATAAAGATAATATTATTGTGTTTCCAGATATAACTCATCATAGGAAGTAGTGTGACTCAACCGGTTTGAACAAACACAATAGTTTGGTCGATACGTTCACTTTCTCAGTAAACTAACAACTTAAAGATTACTCCATTAGTAATATAAGTTATCGTCCATTATAAACAACAATTTCTTCTCATCTAGATTAAATTTTCGTATTTTTCAGAAATATAATGCTATAATAAATCCTATAAAGCTTAATTGTATATGAATGGTTTTTTCTTTATTCTTACATAAAAGCATTGCTTGGTAATATTTGTAACTGTTTTGATTTTGTTTCACGATGCAATTTTCAAAAATACCATACATGGAAAGGATTGAATTGAACAATACATATTTTGATAATTGTATAGTCTAATTACTGTCATTTACTGATAATAGATTTGTAGTGTACCAGATATTCTCTGTAAATACCAATATGTAAGATTTGAGATTATGGGGTTTGAATATCTTTTTCGGTACTCCTGAAGTATGCGCACCAAGATGTCGCACAACCTGAACCCTAACCTCGTACACAACCTGAGTTCAGGTTGGTGCGCATCTTGGTGCGCACACTTCAGGAAGTCCTATTTTTCAATGTAAAAAATTGACATGCAATCTTTAAATAAATCTTAAATCAAATTTGGGCGAAATTCCAAAATCCAGTAACAATTCAACTGCAATTACTAAGGTGTCAACTTCAACTTCCAATTTCAATTTAGGATGCACTTTTGCTCACTTGTGATTCAATTTCACATAACAACTGATATTTCACTTCCCTATTTTCTGACCTATGACCTCGCTCTGAGCATACTGAAATGTATTTCTTTGGTTCGATCATCGATAACTAGGGTTAGAATTTTCAATTTGAATATTTCCTCTTCTGGCAAAAAATCTGACACAGATCAACAATTTCACAAGCACATTTGGATTGAGCATCGAAAACAACAAAACAAAACTGAATCATGCAAAAATAATACAATCTTCAATAAAACAAAAGCAAATTTCACAGCCCACTCAACATCAAATTATTCTAATGATGTTTATGACGCATGAATAGATCATAGGATACCATAATAAACAAGGTGGAACAATCTCAACATTTGCATTTATGGAAGATGAGTTTATAATGTTTGGCCAAGCATAAAATCAAGTTGCCAAATGATACAACACATCGATGAATTCAAATTAATACAACACATAACTTGGATATTCAATCATACAAATGTGTTTATTTAATATTGGATGCGCATTTACGAACATTTCTATAAGTTTTTCTACAAGTCTGTGCATTTAATCCAAAAAACTGGCCAACTATCCTCACATCCAATATGGATTGGTATATTCGCACAGAAACTTTGTGGTGGTGTACTATATAATTAAGCTACATAATCAGCTTTCCTCTCACACTGATAAATATAATAATCATATCCCTGAAAATTTTGGGTTATGCAAATATGGTAATATCAAAACAGTATGAAATACACAAAAAGCTTTGGTAATTTTATTTTTATTTTTGACAGTATGTCCTACCGATGCATAGCAGGAAATCCAGTTCCACTGATTGTTCTATCTCATAATTGAACAATTCAATTTGAGCCAGGTATTGAGTTACAATGCTAAGTTACTTAAATGTGAAATGAGTGTGCATGAATATCATGAATGTGAGTTGTAATAGGTCCGCATGCGAACTACAACAATTGTTACAAAGAATAAATCCTGTATTACAAGCAGCGTTCATCTCTGCAATGCAATCAGTTTAAATGAATACACTAGATTCTAAACTACAGCGCTGCCAGCGCACTCAAGGTTTTTGCTATAATTATTTTCTAAAGTACCGTACTACCACAAGAAAGGTGAATTTTATTATCCAGATAACTGAAGCCCACATTTTTCTTGGAGGATTTCTCTTACCCATAGAGCTAATCACATTGTTGATACACATCATTCAAGTCATATATTAGGCCACATAACAATCATAAGAGACTCGATTTTTATAATTCAATTACAACTGTAATGCAATCAATTGAAGTGAATGCACTAAAACTGAATCTGCAGAAGCACACTTGCAGTACATCTAAACTCATTTCAAAACATAATTTCACAAAAGGGTATATTTAAATTTGATTGTCTTATGACTAGAAACAAACACACTGTTTTATCTTACTCCAAAAATGTTTATTTATACATTCGCCAATGCTCTTTTGTGTAATTCATTTAAATCATATACTATGTTTAGTCAGATAGTAATCATAAAGCTACCTACAAACACAATTCTGAGTAAACCCCACTTCAACATCTTTTTGTGGTTTATAACAAGAGAAGATGAACGACTAAACTACTTTGTGGTTTATAAACTTACTATTTACTTGCGAACTAAAAAAATATCAAATTGATTTGTAATATAAAATCGACCGGTACTTTATTTTCACACCCATCAAT